CAGTACACTTGAGAGCTTTGTGAAATGATTTCGGAGTCTTTGGATCGATTTAGAGTTGTTTGGCTATTAGAAGAGCTGATTTTAATGTTTTCAGATTGAATTTGGAATTGATTTGAGTTTGGAAATGTGATTTAGATCGAGTGAGAGTCAACGCATGTTTTGAAATGAAAGAAGTTTGGCCGGAATGAATCAGTACACTTGAGAGCTTTGTGAAATGATTTCGGAGTCTTTGGATCGATTTAGAGTTGTTTGGCTATTAGAAGAGCTGATTTTAATGTTTTCAGATTGAATTTGGAATTGATTTGAGTTTGGAAATGTGATTTAGATCGAGTGAGAGTCAACGCATGTTTTGAAATGAAAGAAGTTTGGCCGGAATTGATCAGTACACTTGAGAGTTTTGTGGAATGATTTCAGAGTCTTTGGATCGATTTAGAGTTGTTTGGCTATTAGAAGAGCTGATTTTAATGTTTTCAGATTGAATTTGGACAAGATTTGAGTTTGGAAATGTGATTTAGATCGAGCAAGAGTCAACGCATGTTTTGAAATGAAAGAAGTTTGGCCGGAATGGATCAGTACACTTGAGAGCTTTGTGAAATGATTTCGGAGTCTTTGGATCGATTTAGAGTTGTTTGGCTATTAGAAGAGCTGATTTTAATGTTTTCAGATTGAATTTGGAATTGATTTGAGTTTGGAAATGTGATTTAGATCGAGTGAGAGTCAACGCATGTTTTGAAATGAAAGAAGTTTGGCCGGAATGGATCAGTACACTTGAGAGCTTTGTGAAATGATTTCGGAGTCTTTGGATCGATTTAGAGTTGTTTGGCTATTAGAAGAGCTGATTTTAATGTTTTCAGATTGAATTTGGAATTGATTTGAGTTTGGAAATGTGATTTAGATCGAGTGAGAGTCAACGCATGTTTTGAAATGAAAGAAGTTTGGCCGGAATGGATCAGTACACTTGAGAGCTTTGTGGAATGATTTTGGAGTCTTTGGATCGATTTAAAGTTGCTTGTCTTTTAGAAGAGCTGATTTTAATGTTTTCAGATTGAATTTGGACAAGATTTGAGTTTAGAAATGTGATTTAGATCGAGCAAGAGTCAACGCAAGTTTGGAAATGAAAGAAGTTTGGCCGGAATTGATCAGTACACTTGAGAGCTTTGTGGAATGATTTTGGAGTCTTTGGATCGATTTAAAGTTGCTTGTCTTTTAGAAGAGCTGATTTTAATGTTTTCAGATTGAATTTGGACAAGATTAGAGTTTAGAAATGTGATTTAGATCGAGTGAGAGTCAACGCATGTTTTGAAATGAAAGAAGTTTGGCCGGAATGGATCAGTACACTTGAGAGTTTTGTGGAATGATTTCAGAGTCTTTGGATCGATTTAGAGTTGTTTGGCTATTAGAAGAGCTGATTTGTATGTTTTCAGATTGAATTTGGACAAGATTTGAGTTTGGAAATGTGATTTAGATCGAGTGAGAGTCAACGCATGTTTTGAAATGAAAGAAGTTTGGCCGGAATGGATCAGTACACTTGAGAGTTTTGTGGAATGATTTCAGAGTCTTTGGATCGATTTAGAGTTGTTTGGCTATTAGAAGAGCTGATTTGAATGTTTTCAGATTGAATTTGGACAAGATTTGAGTTTGGAAATGTGATTTAGATCGAGTGAGAGTCAACGCAAGTTTTGAAATGAAAGAAGTTTGGCCGGAATGGATCAGTACACTTGAGAGTGCGACTATTACTTCATTAGAGCGGTTGCGCGTTTTTTCCCGTATTATTTCGTTTTGCAATTCATGTTCTGAAAAAGGAATGATAATCACGGAGTAATCATAACATGAGCAGTATTTTTTAAACTATAATACATTAAGAAAGTCCATATGTTTTGAGATAACGATTGTTTCCTTCAAGCGAAGTTGATGGTTCCCAACGACTACGGTTTCCATTATTTGCTCTAAAATCATTATTGGCTGCATATCTTGTTAGCTCACAAAGTTGCGCCGAAACAGGAAAGCTGCGACCAGCGGTATTTGCCATGAAGAAGTTTGGAACGGAAGCGAGCGATCAGATACAGATGATGGAGTCATTTGGGTGATGAATGGAGAAGTGAGGACAACCGGTTTTCATATTATTTTTTCTTTGCCTACTTCCAAACGGGCACGGTTATAAACAGAGAAAGACCTGCAAGAACTGTTGGGGAGAGAGTATTTGCTTTACCTGACTCATAGATCGGAACCAGTTTTTCAATGCACTAGAGAAAGGCGGAGGTCGGTGGGTTTCGCAATTTTCAGCGCTTCGTAAGTGATTCTTGATCCTTCGATTTCGCAATAATTTCGAAATACCTAGTGAATGAGAAGAAGGGAAGGATCAAAGAACACCGACTTCAGAAAGTTATCAGATTTATTTTTCCGCTAATGTTTCCTTTTTTGTTATGGTATGGATAGAAAGAGCAAGATAAGAACATTCGAATTTGAAGACTTGGAAAGCCTGATAATAATGAGAGCAATGAAAAGTCCATGCGATAGCTTAGGGGAGAGCTTTTCACAATTCATGATTGTACACATTTGCTAAGAAAATCAACTAGGAAAATGATCAAATCGCAACACGCAACACATTTTGAAGTTTTCGTTTTGATTTCTTGCAAAGCAATCCGGAAGAGCTATCCGGAAGTTGGCACGCCTCTTGGAAACACGAGCGAAATGAAGGACATTCACAATCGTTAGGGATTTTTGATTTGGTCTTATGAGGCGATTCTACTCGGTACTAGAGTCCCTTTGACACCTGAAAGCGGCCGAGTTGCTAGCTGAACAGATTGTGAACTGGAAACAAGGGGTAGAATTACATGGGTCCCTTAGACGGGTAGCGAAAAAGAACGCCCAAACCTAACGAACCTTAAACAACAGTCTCATTGGATCCCTTGAAGAAGAGTGACAAACCAAGGAGCGTTAGAAGGAGTCAAACTTTTTCTGAGACTTGAAGTCAGGCGTAGGAGTCAGTCTTGTGCAGAAGTAGGACCGCGGAGGAAGTTCACGTATAGACACGTATACATCTAGTCATTTCGAGACCCTTTGGATAGAATTCAACCGTACGAAGACGACAAAAGAAGCGCCGAGAGCACAGTGGAGCCTGAGTTTGGAACCATCTCACCAAATCCGATCGTGATAACGTCGAGGTGCCACGTCACGAGTCCTGGAAGATCCATGTACAGTAGGGTGTGGTTGACGAATAAAAGACGAAAACTGGCGATGAAAGGAAGGCAGGGCGGGGGAAGGAGAGAGGAGTGTTGGCTGACGACTGGACTGGACTATTTATACATGCCTCTCCTCTTCCTCGCGCTCCCCCCAGAATGTTCTGCGAGAGACTGGACAAATCGAGAAGGTGCCAGAGGCCGCTCACGAGAAATAGCGGGCGTCAGAGAAGCCAAGATGTCTTGCGTCGCGTGTCGTGCGTCGCGGTCGACTAGAGTCGAAGAGACGCACCACTAATCAGAGAAACGAGAGTGTGATGCGGGGCGGTCGCGCTGCGGCTGCCCAGAGGCAGCCACTTCGAAAAGAATTGTCGACGCTGTGTGGAACTGGCGCTCATACGTCACTGGGTCTTTTCGAAAACTTTCGCGAGTATTGACACCAAGGAGAATGTGGAAGGAAGGCAGATGGACGGGGAATGTCAATAGCGAAGGAAAATGGGAAAGAATGGAAACGAGTTCAAATTACCACATTACAAATTGGATCAAGTTGAAACATTTGCAACTTCGGACTTTGGAAATGCCAACCTTGTTGCGGTCGGGCCGTAGCGAGCGAAGGCTGAAATTTTCAGAAATTTGGAAAATCCCAAAAGTTTGGTCAGATTCTGAAAAAATAAGCGTGCTATTAGGTATCGTACTGATTTTTCATGAAATTCTCACATTTTCTTATGTCCTCGAGACCTTCCCTCATTTTATACTAATTGTCCTATCAATGATTCATCAATTCCCACTGCTGGGAAAAGCCAGACAAACAAACGGTGCTTATTATGATTTTCTTGATTTGCGTCACACGTGTATGATAAGTGACGTCTGTCTAGAGCTGCTTCAAAACCATTTCATTCCGTCTAGTCAGCAGCTTTCTTTGACTTTGTGCTTATCAATTTCTATCAAATGTGTTTACCATCCGTAATGCCATCTTTTTTAATGGGAGGAGGAGAGTTTGTGGAAGAAAGGAAACATTTTGAACAAGCGAGTGTGCGAGTGTACCACATGTCAATTGAGTGCAAGGTGAGTGCGACGCTGCTGTTTGCGTGAAGTCTTTTCAAATTCTGTCTCCCGGTCAATCTAACGATGTAGTTGCATAGCAGTGCAATTATTAGCAACATTAGGACGAAGCCACGCTTTGGCTAGTTTTTTTTACGATGAAGTTTGCCCGATTATAGACGAGGTTTTAATTTCCTCTCCTCTTTCCTCTCCTCTAATTCGTTTCGGTCAAACACGTAAACCTTTCTGTTTATTTTCGCTCTTATCTCTCCACTACATACATATTCTGGCTCTCTCGTTCTTCCACGTTTCTCATAGCCATTCAAATTCACCATTCGTTTTGTATCGCGGCGCCGTTCTTATCATCATTCAACTCTTTTTCAACGTTTTCAATTCGATTCTTCTCTTTCTTCTCCTCCCTTTTCATTGAATCTCTTTAACAATTGTTGTCGGTTGCCCCCCGGCCAGCGCCGATACGCACGCACACAAACAACACACTCGGCCCATTCGCCACGAATGCTTTCAAAAGAAAAACAGCGTCGTCGGGGCGGCAGTCGTTCGTCGCACGGCGCCCCCAAGCGTGCATATGTGAGCAGTGTCTCGCGCCTTTCTTCGGGCCTTCTGCCTCATTCACTGCCCCCCCTCCTCCCACATTCTCCTTCCTTCTTCTTTTTTCCATTTTTCCTTGTCTGCCGCGCGAATTTTTTCTTCCCCGTGTGTGTGTGTCTAGTCTGATGCTCGGAAAGACAAACTAATTTTTTGATTCATTTCAGGGTGAGCATGAGTGATAGACCTATTGCTCCAATCTCTATAAACTTCCGTCAGGCATTTGGTTTTGGCGACTTTGTCGCTGCGCCAGCTCAACCAGCTCAGGGTTTGTTATTTGTTTTGTGTTAGATTTCTTCTGAAATTAAGTGGTGTTCTAGGAGTGTCAGCCGATGAGAGCATTCCAGATTTTGTTGACGAGTTGCCGGATATCATACTGGTAGGCCTTCGCTGTCACTCTAAACTGATTAGTACACAGTTTTATTCCAGCCGGAGCCAGCTACACCACCACCACCGCCACCACGTGCAGTTCCAACTCAAGAGCCATTTAGAACATACATCGACAGCTATCCCGATGGAACAGGCAAGGAAATCGTTCGTTGGGACATTCCACGTGAGCCGATTTCTATCAACAAAGTGAGTTCATCCGTTTAATTCAACCAAAACGTTCTCAAAACTGGTTTTGTTATAGCCACCCAACATCCAAAACACTCAGCGAGCTGTCCAAGAATACTTCCTGAGAGCTCGCAGACACCGAACCCGTTCTTCAACATTTCTCGAGCGCTATTATCAATTCGAGGTGCCTCCGCGAGTCGGCAAAAGCATCACTCGCCGTTTCTACTCGTTGTACAAAGCACGATTGAATTGCGATAAAGACGGAGTGAGAATTCCACGGATGGACGGAGAATGCCAGAGTGTCATCTACTACAATCTACTAGATGGACTCATAGATTTTCACAAGTCAAAGAGAGGAGAGCCTATCGAACCACGACCGCCACAGTGTGAGTTTGAAATTAATATGACGGAGACATAAGTTGATTGCTCTCGTTTTTAAGTGTTCACTCCGGTTTTCAACGTCGAAACGCAGTCCTACCACGCTCCAGAATGATAACTTTATCTTGCAAGTCGCGCAACAATCAAAAATCAGAGAAAAAACATGTCTACCCTACCGAAACTCCCCCGAAACTCGTGTCCTAGTCCTCCAAAATAGTCAATTCCCTCCCGATCCTCCAATTTTCCCCTCGTTTCCAGCCTAAAACTGATCTGAATGCCCATGTTCAAACTGTTCCTGTGTTCAATTAGTACGCTATTATTCAAATTTATATGAATGTTTGAATTAGAAAAAAAGAAGAATGTGAATGCATTTTTCTGTCAGAATGTGCGAATAATTACATTTTTGGTTTCGTGGAATTTCAATGACTGAAAATGGATGAACAAACGTACACCTAATGCTCTAGAAGGGGCCGCTTGCAAATTGTGCTTCCAATTGGCTCAGCTGCTCTTTTTGTGGATGTGTTCGTGTGTATCTCCGTTATTGAGAACTTTCTGTAAAACAATCAAATTTAGAACAGAACCGTACAATATCGAAACCTACTTTTCGAAGGATACGCTTTCCTGAGTCATCTTTTGAATGAATACCTGTGAAGCCGCCAGAATTTTACTTGTGTTACTCATCGCCAGTTCAATATTCCTATTCAAGCTCGCCGCATCCATCCGAATGTTGTCTAGCATTTCAATAAACTCGTGGTCCATGTTCACTGCAAAAAACACAAGTCCGTGTTGAGTTCATGCAAAACCAAAGATCCGGCAAGTGAGGTGCGCACTTACTTTCACTTTCCCACTAAAACGCGCAGTAGCATGTGATAAAAACGCGAAAACTAGACATGCGGGACGATAAGGTTTTGTGACGGACGGTCGGGTACTATTATCAGTCACATGTAACACAGCTTTCCGCTGAGATTACCCGCAATTTTCGCTTCGAGAAGACGAGAAAGCAGCGAAACACGTAAAAAAGCGAAAAGGAAACGTGAAACAAAACGTTTCTGACTGACACGACACAATGAATGGTTTGGAATGGGGCAAAGATAACATAACAGACAAAAAATCAGGCGACACTTTCGTTTCACATCATGAATTTGATGGAATTTTCAAGATCTTCCCGATCAATTTGCTGCACCGAAAGGAAAATGTAGAGCAGAGAGAGAGAGACAGAAATCTCAACCTAAAACATCACTGCCCGCTAGTTCTCAAAGTTGTCCATAGAAACCGACCATGTCAGATTGATTTCCACGTTCTTTGAGGTACAATTTAAAATCGAAGACTCATTTTTATGACATTTTTTGCTAAACCCGACTGAAAAAATGAAAATGCTAGTTCACTTCACCCAGAGCGGACGTATAGGAGAGAAATTAGAAGAGTTAACTATGGGGAAAAGCGGCCGGCCATGTGAGCGCGAAAGCTTTTCTAAAAGTAAGCGAACAGCTGCAAGTATGTTCAGACACCAGAAATCTGAAAAATACTTTGCCCTGAGAGTGCTTATCTGATGCATAGAACACCAAAAACTAACGTGATACCTATGACGGCAATGTTTTCTGAAGCCTAGCTTTCCTGATTTTCAGTTTTCCAGTCCGGTCAGTCTTGTCTACGCCTATCATTTGAAACCCCCGACAAGATGCAATAATCCGGTTTCCCCCCTACCGAATTCTCATATTCGTCCCCAGACACAAATTGTCGTTAAAAGTACACCCACGCGATCATGCAAATATCACGAATAAGCGCCTTCCAAAGAGCACTGCCACCTTTGATTTCAAGGAAGTAATTACACATACGAATTGAGATAAAGCTTTACCGGATATTTCTTATAAGTACAATGTGGAATACGTAAGAGGAGATTGCGAAATACATACATGAGTAAGAAGGAGGTAGTGCATGAATAGATGTGTAACTGAAAGAGAAGTAAAAATTTAATGATCTGGTCGTTTCCTTTCTGAAATACTACATAATGCTGCGGAAGACAATTTCTTGGTTGAATATATTGAAGGAACGCTTTCTGACTTCTGTAATACAATACAATATTTCTATTGGAACGGATTGTTTTAATCATGATCTTCACTTACCTATAAGAAATAATGATTATCGTTGCAATCCGGAACCTTCACTCAACAAGCCTCTTGGTTTCTTGAGTGGTGGAGCAGACGTGTCTTCTTCAGTGCTCATCAGGAGCAGAGGCACCACGCCCTGCTCTTGTTCCGAAGTTCGTTCGCGTGAAGAAGTAGCTTTGAGCTCCTCATTTTGAACAACCGGTAAACCGGAGTGTACAATGACTTTGATTGGCGCCGTCCGAATCGTTGGATAAGGTTTACTTGAAGTTGGAACGAACTGAGGAAGAGGAGAAGGTGATTGAAGTACTTCTTGCGAGGATGAAGATTTGTGATTGTGCATGGCATCCAGAAGGTCACTTATAACATCGGGGCTATACGGATCATAGAGCAATTTGAGAAGACTCTGGTAACACTGCTGGTTGGCTGCAGCCTGTTCCGCAGTTCTTTTCGCTAATGAAGGTTGGAATGGCAAGTGTGGTATTCGGAAGATTTGTGCGAGCTCTTCTTCTGACGTTTGTGTAGGGTTTGAATAGAGGTGAGGCATCGAGTTCATTTGAGGTGAAGCAGACAGAGCGCGTTGGTGTATGAGAGGAAGGGAAGTGGAAAACTCTATTGCAGTCGCTGACGTGTCAGATCCCGGAGGGTAGGGCTTCCGAAACATTTGCTCGTTTTTCTCTCGTAGCTTCTGCTGAGCCAAAGCAGCTATCTCGTTCTTGTAAATAACACTTCCATGATCGGTTTTCAGAAAGACCGTATCTCCATCTAAAGATACCGAGCTATACGTCAAAATGTTCAGAAGTATGGTCAACTTACTTTGCTTTCCATCAATGATCGGTTTGCAAACTTCAGTCGGAGGAACCGAACGGCATCTGTCCGGGCGCGGAAGTCCTGACGAGGAGGAAGTGGTAAAGTTCGGCGGAGTGGTTGATTGCAGCAATTTATTCAAGTCTTCGGACGTCATCATGAATGGTGTATTCACATTGCCCCTGGGCGGTAACATGTTCTACCCTAAAATTATATGTATACTTGATCGATGGTGCGATGTGATGCGAAACAAAAACCAGAAACGTGCTGAGTTTGTGCTTGATTGCAACGACAAACTTCAGCGTAAAAGTTCATGTGATAGAATGACATGCTTGACAAAATCCCCTTCTCTCGGCAATTTTTGGTTTCGAAATTTGGATAGATGACTAAACCATTCGGTTAGGTGACAACGAATTTGACACGTGAAAGATCACGTGATCGAGAGAAAGTGGGGGCGAAGCCTGCTCATTAGAGCAGAGCAAACGGAGCATTATCACGGCGGACCTAATCAACGTTGCCGCGCAACCGCGTGCACTCAGAAGCGCAAAAGTGCGGTGGTAAACTGAAGAACATGTTGGCCTAATGCGTTAGGTGTCAGGCAGGCGCCTCCTATTAACTAAATCCTCATCTGAAGGACAGAATGATGTGGTCGCATAAGCCGATGTACGTGCCAATCTGAGCATTGTTTAATATCGGTTAAAGTTGAAAGGATTATGTATGATCGCACAGGCTTGCAATGGTAGCCCTCTTTGAGTCTGATTCACATAAAAATTCAATGAAGCTGACAAATTATGTTGAGCCCGATTTAAAAGAAATGCTCACCTATTTTCGAACAGCATGCGGCTGATTCACTCCGGGTTCATGTCGACGGGTTTTCCGTTCTTGTCCGTGAACATTGCTTATTTTTCGACGGTTCCCCCGCGGTTCGCCGCCTCTTTCACATTTTTTTGTGGAGGTTACAATCTGCCCATACAATGGATTATTACCTGCTCTTTCATCTTCATAGTGTTTTCAGAAGTTTTCACCGCAACCATTTTAGCATGAACTTGGTGATCGTGAATGAGCGTATAACGTGGGGAATCATCGAACTTTATCTCGATAACCTTCAGCATGTCCTCCTGGTATTCTAAAGAGTTTTATGGTTCTTATTTCTTTCATCTAAATTTTTTCTTCTTCTTCGGCTTACCCTTGAATTGCAGAGTGAAATTGAAGAGCAATTGGAGAGTCTATAGAATCTCTCTTTTTGTGAGTCCTCGTGCGTCTGTCTATCAAATCCTTGAGATCGTCAATCATTGTTCTGATCTGAAACGTACAAGCTGCTCACGTACTTCACAATGTGTGTCTGCTTACCTCTTTCTCGGCAATTTCGCTGTAAAAGACGATATTGGTGACCGTTATGAAAATACTGATGAGACCTTGAATGTGGATGTTCTTGAAGATACACAAATTATGCTTCGTTCAGCACTCGGGGAAACTAAGTTATTCCGACTGTGTCGAAAGATCCAAGCTTCATCCGGAAGGTGCGTTAGCTTAGCACTCAGCCGAAATATGACTGATTTTGCGAGAATCTTTTTAATTCAAAAATTATTTTTCAGAATGACTACGCGAAGGATCAAAAGGTGAGAAACAAAGTCCAGGCTTTTCGGAAGCCTGCAGAATTTAGACCCACTTGTAATAATTTTATCAGACCCGGACGTTGCAGACTTCTCGGACTCGGATTGAAGGAAATTTAGATTCTAGTTTCGAACTAATCGGATCATTTACACAGGGGATTTGCAGATGTGAGGCCAAAAATGCCGTTTCCGATTGGTCTAAACCTTGAAACCAAAATAGTTCAATCTACTTCAATAATTAGTACGTGTGCATATAATAAAATCTCCACCATTTTTTTAAATCTCCACCATTTTTTTAAATCTCCACCATTTTTTTAAATCTCCACCATTTTTTTAAATCTCCACCATTTTTTTAAATCTCCACCATTTTTTTAAATCTCCACCATTTTTTTAAATCTCCACCATTTTTTTAAATCTCCACCATTTTTTTAAATCTCCACCATTTTTCCGATATTTTTGCTTTCCATTTTCATCCATCGAATCATCTACTCGTTTACAATATATAGTCTTTATCGGTTTCGTCATTCTGTTTCATGCGACTTTTAACGTCTTTTCGATAAGAGAAAGTGTTTTATTGGTACAAAAAACCCATATTTATAAACAGGACAAGGCACAAATAAAATGATCAAAATCAGTTCCTATCAACAAATTATACTGTTCTCAGAGAAATCACCAAGCCTGATGAACGTTTAGTAAAAGCGAACAGTAGAAGCGAATAAAGGAAAATCCATAGAAAAGATGGAGGTCAATTAATTACAACTTTTTCGGACTTCTGTAGGCGTTCGCCAGCAGTGCTGTTATGGTTTGTTGGTTTTGCACGAATTGGGCAAAGTGCGCAAGACGACTCGAATCAGCACCACTCATTCCCAAGAATGGATTAGGCATCCCTGGCATGAACATTGTGTTTGTGTTCGCAGTTGAAACTGGCGGCGTCGCATATTTCTAGAAAAAATTTCAATGAATCTCTCATTTTTCGGAAACACCAAACTCACCAGCACATCGTGCGTGAAAACATTTGGCGGAAAAATGCCAAATGACGGCTGCTGTGCTACCGCTGAATGGAAAGCTCCAGTTTCGTGTTTCGGAGTAAACGCCACGCGGACACAATCTTTCTTAGCGGCATCAAAGTGCTCTTGGGGGCTCAGACAGCGTTTTCTGTTATCAGCAGACTCCGCAGACGTTTCGATAGGCTCGACTTTCACTTTTTCAAGTTGAAACAAAGGCAGTGAGAGTGTTGAAGAAGTTGTAGAATCTGAGCTCTTGAGTGGTGCCGACGGAACTGGCACTGTCGGAAGAGCCAAAGTGAACGATGGGGACGTCAAAGGTATCAACATTTGAGTGGTTGAAGTCAAACAATGACGCGTGTCTGGCTTTGATTCTTGAACTTCCGGAACAACATGAATCTCCTCAGTTGTTGGCATTACGTCCTTCAGAATTGGAATTGACCAATCATCTTTCAACTCCAGAGATTCCGTTTGTTTCGTATCACTTTCAGAAGCGGGACTGTTCATAGCCATGCCACTCATTTTGGTTTCAATAGGGGTTTGCGTCTCTGTCTTTTCACATCCAGACTTTGGAATAAATTTGACGGACAATATCCCGGATGCGTTCGAGAACGGAGCAAAGAAATCGACGATTTGGGCAATTTTCCGAGCATCGACGTACTCGATCTCACACTTCTTCGTCATCATTTTGAACAGTCTGTGATAGCAGCTCAGAATTTTTATCCAAATCTGTAAATTGTTGTTATATACTTCCGGACAGTCCAGTCAAACCTCTTCTTTCAAATGATTGCTGAGATGTTTCAACTGTGTTCCTTGCAATTTCATCGTTTCGATGTCTCTCCAGTTATTCCAGCAGTCAGTTTTCAGTTGAGCTCTCAAAATCCTCTGCTTCAGACGACTTTTGGAAGATGCATAATTCGTTTTTTCCTTTGGCGTGTTCTGGAAGATTACTGTAGTGCAGAAGGCGTCGTTCTGCTTCAGTGAACTTACGACATTATACTTTCCAGCCTCGAGTTGTTGCAACTGATCATTCAATTCATCGAGTGACTGCTGATATGACACGATTTCGGTAGTGAAAACGAGCGTTAGAGCTCTCTGAGTAAAAGCACGATATTCTGAAACATTAGGTAATACTGTTAGGTAAGAATGTTCCAACTTACCAGAAAAGAATATCTCCGGGTCCGGAAGATCCAACTCTTGCTTCACATTCTCGCCAATTTCCAAATACTTTCTCATGATGCTTTCATAGTCATTGATAGCCTCTTTCACCTGAAAACGAACATAGTTCGAATCTTAACGACTTCAATATTCACCATTCTCTCCTGCCTCTCCGCGTTCACTTCATTCACCAATACTTCTATCCTACTTTTGATTGCTTCGATGTGTTTCGACAGAGCACAACAGACTTTGATTTCAGTCCGATTCCGTTTCGTGTATTCCCTAGAGTTCTTCGAACTTTCCTCTTTTCTCCGCTTTTCTGACACTGGCTCGGCCCTTTTGTGGCACGAGCGTTGCTTTCTTGGATTGAATTGTCTTGTCTTCTCGAAGACGTCCGTGTCAATTTTAACATCCAGCATTTGCTCAAAATTCTGAAAAAAAAGTAATATGCTAGACCGTGATGTTTGCGCTTGAACTTACCATTCGAATGTATTTCTTTGTACTATCTTCAATGCCTGGAGAGCCACTGCGAAATGATACAGGTGAATCGGTGCCAATACTTGGAACCAGTGGGGAAGAGGTTAACTCTATTTTTTCTTGCATTTTTGCACCAATCTGAAAAATGGGCATTTAAAACCGTTAGGAGGAAGTGAAATGAGGATGACTTGAATGACAGAAAGGAAGTGGAAGTGGAAGTGAAAAAGTGTACAAGGAATTGCTGAGAATTGCTTCTTGTCACCAGGATTTCTACTTAGTAATAGAGAGGAAGAAGTTGAGAAATCTCATGAGAAGCATGCTTATTTCAAAATATGGGTGGAAGACGAGAAGATGACAAATAAGAACGCTGAGTAAAACAATCCCTCTGAGTCAGTCAGTAGAAAATTTAGAGCCTTTCGAAAGTTCTGACGTTAATTCACAAAACGTCATTGATAAACAAAAACACGTGACTGCTTAGAAGGTTCTAGACAACAATAGAAAGTGTCACACACTCACTCCACTCGCGAGTACTGTAATTGGCATTGATAACACTGAAGTGTGTGACTAGTGACTAGAGAATATAAGAGAATATAAAAGGTGTTCAATTTTTTTGGTTCCTAACCATTTTTTTATTTATATTTTTCCTACTGTTTCCCCCTCTCTAAAAACTCGAAGTGGCGCCCGTACTTCTAGCCGTAAGAAAAAAAGTGTTAGACTGGTTGGCACTTGCTCAAAATGAGTAATCTGGTAAGGTTAAACAAAACTCAACACTGAATAGGTCTCGGTCGGCAACCTCTTTTATCTTTGTGCATTCTATACCTTTCCACTTGCCTATGCCGTTTATTGTGTATACTATGTGAATTACAAAATTTGAGAGATAGAAATAGATGCACACATGAATTCATAAGTGATAAGGCCATAATTGCTCGCATACCTGACTATTGTTTGCCAACCCGTCTACGGATCGAGCCCTCCCCTTTGTTTCTTTGATAACAGTGAGTGAGATACGGGGAGTAAACTGAGTATGATTACCTGCTTGAGCAATTTTTTCACGAAAAATGGAAGACGTGAAGGAAACTTAAGAAGAGTTTAACCCAATAGCAGTCATTTGAAAAATTAATTTGGAATGTTCAGAAATAATTTTAGAGAGCAAACGTACTAATAGAACTTGACTCATTGGACCACAACTACAGCTACTGTGAGTCATCGCTTGTTTCCTCTTGCACAATTTTGTGTTCTATTTTGTGCCGTGACCCTTTAGTCATTTCTGTATAGATACACGTTGCTTCGCGAATAAATGTCATTATGTACATGAGCGAGCAAAATTTTTTTCAACGAAAAACTGCAATTTTTGTGATTATGCGAGAAACTGACCACATTGCAGTCCTCTTGCAAACTTTCGAAATTTCAACAATTAGACAGTGGTAAAAGAAAGGGAATAGGAAAACTATGAACATCTAGAATAATTGATGGGAATGATGACGCGGCAGAAAGCAATACGCGTGGATTCCCATGGAACGATCGATCGATACAGCCGAATGTCGGCTGTTGTCGAGAGCAGAACAAGACCGGCAGAACGGGAAGAAAGGAAAGAACGAGAAACAAAACGCTCATAAATTCTCCCCTTGCGACGGTTTTTTATTGGACCGTTCCGATAAGACCACGCCGATCGATGTGTTCGAGAGCAGTTGACACGACTGGTGATCCATGACAGTTTTTGACGAGACAAAGTCAAAAGGCACACAATGTTTAGAGATAATCAGCGACATTTCAGATTTCGGCACGGATTTTTGAATGAAATTGATTTGAACACAAACGAAACAAAAACAATATCCGCATTTTCGGGTATCAGTCAGAGCTAATAAAGATCTTTGGGGAAATATATGAATGGTCCGACTCGCATCAGACATACTTGCAGGAAATAGCTCGCGGCGCGAAAAACGATAATCGCTGACAGCCGATCGGGAAAGATTTCAAAAGTGATTCGTGGTATGCAAATGAAGGGAAACTCATTTTGGAACACGGAATGATCGGAGAAATATATTTTTTGATTCTGTTTTTGAAACAAAACAGGAAAACAAAATTTCCGAGAAAGTTTATCAAAATTCAGTTTTTTTGACATGACACAACTAATGATATAATCTTCTCTAAAATGTTTATTCCAATCAGTTTTGGTGCTGTTTAAGTTTGCTGACTGACTCAAACGGAAGGATGAGAAGTCGTCGTCAAAGTGATATCACTGGAGCCGCAAACATTTGGAGAGATTGAGAAATAGTGAGACATTCTTCGTAACGTTGCATGTTTTGAAAGAAACGAATTCGAATTTGAAAACAGTTTTCAATTAGTGTTGATGTTTGTTCAAACAGGAACCGGAAACACTGAGCTTGAAATTCGAAGCGCCATTGAGACGACGTGTGATCAAATTGTTTGATTTTTTGATAATTTTTTTAGTTGATACGGAAAGGTCAAATGAGTATTATTAGTGCTATTCATGCACTTTTAAGTGCAGTAAAATGTCTACTCACAGTGTGTAGTCATGAGCAACCATGGGATAGCCAATAGAGCAATCAAACACAGAAGAACACGTCATGCCGAGTGCTGCAAAATGACAAAAATTCTGAAAAAAATGGATTGGAGGGAGAAAACGAATGGAGTGAAGGCGTCTTGAGAAATCTTTCTTCAATGCCACATCCGTTAAAATAGAACTCATTACAGCTATTCTTGCGTGTTCTGTATTTATTGTTTTTAGTTTTACATAAAAGCAATTTTGAAGGGTAACAACAGTAAAAGTGAGAATCAAATGAAGAATTTTTGGTAAGATACCATCAGGTTATTTCAAAATTCGCTCTGTTTTTGAAGACAGCAATAGCGCTAATTCACTTTGAAATGCCTCACTAGTGGTTTTGAAGATCAAGAGAGAGAAAAAAAAGTAAAGAGCAGTATGAAAAAATAGATCGGGGCGTTTCACTTCGACAGTATCTGTAGATTACGATTGTTTCCCTGGCAGCCTCAGAAACGAGAATTGTTGCCTTGGTAGTTTCCGCGTGCTCTTCTACTGCGACTGCCGTCTCGGTTGCAATCAGTCTGATTGTATCTTCCCTCCCTGCCAAACTGGTCGATCTGTCCGGGACGCGCGTTCGGATGAAATTCACTTCGTCCACGACCGCCACGGACTCCGCCATAGTTGCGCTCCGGCTGTCCGTCATCATGGTTTCCTCTTCGACTTCCAAAAAACTGTCCTCCATTGCGGTCAACCGGATCGAATTCGCTTCTACCGCCGGCTTGGAAGCGTCTATCGAATTGGCGACCGTTCTGAACACATTTGTTTTGAATCTTTTCTCGTACAAACCAAACCGGATAATCTCGTCCACGGCCGCCACGGACTCCGCCAAGGACTCCGCCACGGTTGCGCTCCGGCTGTCCGTCATCGTGGCTTCCTCTTCCACTTCCATCAAACTGTCCTCCATGACGGTCAATCGGATCGAATTCGCTTCTACCGCCAGCTTGGAAGCGTCCATCGAATTGGCGACCGTTCTGAACAGAATTGATATGAAGCTTTTCTCGTACAAACCAAACCGGATAATCTCGTCCACGGCCGCCACGGACTCCGCCACGATTGCGCTCCGGCTGACCGTCATCGTGGCTTCCTCTTCCGCTTCCTCTTCCGCTTCCAAAAAACTGTCTTCCATTGCGGTCAGTCGGATCGAATTCGCTTCTATCGCCAGCTTGGAAGCGTCCATCGAATTGGCGACCGTTCTGAACACATTTGTTTTGAAGCTTTTCTCGTACAAATCAAACCGGATAATCCCGTCCACGACCACCACGGACTCCGCCACGATTGCGCTCCGGCTGACCGTCATCGTGGCTTCCTCTTCCACTTCCATCAAACTGTCCTCCATGACGGTCAAGCGGATCAAATTCGCTTCGACCGCCGGCTTGGAAGCGTCCATCGAATTGGCGACCGTTCTGAACAGAATTGTTATGAAGCTTTTCTCGTACAAATCAAACCGGATAATCCCGTCCACGACCACCACGGACTCCGCCACGGAATCCGCCACGGTTGCGCTCCGGCTGTCCGTCATCGTGGTTTCCTCTTTCACTTCCAAAAAACTGTCTTCCATTGCGGTCAATCGGGTCGAATTCGCTTCTACCGCCAGCTTGGAAGCGTCCATCGAATTGGCGACCGTTCTGAACACATTTGTTTTGAAGCTTTTCTCGTACAAATCAAACCGGATAATCTCGTCCACGGCCGCCACGGACTCCGCCATAGTTGCGCTCCGGCTGTCCGTCATCGTGGTTTCCTCTTCCGCTTCCATAAAACTGTCTTCCATTGCGGTCAATCGGATCGAATTCGCTTCTACCGTCAGCTTGGAAGCGTCCATCGAATTGGCGACCGTTCTGAACAGAATTGATATGAAGCTTTTCTCGTACAAACCAAACCGGGTAAATCCGTCCACGGCCGCCAAGGACTCCGCCACGGTAGCGCTCCGGCTGACCGTCATCGTGGCTTCCTCTTCCGCTTCCAAAAAACTGTCTTCCATTTCGGTCAATCGAATCGAATTCGCTTCTACCGCCAGCTTGGAAGCGTCCATCGAATTCGCGACCGTTCTGAACAGAATTGATATGAAGCTTTTCTCGTACAAACCAAACCGGGTAAATCTGTCCACGGCCGCCACGGACTCCACGGCCGCCACGGACTCCACGGCCGCCACGGACTCCACGGCCTCCACGGCCGCCACTTACACCGCCTCGATTTCGGTCCGTCTGCCCTCCATGATCTTCGCGAGAACGTCCACGTGAGAATGAGTTTGGGTCGAATTGATCAGCCGTTCCACGCCGTCTGTATCGTGGAAAAGTAATGGAGCTTACGTACGAGCTTTGCGACGAAGATATTTCGTCGTGTTCGCTTGCGGAACTATCCGAACTGAAAAGTGTTTGCCAAAATGTTGTACTTGTTGAATATGAGTTCCTTACAATACTTTCCCGACTCCTCGAAGATAACCGTTTGCAAGGGTTTCCATCTCGTGACCTCTGAAACCGTGAAGTCAGTGGTTGCTTTATGCAACAAATATGAACTCACGGAGCAGACAGAGATGACGTGGTCGACGATCCCTCAGAAGTCACGTTCGACTGCTCCACGGATGAATTGACTTCAAATTGAGCAAAGTCACTGAAACAAATAAATCAATGTCTTCCAAAAGCGAGTTGCTCACGGATCAGCGAACTCCACACCGCCGCTGGTTAAAGCCAATCCGGACTCTCCACCAACTCCCATTTGCTCATTTTCTCTAAAAACGTCGGAACATTTTTCTTATCTACCATACAAAGTGAACTCACGGAGCAGGAATGAGCAGCTCTTGCATCTTCTTCTCAACCACAGCAAGGTCTTCCGTCTCGTGAGCTCTGAAAACATGAAATCAATGATTGTTCTATGCATATATTAACTCACTGAGCACGCGGAGTTGGCGTGGTCGAGGTGTCATCAGCCACGTTTGGTTGCTTCACCGCAGGAGCTTCACACTGAGCGGAATCCCTGAAAAAAAATAAATGAACCACTTCGAAATCCGCGCGAGTTGCCCACAGCTCAGCCTCCGGCTCTGTCTCTTCTTTTTCGGTTTTGTCGCGCCTGAAAAGATGGATCTACATACAAGGTATGTCTGGAAGTGGTATATTTCTACTCTCTCTAGGAGTACAAAAAGGTAAGTCCTTCAAGTTTTCAAGTCAAAATGAACATACGGTGTGGACGAAGTCGGTTTCTGCTCTACTTCTTCTGATGTCGGCCCATCGGCAGTTTCGGAATCGTTTTCCGTTTTCGGATTACCCATTCTGAAATGCTAGGAATACACCAATGTTTCAAAATGTAACGCACGAGCAGAAGTTAAAACAGAAGAGGAAAAGAACGGATCAATACGGTAGGCCAAAAAGGAATGAGAGAAGAGTGCTCTGCTACCGAATGGCTCGTCGGGAAAGAGACTGCGAGGGACACCTAGCCGTTCTTTATTGCGCACGGAAGGGACACGATACCATCTGGAGAACGCACAAGACGAATGGAGAGTGCGGTGCACCTGTTGTCACAAGAAGACGTTTTTGGCAACCCGCAACGAGTATAGCATTGGTGGAGGTCTTCTGCTGTGAAACATATAAAGGGCCTCAATTTGTTTCCCAAAAAAGTGCCAAATGGGAAAAATTCAAGCGTAATTAATCCTCAGACCCTAGTATATTGATAAAGAAGGCCAAGATATACGTCAATTACTTTGTGTTTCCCTGGAAAAGCTGAAAAGACGGAGCGAAAATCGGAGAAATGACTTCAAATAGGATTGGAATGAATCAAAACAACAAATCCTATGTCACTGCGTAGGTGCCCCTATGCATCAGTGCATGTGCGTAAGTGCCCCTATGCATCAGCGCATATGAATTTCTTCTGTACCCTTTGGCACGGTGCCAGGTAGAAGAGATACAGACAGCTAGATTTGAGGGAGCTGTGGATATAGAAGAGAGGGGGTAGATCCGAGGTTGCACAAGAAACACGTGCTTTTTAATCACATGGCTGAAAAATCACGGGCTTATCTGAACATAATCAGTAGGACCAGAAGGATTACACAAGTCCGCTTCTTTCTTCGGAATCGGAGAACAAAATTCTTACATTACTCCCGGTTGCTCTCTTCAATTTCTCTTCAAAACGGAGGAAAATCCGTCTCACATCTTGAAGACATCGTTTATCAAAATACGTGGGACTCCTGAAAATCAGTTTTATCGCTAAAAATTTCAGAAATCTGATCTCTTACGTTATTTCTTCAACAAACACCGTTTGGTCCCGTTCCTCTTATGTCGTAGTCCGTTGGGTTGTGTGTCAACACCGTTACGCGCAGTCGCGTACATTTATTTTCTTGTGCGCATTCCGACGTCGTTTTTCGAGTGTAGCTCTTCTCATTTCTGCCGTTTCTTATTTATTTAGCTCTCAATCGCATACCTTCATAGGTTTAATCCATTTTAATAACGTTTGTGACGCTCTCATCGGTCAGAAACGGTCCAAAACGCCTTTCCTTGTTACTTTTAATCGATTCTCGCTGCATTTGTTGTAATAGTGATTATTTTTCAGATGACGTCAAAGTATTCAAACCCGAAGAAGATCTACCTGGTCGAGCAGCGCAAGAATCACGAGCTGAACCTCGAGCACATCGATGAAGAGATGCGAATGGAGCAGGTCCGTCAACTGGCGTCCAAACTGGAATGGAGCGCACTTTCGCAACAAGTTCGACGCAATTTGCTAGTGAGATACTTCCCAATTGACCAGATGTTCATGAATCTTTCAGGAGAAACGGAATACTCTGGATGCCGACGCCAGAATTGATTTGTTGAAGGGAATCGCGTTCATGAAGACCAAAATGCCAATTGATCCGGCTCTGCGCCCACAAGAACGCTTCAGAATCATGGCTGAAAGTCTTGCGTTAGTTTTTATCTTAAAAACACAGAAAATAACTGGAAAATCGATTATTTCAGGTGCACACAAAAGGAGACGTCTCGTGGCTGGCTTCTTGAAAATCCGGAGGTTACGTTGGACTTTACGATGCATGAGGATAATGTGACCGGAGTGAAACTCAGTTTCTGGAATGAACCGGCCTACATCTCGCTGGAAGCCAAACACATGCTCGAGCACGGCGAGTACACCGAGTTCCGCAACATGATCTCCCGTTTGCTGGCAACTTACGCTAAGGACATTGTTGGGTAGGCTGTAGTATTCCATTTTCAGCTCATAACCTCTGTTTTTCAGTTCCGAGCGTACGCTGTGCAAAACTGCGATGAAAATGCTCGAGGTGCTCCTTTATAAGTACTCCGCAGACACCAACTACAGTTCAGTGAACGGCACGAACTACGGATACTATCTGAGACGTGGAGAACTCAAAGCCGGGCGTCTGTACTATCTCGTTAAGCCGCTCTACAAGAAAGCAAGCGCGAAACTCCGTAAATTTCACCTCGACAAGACGGACCACGACGAACTGCCTTATTTTGAGTTCTCCTTCGTCAAAAACGATGGACCTTGCAAGCTTCCGGAATACATCGAGGGTGATATGTAAGTGAAACACACAGGTCTAGGCAACGAATGTCTTTGTGTTTTCAGTGAAGATTGGAGTAAGGAAACGGAGGCCGACGTGGCAGTCTGTCTGAAGCTGTCCAAAGGAGTTTTGATGAGCGAGGCCACGAGAAAGAAACTCGGAGCAATCAGCGCCAAGACGGCGACAATCCGCCATTACACCAATTGCTACCGTTTCATGACCGGAGAGGTCAAAATCAAGGAGGACATGAGAATGATCACGCAGTTCCCGGATGGAGCCCAGCACATGTACACAATTGATCACGCGTCGTTCCGGAATGACGACGACACAGTCATCACTGAGATTTTCCTGAATAACTTGCAAGATTTCCACGAGGTAACCGAAAAATCCAGTCATTCTTGAAATATATTCGCTATTTTCCAGGTTATTGCACTCCTCCGCAACGAGTGCATGCACATGAGTCTCTGGGAGTCGATCATGGCCATGTGCTACGAGAAACAGGGCATTGCAGAGCACAAAGTCTCGGCGATCGATATGCACGTTTTCCTAAGCAGAGAATCGATTGTGATCTCATTCAACACTATTTACGCGCCAATCAAAAGTGAGCTCTATTCTGATAATGCAAACCCATGTTTGTATTCAGTGTACATCAGCGACAGCGGAGTTCTGGAGTTCAAGGTGCAAGTGGTGAACGGATTCACTGGACAGCAGATTGCCGCACGCATTGACGAAACGTTGAGCCGCAAACTCAATGAGTACGTTTGCAACGAAACGTGAAATTCTCGATAATTTGCTTAAAAGTGGTTGAGACACCCATTTTTAGCAACTGCATTGAACTTTTAGAGACTGTGCCGCACGCTTTTTGTTTAAAAAACCGCTTTTTTCAGGACTTGGAACATTCCGGTGATGCTGACGTACGCGGTGTCCGGTGAGGACTGCAATCTCTCGCAGATCAAGGTTCCGCTGCGCAAGGAGAATCCGGAGACCCGTGCACGCACCCCGCCACCGCCAATCAAGAGAAGACCTCGCAAATGATCTCATCACAGAATATTCTAACAATTGTTCTTGTTAAATTATATTTATGACCGACCGAATTATGAATAATTGTGATTCTGACTCGCATGCTTTTTTTCAGAAGCCATGTTCATTACAGGAAGGACAAACACACATTTTGTAGGAAGAAGGAAAAAGGAAAAATAGTTCTGATTGACGAGATCACAAAGACGAAACGCAATATGTACGAGGATATATTCAGAGGTTGCAGCCGACTATGTACAGTTAGGAATGAGTGTGGTATTCGTAGCCCGTCTCGAGCTCCGAGTTGACCACTTTCCGTCGCAGCCTCGAGGACAGTTCGATGTTGCTCTCACGCACCTGTAAACTGAATACAATTGTATCATTCAGTTTGGAGGACGATGGTACCTTTCCAAGGTGAAATGTCTCTTTGATGCTTTGTCGGAACCTTGTGGAGAGGAATGCGTAGAGGAACGGATCCACGGCGGCATTGAAGAAGAGAAGCAGGAAGCTGATGGGTTGGAGTACACTTTGCAAGCAATTCAAACATCTCGGCTCTGAACCAACCAAGACACATTTCAAGAAGATTCATAGATTTGTTTTTACCCATTGGATCTCTCCAAACGGTCCACATGAAATATACATATCTCGGGAGAGAGAAGAACGCAAATGCGACCACAATTCCGACTGCCAAACGACCAACCTGAAGAAAAAAGAAGGGTCGTGCTCAATAGACCGATCCCTGGAGAGTTTTGGTTTTAGTTTGATCTGTGACATGTGGTTGGGACTAAGCGGAAGCCAAATAAAAATAGTCGTTTACTGAATTCAAACAAACTGTGAACATGTGTTCTGAAACACTCTCTGGCCCTCATCTTTTTGCAATCATTCAGTTTCCCTCGGCAATAAACAAACCTTGCGTCGCTTTTCCACTGAAACTCCGCCGGTCGAAGCTTCTGACCTCCAACTGGACCTTGGCAGCAGTTTATTGGCGGAATGTTTTGTAATTGTGGCCGCTTTGCTCACAACCAGTCCGATAGTTGCGTAAATGCAAAGCAGGATCACCAGCGGAATTGCATACCTTCAAAGATTTCCCTAATCCTTTTATTTTGTCTGATTTCCCTTACCAGACAATGAAGTTGATGGTGGCCACCATTTTTAAAAGATTAAAACCATAGACTTCCACATGACGTCTTGTGCAAATCTAAAAACAGATAGATCAAAACAAGATTTTGTTGCTTCTTTAGGATTCCCAAAAACGGAAGCTTTGCTCACCGTGTAAGTCTCATTTCCATCCGAAATTTCCAAGAACTGACTCGCAACCACGTACGGGGTATTCATTACGGCGCTAGCTGGAAGCAAGCAAAATTTTATTGACAGTTGCTTTACGAGAAATTGCTTACTGATCCAAACTACAGCCGACGAGGTTATGAGCACTTTTTGCGAAAAAGCTCTTCGCACACGCAACGGGCGCAGTACCGCAATCAATCTCTCCACAGAAACCAACACCTGCGGAACGAAAACATATCTAGTCGGATTTCAGTTTCAATGCGTACCAATATTCCAGCCGACACATTTGGGATGAAGTGGAGCACGTAGATGTACGAGTGACAGAGAACTTTTCCGAATGGCCATCGACCATGTCCGTGTAATACAAAATTTACTGCGTTCTGTAGAACGCAGAATATTCCGACGAACAGATCCGCTACCTAGAGGATACAAATGTCTAGGGTTGAGGATGAGCTCATTAGGAGGTACCGTAAGATTGGCCAGGAAGAAGTTGGGAACACTGCGGACCTTTTTCTGAGAGAAAAAGACAAGAAGAATAATTAGGTTGCCTGAAACAAGCAATTATCGAAAAGTTTGCCCTTTCGGTCTCCCCCCGTCTCCCCGTCATTTCCAGTAGTTTGTGCCGATAATGTCATTTTTCGATTATGGTAGGTGATTCAGTGATTTTGCCACGTAATAGAACCATTAATGGCTCCTAGAGAAATTCGCGTCTTCTGGCGCCAGAAAATGTGAGACTTAGTGAATCAAAAACGAATCGGTTTCCAATGTTTGCTTATTCGACTTTCTGTTTGCTTCCGATTCAAAAGGTGTCCTAATGAGAAACTCAAATTGAGATTTAGTCACATTGAACAGAGAAAAAACACAGTCTGCTGATCAGTTGGGCACTTACCGATGATAGTGGCGAGAAAGACGAAAAGATAGGATAGACAGAGGAGGAAGTGTACCACCGGATGGTTAAGAGGAGTGTCGCTTTCCATTCGTTCTGAAAAAAAAACGAAATGCGTCAAGACAGTGACTATTTCTGAGGTGTGAAATGATAGAGTAGACATGAGAACGTCAGTGAAGCAGGTGGAAAAGCGGCTCAAGATCACATACGCATAGCATCATTCGTCATTGTTGTGGGGTCGGAAGGAATGGGCGGAGCTTCCGAGCCACAAGAATGAAAATAAGATAGGATTGCGATTTCGAGGCGTTTGAATGAAATAAATGAAAAAAACTGATGAAAGTTGCAAGGCGAGAAGAAAAGAAGATCAAAGACGCACCAAAGTTGAAGAGCTTGGAAATTGAAAACGAGAGCGAATGTGTGAAAGTGAGAAAGAAAAAGATGGTCACGCGTGAGACGAATTTCGGATATGTTCGCATGTTTCGGGAAAAGTACCTTCCAAGAAGAAGTGAAGTATATCACACTTTGCTATCCTATCCAGACGGAGAATAACCTTTGGCACTTTGGAGACAAAACAAACACCATTCTATGAATAGAATGTGTAAGCAAGTGAGGAGCAGTTTAAGGTTACGACCTACGAGTTACGGGACGCGGCTCAAAGATGAGTATGCACCACATGAAGTTGGGCGGAACTGCCCCCGGAATTGCTGTGTGATTCGTGGAATCAAAGACCTTTCGTCAACTTTCTGAGGGGGGGGGGGATATTAATGATAACTATATAGAGCCAAAAGTGTTCAGATAATCTTTACGGCGGATCAGTCAGGCAGCTCAGAATACGAAAAAGAAGGAATTGTTAAAGATCACTAGAAGAGAGCTTCTTTCAGACTATAAATATTCAACAAAATGGCGTCTTGCTTTCACGGAATTCATTAGAAGTGAGATTAATTGAGCCCTGGTCCGACTCTCACACATTCTGTAGACATGTTTTTGTTTGAGCAGACTGCCGAGTGATACGTGTTCTCAGAAAACTGTGTAATTTGGAGAGAATTACATATTCGTTGTGAAATTGGTTCTTATTATCTCGCAAATTGGACTGACATTTAGTTGCAAGCTGCGCTTCAAACATGCAAAATTGGGACAAGAGTGATGAGCAAAACCAAAGGAAAATGCTAATATCCGGAGAGGAACGCAATGGTGTCACACACCCAACCACGTCATCACAGGGCTCTGGGTGCGAGGAGCTAATAGTTTCTGTGTGGGAGAAAATGGGGGCGCAAAGTGTGACGGAGTCCGTTTATCTCTGTCTAGTTTTGTCGCGTGTATTCAAATTAAAGTGAGAGAAAAAGAGGAAGGACCCGACGCTGCTATTCGTACGTGCAAAACTTTTATGGACGTTTTGCCAATTAAAAAAGGAAGGATTGTTCGCGGATTCGCGGATTGACGGATTGTTCGCACCTCTTTTCCTCCTTCTCATTCGGAGACACAAAAGTGTCGAGCAAACAGGAGAAGGAGAAGAGTTGCAACTCCGAATGTACCGATGAAAAGGACAGCGAGAGGGAGGGAGAGTGCACAAATGGACCGTATACGGACTGAAATCCGAACACAAAAGAAACGGGAGTGACCCGTGGTCAAAGAATACTTTTTGTGATTGAGTGACCTCGCCGCAGCCGCTTAAGTGGACAAAAAAACTTTCCATTTCTCCTCCGGTTTTGATTTCCTTTCCCGGTTTCCCTTCTGATTGATACACTTGAAGGGTTTGTGGAAGAAAAAAGAAAGGAGGAACTGAATGCGGATTGAACTGAGGTTCGTGGAGTTGGCGTGATGTTGGAATCCGATATAGTCATGAATAATTCCCGGGTCATATGGCAGAACGATCAACGATTTCCTCATCTAGGACCTGCCCCTTATTTTGAAAATCACATACATGGCGTCCAATGAGATGGTTGACAAATTTCGTTTTGAATTATTCAGACATTTCATGCCAAGACTTCTCCACTACATTCTCTTCCCTCTTTTTTCAGTTTTCTCGGAAAACTTTTTGGTTTTCTCATAGGGCACAGAGGTGTTGGGAGGATGGAGGAGGGAGACAAAAGTCCGGAAAAGTTCAAAGACCGATGCTTTGCTTTGATCATCGGGTGTAATTAGGCCCAATCGCATGTGCAACCGCTTATTCTTATTCAACAAGCACAAATTGTGCCCTTCAATTATAATGGGGCTTGCCGCTGGTTGCCAGAGAGAGAGAGAGAGAGTAAGAAGACAAAATTTGTAGAGAAAAAAGTATAGAGAGCAAGTACAGAAAGAGCATTGGGAAACGGAAGATCATATTTCAGAGATCTTTTGAAACTGTTCTTTTTGTGACCAAAAAAGAATCCAACTTAATGTGGGATGTGATGCGGAAAACGACCAAAGAATTTTTTCCTTTTTGCACGCACTGTGCTCGAGAGCAAAATGGGGCTGTAAAGCTATACGGATTTGAATTGCAACCAAGTTTTTGATTAAATCTGCAAAAAACAAGGATTGAAGTCAAGTTTTACAAGCGCTTTATTGCAATTTCAACATCTCGAGTAAGAAGAAATGTTAGGCTCGACGGGTTGCGAAAGGTCGAGGGATTTCACCCACGGTTTAGAATTACAGACGCGTACGACTAATGAAGCAAAGGGGTACAGTAGAACTGGAATATTAGAGCCTCCTCTTCTGTTCTTTTCCAGATTCTCATCTCACATTTGTCTGCTCATTCAGCAAAGACAAAAAATACTTGAAAAACTTCAAGTTTTCATGTTATTTTATTCTTATTCTATTTGGCATTGCTTTGACGTAACAGCAAAACGAAAAATGAAAACAACAAAAAATGAAGACGTATCCGAGAAGTCAGCGGAAACGTGCGGAAACGTAGTGTGAGGAAAATTGCAAAGTTCCGGGGGGCACCGGGGGGATCATTGAAATGTAGGTACCAGGAAGAAAAGAATGTCAAAGTGGGAGGAGACCAGCTCCAATCAAATTCTTGCAAACTCTCCTTCCATTCTGAAAGTTTTCCCAGAAACGGAAGCAGGCTACACACCCAGACTCGATGATGATCGCTTCTCCGAGACAGCTCATAATAATTGTGAGAAGCGATGCGCTCGCTCAGGAGGATAAAATAAAATAAAACAAAACATGATCCGATCTTTGAGAGTTTGAAGCAGATGAGAATCCAAGAGCACTTTCACTCAATCCAAAGTGATCACTGCAAAAGTGGTCACGAAGGGAATTGGAAAATAGTAAAAAAAATGTTCAGCTTTTGCCCGACGCTCCATACACAAAGCCTACTAAAACCCAACGACGATAGACATGTCGGTGACGTGATTTCGATTTTGCGGTTCAAATTAAAGTGGGTAACAAATGACACGCACTGAAACATGAGCTTTTTTCTGTTGGTGTGGAAAAATCCCATGCTCCTCGCAGATGCTCTTGACCAACCCAAATGTTGTTGTTTAGCCGCCAGCTCCGTTGTAATTTGTTCCAGAATCTTCCACTAAACAAGGGATGGGAGTCCTAGGGGACCTAGAGTGATACTTTGACTATAAGGTGTCAAACACCATTTGCTCTTACTATTTTCCTCGATTCGCAATTAAGTCAATGAGATACCAAAACAAGGTGAAGCGCAAAGCAAAAAGGTCAGAAATTGCAAATTGTTCTGTAATATTCGATTCAATTTACGATTCTGAGACAATGTGTGCTCTGCGGCCCCGTATCTGCCTGCAACACCAACCCACGGATGTCCGTCACATGTACTAGAATGCAAGAAAACGTTTCGTTTGGCAACAAGAAAAAAACCAACAAAAACCAGATTGGTCTCTCAGGTCAGGTCAGGATCTCCAGGTTCAACCGGAAACAATCTCGTTTGTTGGTTTTTTGTTACCAATTGACTGCCACAACGCGTTGGAGATGTTTCAAGACGGAAAAAAGCAAAAAAAAAAGCGACAAGGCAACAATTGTGATTCGGTTATGTGCTTTCACAATGTTTGATCTCGATTTTCTATCAAATTTGGGAAACATTACCGAAAATTAAACAACTGTTGGTAGGCAAACGCGAATTGGGACCAGGATATCCGATGACACTATATGAATAACAGAAAAAGGAAGAAATCATTTTGACCTGGCTATTAAATTAAATTGGCAGCGACGCGAGATAAACGGGAAAGGTCTCATTATTATTTAATTTGAAAAGATGGCGGCTGTTTTTGAAAAACAGGCATAAATTCTTGAAAAGATGGAAGATCGGCTGAGAATTGAGAGGTGTTGTGGGGGGAGGAGGGAAAGGCGTTCTTTCGCCGCTCTTGAATTTAAAAACGGCTACATGCATACGATTTTCTTGCTGCAAAACGACCAGAAGAGGGCAAAAACTTCTCGATGAGGTGCGAAAATGTGAAAAGCTATCCTTATGAAGACTGCCCTCTTCTCTTCTTACTGCCGCCGTTTGAATGGGTTGCGCCCTCGTGTTTGTTCGTCCCTCCGTACCTCGGAATCATGAAACACTTGTCCGAATCGAATGGTTTTTGAAAAGACGACGGCGAGAAAACCACCCGACAACGTGAGGGACTCGAGAAATGTCATACCCTTTTCGTATGTGTGCAATTGAGGAAATGGTGGATGGGAAATGAAATGAGTATGAGCAGAAAGTTGAGAAAATTTTGTTTTGCTGAGCTCATTGTTGTGTCTCGACTCGAAAATACGCGTATGCAGAGGAAGTTCTAGTCAAAACGCATTCCAACAAAACCATTTTCCGGAAAAAGCACCTCATTTCAGCTAACGAACGCTTTCAAAAATTGTTCCATTTCAGAAATAACAAAATGGAAGAGTGTTCCCAGAGAATGTCTAGTCAGCGTGACTTTTCTCGGAAGAACTCAAACTGAAATCGGATACTGTGCGCGGCGTTCACTCGCCAGGTGAAAGAATAAGGGTAAAAATGGAGAACACCGAGAACATTGTCTATTTGACCAGAGTTGCCGCATCATGTGAAATGTTGGCACTAGACAAAGTTGCCTATGTACGGTCTTTGGTTCAATGTTGTTGCTGACCTTTTGATATACTCTCAAGTACTCTCTCAAGTTTCCTTAATTCTGTCTCCTGTTTGAATGAGATTTTTGTATTGTGTCGCGTGCAAAGTGAATAAAACGTCAAGTCACTAATCGAAAACGTTTTGCACAGAACAGAAAGAGATTGGAAACAGGTGAATTATTTGAACCAAATGGTCGGGCGGGTACAAGGAGAACTTGCCAAGTGCCAGTGCTCAAAACTGAGAGTGGAACGTCGATCGGCTCGTAAGCGAAAATCTCTGTGTATTGCATTTCTCGGCTTTTGTCTATCCTATGTTCTTCCCGCCAAAAAGTACGCATGTTTACCGACATCTCACAGCTTTTTACCGCTTTTTCTTTCTTTTTACCTCATGTCATCGCGAAGGCTCTCCGTGTTTGCACTGGTCTTTTTCAATCATTTAGATGTACATAATAATGTGATTTTACTTGTCTTTCACCCGCCTTTTGTTTGGTTGATCTCTTAGAAGATGTTTGAAATTTAGCGTGAGAAACGGGATCAGATTCGGAGCGGAAAAAAACCGCGGCGGTGGCGAAAGAGGAAAGGATCGGTTGAGGTGGCGAAAAACACGAAACACAAGGTCGGCCTCAGGTGGTCGGAGCTTTTCACAAAGATGAACCTGACCGAATCGGAACCGAACTCGGCAGGGGTATCCGGTTGCCGACAACGTGATGCCGTCAGAGTCTACTGCAACTCGATAGAGGGTGGAGCAAAAAGTTTGGAGAGGTGGAATGGAAGATCCCTGTGGTTTTTGGCGCTTTGTATGAAATGAAACATGAGATTTTTCAGGATTTCCCCTCGAAAAACTTCAACGAGACACCTAGAAATGTCTTACTCTGTTCTTAGACCATAGGGGACAAAATAGTACCATTTACAGTCCCGGATTCAAAAAGTTAAAAATATCGATTTGGAGGAGCCGGTGGTCAGACCTCCATCGGCACATATCGGCCGGTCCGGCCAGCGACAAGTCTAGTTGCAAGTCTGTGAATTAGGAATTCAAGAATTTTGAAAAACAATATCCGAAACGAGCTAGTCAAAAACCCCCATTCTTTACCACAAAAATTAAAACTTGTTGTTGCAAAAAGAGTCCAAAGAACATGCCACAACTCAAGGAAATCAGCAGGGATGAGAGAATGACGGATAGACGTTATCCGACACAATTTTCACAAACACCGGGTGCCTCATTGGATGCCAACTAATTGTTTTACACATCTCGTGCGAAGACGAAATTATTCTGATTATTCACTCGAGATTAATCTGTCATAACATGCGGAACGCTAAAATTTGGCAGACACATAACATAACTCAAGAAAATTGAAGCTAGTGGAGACATAAACAAGGTATGCATCTAGAAGTGGACGAATTGGGTCGGGTATACCAAAAAAAAATTGAAGTCTGATTCTTCCAATTACCAGTTTGGCACGTGAAAAACAAAATGCTGTTATTGGCGAGCATGTCATACTGAAAAAGCAGGAAAAGCTGGAACAAAAGAAGACCGATGAATTGTGAAGGTTCTGAGAAGGGCCCAATTGAAAACAATGGGCGCGAGAGGGGCGAACGAATTAGGCTTACGCTTTCTTAATTTGGCTGTCAAAAACAGTGAATGCTGGCAGAAGTTCTGAGCTTTTCGTCCTTGTTTTCATAGAAATGATGACTCAGATTGACATAACTAAAGGAAGAAATGACAACGCACTGCTCATGACAAAAGTGGGGATCAATATAGAATACAGTTTCTGATCCGACTTTTTCTGTTTTGATCAGGATCGAATGGAAATATATTCATTTTTCAGAAAAGTATACGATTCAACTCTCGACTCTGCGAAAATGATCGTTGCACTCATTATTTTGGTCAAAAACCGAAAACGCTTCTGATTAGCTTGATTCTCACCTTTCCCCCTTTTCACCTAATTATACACATTTATTCCGGGAAAACACACAATATATTCGGGCAATTTATAGTCCTGATAACACTTTTGATCGTTTCGTTTTTGATGAGTAAGCAGTGCAATTGATATGTGTCGCAATTTGGAAATAATCATCACTTTTGCTCCGTCATCAATTGCTGTGAGGTCTCGAAATTTCTGTCATCGGTCTTTCATGAGCTTATTCATCAGGTAAAAGAGTGGAGAAGAAAGCAGTAAAAACCGTTCTTTCTGCTTGACTGAATAAGTACATCAGTAGGAAACTGTTCTAATGTGTTATAAAGGGCTATTGCGTTTCCCTCAACTGCTGGTAACTTTTCTTTCGTATTATTGTGAGTTTATTCAAAAATTTCACTTCCTGCTCCGGTTGAGAACAGAAAACCTGTGATTTTCTGTAAATATCATCTCTAATCCTAGATTAGCATAGTTTGCGTGCCATTAAGCATCCCCATACTCTTTTCACGTTTTTTCAAACGGCCTTTCAATGAAATTCCAGATTTTTCTGCAGGACTTGTCATATGCAATGCAAAACCCCTTCCAACGAAAACACATTTTGCTCCAATAAACGTTTCTCAAAGGGAACGTTGTGTTTTCGTTCACCCTGATTGCTTTTCCGTTTCCAATCCGTGTTTTTATACGCCCCGGGCTTAGTCAAAGCATATTCCTCGCAATCGTGCGGCCGTTCGTTCGCTCCTGTTGCCCTGCCAACCATAATGGTCCGCAGTCTTCCCCCCTCGCACTCTGCGTCTCACTTTCCTGCACACCCTCTCGTTTCCTGTATGCATATCGATCATGGCACGATCCAGTGAGCGCATTCGCTCTCATCCTCTCTCCGGTATACTCATTGTTTTGATTTCCGCTCCCTTTGTTGTTCGTGTTGTTCACTTGACATACATAGTTTGCAGAAAGTTTTATTCTCAGATTATAATATACTCGAGAAGCAAAGCGCACATTGTTTTCCGAATTCACATGACTATTTGAGAAGTTTCCGCTCCGCCGCGACCATATAGCTTTGATTGATCCCAGCTCACACTCTTTTTTTTCTGCTGGGGGAACAGCTGCCCAAACAGAAAGATGAGGACGTCTCAACCTTCCGCATCTTCCTAGTCATTTAGAAGCTATGTTGTTCTGATTGTGATAGGCACAACACACAATATCACACTTTTTGTTGACTTTCCCTACATGAAGGGTTGCATTTCGAAACGCGCAACATTGTGTGAATCATCTCCCTTCGTTCCAGTGTGAAACGTTATCGCGCATCTGTTTTTCCACCTCGGCTTCTTCTGTCTAGAAGAAAAAGGAAGCGGTGAATGAGAAAAGAGATGGTGAGATGGTCTTCTTAAGTTTCCTTCGAAAAACCAGATTCAAATGAAGGAAGGGGTGGCGGTGGCGGTGGCAGTGACACGTAATACGGCGATGTGCCTATACACATAGAGAACACCCTTTTCCTCGGGCTTCCTCCTTCCTCTTCTTCTTTTCTTTCCACAAGTTACCTCCTCCTCCTCCTACTCCTCCTACTCTTTTCCTCAGCCCTCCGGAGGGTTCTTGTAAGTCTCCCTTTTGCCTCAACTATCCGGTCCTCTCGCCAACGCTAACTCTCTGCGTTTCTCCTTCTCGCGCTTTACTTATTTCACTATTTCACTCTTCCTCCACGGTCGAATGTCAACATTCTCCAGTCAGCCGGCAGTCTCTAGTTTCCAGGCCGCACACGTACTACACTTCTCTGCGTCTCCATCACTTTTGTTTCCGAATTTATGCAGTACTTACTACTTTTTTTCTCACACCGTGGATGAGAAAAAGAACGTTTTTTTTTTCTTTTGTTCCCATGTTCGTCGACGTCAGAATTTCTATTTTTCTTTTCCGCTTTCGAAATTAGGAGTACGACACTCCCGCCTTCCGCATGTAACTGTTTGCCAAACTTTTTTTGCCCGCTTTTTTGTCATCACAAATTGCGTTTTCACTCACTCACCGAAGAACATGTGTATCTTGTACTATTCGAGATGCCAAGATGGTTGTAGTCTAGAGCACAAAACCAAACCGAAAATCACTTTTTTTCTCAAAAAAAATATTGAGTACTCTTATTCAGATGAGTCTAGAAGAAATAGAGGAATTGGGGTCTAATTAGAAGTGAGAAAGAACCAGTCCGTCAGTCCCGACGGTTTCTTGTCGTTTGCAATTTGTTCGCATCAATTAACACCCTCTTCTCTCTCATTTTCTCACTTTTTGAACAATCGCTGGAAAAAACAACGGGTCGATATGGGGTCTTATCGATAAACCACTGAAACCAGCTCGTGATGCATAATCTACGTCATTTTGAAACGTAAATTGTGTGCAGAGTTAGTCACCCAAAAACATTTTCGTAGTTCTGACTTCGAACTTTTCCGTTTTCCCTGCTCTTCAGTTTAAGTTCAAGTTCAAGACGTCCAGGCGACTTGCTGGCTGATAGCTGACGTCGGAATAATTGTTTCCAATCTTGGTCTTTTCTCTTATCAGTGCCAAAACTGCCCGCCGCACTGTCCGTGTTAGCGTCCGTCCGATTCTCTTATTAGTCTCTTTTTGGCATTTTAATCATCTGTACTTTCCCTTCTTTCTCTTCTCCTCGTTTGTTGCAATCAATATTCCTTTTTTTTTCCAAAATGCCGTTTTTCCTCTTGAAATCTGATCCGTGGGTCTTCCAGAAATGGCAAGCACACCAGGCGTGCTTGTCGACGACAATGTGCTGGAGGTGCTGCGCAAAGCACAACTCGACGCGTTCGTGAACAAATTCGTGTTCCAATTCAACGTCCGACGATTTGATCACTTCTCACATGTACGGGATAAAGATATGCAGGTATTTGGCGTACAAACATGTTCATCCGGATGAGAACAAGAAAGTTTTGAAGGAAATCGGGATGCAACAACAGCAGATCAGACAACTACGTGAGCAGATTCTCAAAATGTCGCGAGAAATGTGGAATCGCAGCGATCCGAAACAAGTCTACGTGCAGTCGGATCAATCGACGCCTATTCAGAGCACGATTGACGAACGAGCACTTATTCCCAATGAGCAGGTACCAAACAAGGAACGCTCTAAAATTAACGTTCAATTGTACATTTCTAGATCAAATTGTACGAACTGATCGGTGAAGGTTCATTTGCGGTGGTCAAACGAGGTACCTGGACACAAAGCAGCGGACAGACGACGGATGTGGCCGTCAAAATTCTGCGCGACATCTCGCCGAACATTATGGACGATTTGAGAGTGAGTCGTAGTGAGCAAGCGGCTGTCCATTCACGTAAGTGCCCTTTTCAGGTGGAAGCGAGTCACTTGCTCAAGCTCCAGCACCCTTCACTCATTCGCCTCTACGGAATTGTTCGCCAGCCGGCAATGATGGTTTGTTTGCACCGCCGATTTTATCTCGAATTTCCCGTTTCGAAACGTGAATTACAGGTGTTTGAACGTTGCGAGGGAGGCTCACTTCTCGACCGGTTGAGGGATGACAAAAAGCCGATTCCGCTCGTCTCGAGGCTCCACGATTATTGTATGCAGATTGCGAAGGCGTTGCAGTTCTTGGAATCGAAACATTGTGTGCACCGAGACGTGGCCGCTAGAAATATCCTTCTCTCCAAGGATGAAAAAGTATAAACACCACGAACTGATGATTGAAGTACAACTTTTGATTTTCAGATAGTCAAAATCTGCGACTTTGGTTTGATGAGAGCGCTCAAAGAGAACGAGCAAATGTACACAATGGCTCCTCAAAAGAAGGTTCCATTCGCCTGGTGTCCTCCAGAAGCCCTCCGCCATCGCAAGTTCTCCCACGCCTCCGATGTCTGGTCGTACGGCATCACAATCTGGGAGATTTTCACATTTGGAGAAGAGCCGTGGGTCGGGTGTCGTGCCATCGACGTACTCAAGAATATGGACGCGGGAGAGCGGCTCGAAAAACCCAAATACTGCTCTGAGCGCCTTTATCAAATAATGCAAAATTGTTGGAAATCCAATCCGGCGGAGCGATGCAAATTTGGTGCAATCCGCGAGGATTTGAAAGCGGCCATGTTCCTTGAGGCGGTCGCCAGAGAGGCATACAACTCGATTCAGCCGGGAACTCTTCAGCTGATTAAAGGAGATGAAGTTATCGTTGTCGAAAACACGTTAGTTTCTTTTTCCCATCGCTTCTCTTTCTCTGAAATTGTTTAAATGTTTGCTTTAGGGGTCAAGACTGGTTTGGGCAGAACAAGAAGAACCAACACTTTGGCACTTTTCCGCGAACCGCCGTGTTCGCTCAGTCAAATCACGCGGTTGCGGCAACCACTGCAGTCACTCCACAGGTGATTTTCATATGTATAGGATTACTATATGCAAATTTTTGCATTTCAGAAAGTTCCGACGGCGCCAACGATCAAAGTTCCGCCCCAACAAGTTATTCAGCCGCCCCCATTGCCATTTGCTCCAAAGCCTCTGAACAACAATAGCATTACTTCTGTCCACGACCGAGGATCGAGAATTTCAATGCCAGTTGCAGGTTAGGCAATAAATTAGATGGAAACGTTGACTTGACTTTAAATTTGCTTTTTCTGTCCTCTGTTACATGCCCCATGTTCCCATTCAGGTTCCTTCATTCATACCGGCCATGGAGATCCCTTGGGCGGTCAATCCTGGGGAAATCCCTCATCCATTGACCAAATGTACTTGAAGAATCCAGTGAAAGGTGTCCCTTTGTCAAGGTTTGTCCATCCATCCATTCATCCCAACTCCCCTCTGTCACCCGAAATCTTTTAGCATGTCCAACGGCGCCGAAGTCATTGCGAGTAAAGTTCAGTTGACCAACGGAGGCCGGAATACACATGTCCCTGGTGAGTTTTATTTTCGTAAACAATTTCGTCCTGGTGCCTCATCCTCTCCGTTTTTCAATAGTTTTTGTTAGCGCTCAGTGTCATCGGGGCGCTCTTTTTGTGTGTGTGTGGGTAGAAGAAGACTGAAACGAGGCCGTGTTTGCTCCTCACATTTATCAAAATCAAACTCAACTTCTTGTGTCTCGTCTATCTGTTTGATAACCTTACCCGTATGTCAGCCGCCTCATCCGCTTCCGCCGCCTCCATTACTTCTGTCCGTGGTCTGTCCCTTGATCTTCCGGAATTCGACGATTTTGATCGCGCGTTTGACGACAGTTTCTCGCCCTCAAATATTGAGTTTCCTAGAGGTTTTGGTGAGTTACATTTTGAATATCCGAGACTGACCAACTAACTCAACAATTCTAGTCAAAACCGGATATAACGTTAATGTTATTCAGGTAACGAAAGTATGATCAGCCACGTCAGCAACGGATCCACCGCCAGCACTTTCCTGTTAGATGGCCCAAAGCCAAATGATCATGTCTTCGATGTTCGTGGAAATGTGCTCCATCCTACGCCCATTGAAAAAATTCCATCCGCCACTTTGAAACCGATTCTGGTTGCTCCGTCAAGCATTGGAGTGGTCACTATGGAACTGCCGGACAAATTCACCATTCCACAGCCACACAGTTCGATTGGAATCAACAGAACCGCCGCTGACCCAATGCGCGTTCAGGTGAGTCATCGTTTTGTTGGTTGTACTTGTTTGAGTACTAATCTTCTTGTTTGCAGCCCCGCCATAACAACTCTGCCGGTTCTCGCCTTGACAGCATGGGGAGCACCGCCACGCCGAGACTCTCGGATATGAAACCATTTGTGATCGATACCCGACAGAACAATCAGAACTTCCTCCCGGAACTTCAAAATCGCTTGGATCTTGGAAATGACGTTGGAAATGCGATGCGTCCCCGTCCGGCTTCATCAATTGGAATTCAAAACAACGGAATAACTCAAATCGGCGGCAACATTCAGCGGCCGTTCTCAGTCATCAACACGCCGACAGTAATTCCGTGCTTGGTCCCGACTCCAGCTCCAATCTCTTCTATAAATCCGACTCCAAACCAGAAAGTGCTCACGAATCAGGCGAATCCACTGCAAAAAGCACTGACTGATGAGTTAAAGGGCAATCTGAGCAGAAGACCGACAAGCACGAGCGCGGCGAATGAAAGTACGGCTCCACAGGGTCAGCGAAACGTTCTGCTGCCGCAACAATATCCATTCAACCCGACTACTACGAGTCAGAAGCCGTTCCAGCCGCAACAAGTCAGACTTCCACTTCCAACCACGTCATCACCTTCAGTGTCTCGTCCAGTGCTTTCGCAAACCCAACCAGCAGCCGCTCCTTATGTTCCACCAGCTCACCATGTCCCTCGCGCGACGGCTGCTCCAATTCCAGCTCCTACAGTTGTGCCAACTGCCACGTCGGCTGCAGCTACTGCTCCACCGAAGAAAGCTCCTACTCCAGTGGTGATTTCTCAGCAAACTGCAGCTTCATCGGCCAGTGTAGTCACTAGAAGACCGACACCAACCAATCCGCCAATGTCCGAAGAGGAGAGAAAATCGAAAATCATTATGGAGATCAACTCGGCGCTCCCCGCTCCCAGCTCTCTGCTTTTTGGCTCCAATTCCACGTCGTCACTCCCGTCGGTTTTGCCCTCGGCACCTTCCACGTCGACTGTTCGAGACAGACCAACTGTAAAGCTACTTTTTTGTCTTTTTCTTTGATAAACTGGGTTGTTTTCAGATCGCGCCATCTCAGCCACAACGGACCATGCCACCAAAGAAGACGTCCGAGCCGATTCTCTCGACGGAAGTTCTTCAGCCGACGCGTCTGAATACTACACCTGCGTCAGTCGCTCATTCAGTTGCCCAGCCTATCCGAAATCCATCTCCTCCCGTTGTCAACAACAAGCAACCAGTTCTGGCCGAGAAAAAGATCGCCGCACCGACGGCCACCACAAACGTTCCGTTGTTCAACATCACTAATTCGAGCAACATGTACCCACAGCTCGGCGGCGTTCCGAATTACGGAAATGGGTACACCCCATACGGATATGGTACGAATTATTACGGTGGAGGATATCAAGCATACCAGGGCTACAATCCCTATCTCAGCGGGATGGGACAACTCGCTCTGACCCACAGTGCCGTGACGTCATTGCCACCATTGGTTCCATCTGAGAATCGTTTCTCGGGTACTGCTCAGCCACTCGGAGAATCTGACATCATTGAGTTGTTGGGACAACAGAACAGACCTCCGGCGGCTCCTTCCGGTCAGGAACAAAATCCGGCTCGGATTCGTTCTGCCCCATCCGCCGCGCCCGGTGATGTGAGCATGGCTGAAAAGATGGAAGTGTTATACAAAGAGGCAAATTTCACAAAGTAAGTGTTTCCTGGCAACATTCAGTGCAAAATTGCTGTTTCAGGAGTGGCAACTGTGACACAATGGTGATGAACTGCAACGGAGACACTGAGCTGGCTCTGAAAATGTTGAAGCAGCAGCATCTGGTGGATATGGGTGTGGCCGACAGCACGGACCGGGCTCGTCGTGCTCTTGAATCTCATCAGTATGATCTCACCGCTGCCGTCAACTTTCTCCTAGGCTGAAATTAATCATATTTTTGCTCTGTACTGCAATCATATTCGGCGAATTCACTTTGACTCTCCGCTTGAGTATTGTAGCCCGTTTTATAATCTATTCTAGTTGTATATTGCGAGACAATTGGTACCTGTGATAAAGAAAAAAGAACAATAATGAGTTATAGTTGGAAATTGTGTTCAGTAGGCTTTACTTATTTGTCCCCTGTGTCTGTAAGTAGTGTATCAACCCATTCCCCTGTCATATTTACACCCAATCCTCAGTTGATTTTAGAACAATTGTACTACTTTGCCATTCATTCTCATCAAAATTCGATTTCACTTCTTCTCTGCCCTTCCCTTTCCCCTTCTCGCAAAACAGTTCGCGGAATAAATACAATCAAATCTGAAAAAAGATATTTATACTGAAGTTTGTAAATATATACAAAAATGAAGCAGAGAGCATACACAAATCAATATTTAGAATGAGTTTTGTGACCATTTTTTGTGACCAAAAAAGTAGCCGTCTTTGTGTACAGGAAAAAGAAGAAGTTATCGGATTGCGGTGACCTTACACAGGGGTGAAGTGAAATGCCGAAATAAAGAGGGAAACCGTAAAGAACTATTTTTGAGCGAGTTCTCTTTGCTGAACAGTTATCGGCTGACGATTGATGGCCGATGTGATGCCACCGGAGCGTGGCTGCATGAAGACTCTCGGCTGAGCAGTTTGATAGTTCTGATGCTGAGCAAAAGCAGTCTTGGCCTGCTGTGGTGGTGGCATTGGTGGACGAGAAGCGTAGTTGATCTATAAGACTATGACGTGAAAATCAGTCAAAACTAATAGGATTCAAACCTTGTAGTTGTTGTTATTGTTCATTTCGACCTTCTTCAGCTCCGGCGAGCTAGTCTGAGCCTCCTCGAGCTCTTCAGAGTTTTCCTCCGGCACAGTCATCGGTCTACAACAACAGAATTTCGTAACAAAACACTATCACAAAAAAGTCACTGACCGGTTGAAAAGATCCGAGCTCAACTGTGGTCTCTTTGGTCCCTGTGGCTTGAGCTGAATGCCGTACATGGCTCCGTTCTCGCGGATGGTCTGAAACACTCAAAACTTCTCTGTGTACCTGAAAATTGACACCTACTCTATAGAATCCTTGCTTTCCACGAGTGGCCACGAATTGCATTCCTTGGCACTTTGGACGTGGGATTTCCAGTCTTCCCAGCTCGCAAAGATTGTCACGAATAGCGGTCATCCTTCTGAAAAAAATGGAAAAGAGTTCATAAGATGGAAAGTGAGCGCGGAAAAACGGAAAAATGACTTATCATCAAGTTAAAATGACAAAGTGACGATATTGCGACGGCGTGGAATTGATAAGATGTGGAAGGGAAAAACGACTGATCGCATCAACCATGGATCAAGAACTGGGGAAAAAAAAAGATAATTCTCATGGGGGAACGTAACAAACTGATCTTGACTTTTCAATGCGTAAGCAATGCATAGGTGTGGTTTTTGGCAGGCTTTTCCTTTACCTTGAGTTGACACGCAAGAAAGGAAAGAGAGAGAGAAAGAAGGGGGAAAAGGGGCGAGACTATGCAAAAGCCCGTCCTTCTAAGGCAGTTGAGCAAATACCAGGTGAGACGCACCAACCTTTCAGCGCGTCTTTTAACTTGCCCCCTTAGACACGCCAGCATGATAGACTTGCCCGATGAATGAGAACGACTTTGGCAAAATGAGAAAACCCCGAAAAGGAAGGAAAGTGTCCATTTGACAGTTCTCGTTCAGCTTGTGACAGCTTTATGTTTGTGCCCCCATATGTGGCAGTGTAAATGTTTGTCGGCGAGGCGCAAGCAGTTGCCCAATTCCCAATTTGGTCGACTGCGCTCGCAAAGAAACGAGAGGAGCTGTTATCAGTTTTGGCCACAAAACTGCTGTCTTGGCATAAAGGAAGAAATGGGTTTAGGAGGTAGGGGGAACTTTGAAACGGAATTGAAACGAGGGTTGAACTGAACTCCCGCCCCTCTCCCCTCCTACTTTTCCATTCTTCTATTCTTTTCAATTCACGCGGCCCCTTACTGTCTGTCAATTAGCATAAAAGACCTTCTCGATGCCGCACAGTGGGACGCGGGGCAAAAACGGATTACGGGACAGCGGGGGGAAGTTGCGAATACGAATGAATAATCAATTGAATGTGACAAGTCGACGATTTTGTCTTCGGGAACCGCGAATCTCAACTTGTTGCCTACTTTAGAAATTCAATCTCGTGCATTTTGGAGAAGGGGTGAGCGGAGGCGCGAAAGCTGATTTGTCAACATTTTGGAACGATTAGCGCAAAAGTACATATGTAAAGGGTACACGGGTCAGATTGACCTAAGAGAAAAGAGAAAATAAATGGAAACGAAAGAAATGCGAATCGGATTAATTCAGTACAATTTTCTACTTTGCTGATGTTGCATTCAATTGCATCCGCAAGCAAAAAGTGTCTGAAGAAGACACGTTTCTTTTGGTGCGTGTCTCTGTGTGTGTGTGTCTATATCCATTTGTCGGTTTAATGAAACGTATCGGTGTAGATGGGTTTTCGGTGTGAAAAAGATTGAAGATGAAGATGAAGTGGAGAGGAAGAGATGAAGCATCTCTTTGTTTGCAAGTGAAATCATTCGATGGTTTAGTAGGTGAGAAAAAGAAAATGCATCTTCTTTACAAACAGATATATATATGTATATCCCAAATAGTTATACGTACACGTTTCGGCCACAACTGTCTGTCTGTGTGTCTATGCAGTGAGTGGTGTGAAAAGAGGAAGAGTTCGGGTTGAAGCGGACACACGCGCAAACAAGATACATTTGTACGATTACGGCAGCGGTTTGTCTTGGTTTTAACGAAGATCGAACATTTTCGGTCCGTACCGTGCAAGGACAAATTATGGATATGATGCATTGGAATTGAGTTTGAGTCACTCCGATGATGGATGTGTTTAGGAATTACGGTAATTCGTCTTCCCAGTGAGAGAGAAAACAAAAACTGTGAACAAGGAAAATGAAATTTTGAAGCTGAAAAAGTGATGACCTCAAAGTGTTGGTTAAGTGGCTGTCGCCTGGCATTCAATTCTATAACATGAAAGGAAATTTATAAGTGAAGAGTTTTGAACACCCGCAAGGGATCAAGACTTGCCTACCGTTCTTGATAAAAAGAGACCGATGCGCTGACTTTTTCTGACTGACAGACCAAGGGAGTGGAACGGTGAGCAAGAGGAGCACCCACAAATCACTGTGTTTATGTGCTTGTGAAGAAGAAGAAGAAGCATGTGCACCGGCGCTGCTCACCTGGCAAAAAGCTTGTACTACGTGTCGGCGGCGCGGTAGCTCGGCTGCTTTCGAGTGGTCATGACCAGGCGGCAAGTTGAAAAGACATTGGAATTCTCACTTGTGTGTGTGTGTGTGTGTGTGTGTGCGGAAGTTAGTGTGCTCATGGAGGCAGATTTTTGAGCACTTATCTTGTTTTATCAGACTTTCTCTCTCTCACTCTCACACAAGATCTTCCCTTTGGCTTTGCTTTGATGGCAATAGTACTACTGTACTGTGCATCAGCACCAGAGGCCAGTTTTTGAGGGAAAAGCGGCAATGACAACAAAGGAGGACTGAGAGTCTGAGGGTCAGAGTCAGTCCGGCCAAACTTCACTTGCATCCATATTTGTGCAAAGAATTGAAAAGAAAAGCAATTATGTTCGCTCACATCGAGCATTCCGATACAGTGCTCAAAAGGTCAAACATACATGACAGAACAGCGCCAGTGTCAGCACCGAAGTCGTAAAGATAGCTGAAAATGCACTCGTAAAACGATATCAAACGTACATTTTGCTTTGAAGTGGAAGGAGAAAACGAGAGGTCACGTACTTGTAGACAGACTATCGGATCAAAAATCTCTACAAATAAACAGGGAGATGAGTGTGAGCGAAGGGTGCACTGATCATAAGATGAGGTCTCTCCGCTGTTCTGTTGAACTTGAGGCTTTTAAAGGAACGTTTTAAAGGAGTATAAAACTCCAGAAGCACCTATCAAAACGTGGTTAGTCATGTTTGGTTCAGAAAAGATAATTGGTGTGGATAATGGATGTTTGTGTGTGGAACAGGAACCGCCTTCCTGGTGGCCGCCTCCAGGACGAGATCCTGCTGACTGGCTAAAAGGTTGTTTTGGTTGGTGGCTGGGATTAGGTCATGCTTGTCATCCATTCACTGTACAAGAACAAAAGTGAGTGGTTTTTGTCTTGGCGATGAAAAGCGGGCAAAAATACTAACAAGTGGGTGTAAGAGAAGAATGGTTGATATGAAATTGAAAAGATATACATAAGTGGATTGCGATTGGGCAAAACGATTGGCTCTTGAGGAAGGGTCTGAGACTGAAGAGACCGTCGGTGGGAGAAGCACTCGAAAAGGTAAATCGGAAAGGGTTAATAAGAGCGATTATAGACACACGCTTTCCACACAATCGTTGATCGGTTTGTCCATTGTATGGTATGCAAAAGTACGTAACCCCCTCCTCTTCTGCCCATTTTGAGAATGTTTTACTCGATTCGGTTCACTTTTTTATCGAGTTTTGACTCTATTCGACAGAAAACAGGAAGGTTAGAAGAATGGAAAAGGGAAAGAAGAAACGACGCATTGTTCGGATGATTTCAGACGGGGGACACGAATGGCAGTTACTACCATGTTTGTACCATATTCAGAAATGAGGGAGAACGAGAAAAGACATCATAAAAATGCATACCGGTCACATAAGAGGGGGCAGGAAGGGAAGAATGAAACAAAGAAAGTGCTATTCATACTTGTTTGCTGGGAAAAATGAAAAGGAATTAGGTATTCTTAGACGTCATCATCACAGTTTGGAAAACAAAGCCCGACGTCAGGTTCCGAAAGGTGGGGGATGACCCGACCTTCTTTTGGGTAGTTCCTTCCGCTACTCCGCTCAAATCCCGCTAATGAATCTCGAATCCGGTCGCACGTTGTGTTCTTGAACTGCCGATAGTCCCAACCGTCGAGACCGTTTCCACAAAGCGTCACGTTTATGTTTGCCTGAAAGGAATTTCAATGTATTCTTGAATCTTCCGGTGATCTGTTAGCATACTTTGAACGGACTCTCCCATCCTTTGTCTCCAACCACATTGTTTTTCCATCCGTGGAACATGAAATCCCGTTCACAAAATCTATCCGTCGTCAGAAAACCATCTCTGACCCATCCATGAGCTCTCCGGTAAATTCGCACCTTTCCGGGCCAAAGTCGAGTCGCACCTTGAAAACGAACACGTCACAAGTATGACGGGAAGGAATGAGAATGAGAGTTCACAAATAAAAGTGACCCGCCTTATCGGCAATGTTTACCTAGAGCCAACTTGCAGCAAGTGACGTATGCCATATAGGAGTCATAGCCGGTCGCATTGTGCCAGTATTTATCACAATTCGCCACCTCTTGGGTTGCGTACGGAATTACGGTTTTCAGGAGATGAATCTGCAAAGGAAAAAAAACAACGTTTTATCTTTGAAATTCTGAAACGTCCTGACTTGAAGCACTCCATTATCAGCTCCATTCCAATTACTCGGCTGGTTGAACTCCCACTCTCCCCATTTTTGGAGAAAATTCCTGGCGAACTGAGTGTTTCGGACCTGAAAACAAGAAAACATTTTCCCGATCTAAATAATCACGAACAATGTAGTTTCCACTGGCAATCTCCCAATTGAAGAAGCGCTCGTAGAAAATTATATCAACGCGATTATCAATCCACTCTTCCACGCAATGATTCGGATTAGCAATTCCTAGGTACAAAAGAACAATTTAATTCATCCTGTCTTTTGCAATCTCGATGTACCTGTGTCCGCATCTAAAACTAGCATCCAGTCGGCATCTCGAAGGTAAGCAGCCGCCGCGCAATGCTTTTTGAAAAACAACTGAATTCATCGCATTGTCTTTGTGCGTCAACCGCGCCTAACCTGCTTGTTTTTACCGCACTCTGTTTTTACTCGCTCATCATTATCGAGATCGATCATGGCCACCGAGTAGTTGGTTCCTTTCAAATAGCATTGCAATGATTCTTGCGCTACTTTATAGTGCCTGAAGTTTATGCAATTAGTAGGTCAACTTGCGGCAAACCGACGGTCAACTCACGTCTCCATACTGCTTTTGACAAAAGCGACAAAGATGAGGACTTTGCCGTAGAGCGGGGGACAATTTCCCATGTTCTGTCGAGCTGGGTACTTGGTCCGGGGTCTCAAAAACATGACATAGAGTTTTCGGACAAAAAAGTTCTCACCCAGGATGGAACCATGTTGGATCTTTGATAACTTTCAGTTTTGGATTATTATGAACTTCATGAATTGCTTGCTGAAACAGCCAAATTTTCAGTTTCCACTGCCACTGGAACTAACGTGGAAATCGGGACCGTAAGTGACATCAACATCATTGAATGTGTACCTCGAGTAAAAATAGAGCACAGTTACGATAACGACTACAATCAAAAGCAGTACATGTATCTGCCTCATCTGGAAATTTAGCAAATTATTGAAAAGAAGCGTTCTCGATATGAATTCTGAGAAGAAAACGGAAACGGAAAAAAATTTGACCTTCGGAAAGGGTGACAAGCAGTTTCAATCTTCTCAAAACCGTTCAATCCGGAAGCGATATAAGAATACTGTGAGACGGAGAGAGAGAAAAATACGACAAGGATCACGATCGGAAGAAGGGCAAGTGTCGGCGTAAAAAAACACAATACTCGACGATAGATTAGCGATGGGTCGCTTTTAAATTTGGACACAAGAATTTAATTACTAAAAGTAGGGTAAGGCCCCTAGACGACTTTCCGTGCTGATGCTCGAAGAAGAAAAGCAAATTTGTTCGAGTGGGAGCTTAGAACAAGGGTCAATCCGTGTGTTAGACCAGAGAATTGCACTAAGATCATTGTGGTTGTGATTTGTGGGTGAGAAAAACACTTGAAACAGACGGCATTTTTTCATTTTCAAGTCATTGTTCTTATTTTTCGGGAAAAACCAATGAGCGAAAAAGCTGGAATGTATTTGTACGAAACATTCGGTAGAGTTCTGCACGGTTTTAATTAAAAAGTACCTACTGACACTATACACCGACTGTTTGTGATCATCGTCAACTGATATCAGATAAATGGCATTGTTGTAATAATAGTCGAAAAAACCAGTCTTGAAATCGGCCTCATAGTTGGTCCGAAGGTGATTGGATTCGTATGTACTCTGAACTTCTTTCCTTTCCCGACTTCCCCTCTCGGACTTTTCACTTTCCTTTCCAGATGAATAGCCGAGAACCGCAATCGACCTATTGGCTGTTCTCCAATTGGGTCATCATTCAAAAGAGTGCGCGTAGTTCGCTTTTCGCGCGACAAAAATCCGATTAGAAGAAGAAGAAGAAGAAAAAGCGAGAGCGATAAGTTCATTTTAACGGTCATATATAGGTTCACATTTTTATTGATATCATCCCACTTCTTTATCGTGTCAAACTGTATGAGAAAACAATGATGAGACGGGCGGGACAAGGCGGTTGAATGCAAATTGGGAAAAGAGAAGAAAAGACGACGAAAAAGACGTGAACCACTCCTAAATGCACAACGCTCTATTCCGTTTTCAACAAAAGTTTGGTGTGTGTCGGTTTTCAAGTCTCCAATACATTTTTCATTAGCAAAACCCATTCATTTCATTCATTTCTCAAGACGATGTTTACAAAAAAGTACAAAAATCGTTAATAATGTTCAAATCACACGTTACAAATGTGGGCGAGAGAGACCTCGTTGTTGCAATGTTAGCCGACAATTGGGGGACATAGAGTTAGAGTCTGCTGGTTCCGTTCTGGGCAAAATGTCCGAGAAGCATGCGCGAGATGACGATGCGCTGGATTTGCGACGTTCCCTCGTAGATCTGGTAGATCTTCGCGTCACGCATCAGCTTCTCCACCGGGTATTCCGAGTTGAATCCGTTTCCTCCAAAGATCTAAATGAAAAAATGTTTTGTTAGGAACGGAAACTCTAAAAAATCAGTGGATACCTGCACGGCGTTGGTGGCAGCAATGTTGGCGGTGTCGGCGGCGAAGCACTTGGCGATCGAAGCGTTGTACGAGGAGCGGACCTTGTTGTCCACGTCGACGGCTGACTTGTACGTGATAAGACGGGCGAGCTCCAAGTTGACGGCCATGTCGGCCAGCATGAACTGCACTGCTTGGTGCTGAAAAAAAAGTTGCTACATAAAAACCCAAAGTTTCTGGTAAACTTACGTTGGCAATCTCGGTTCCGAAAGCCTTTCTCTGGAGGGCATACTTGGCCGACTCGTCGAGACATCTCCACGAAAGTCCGAGAGCTCCGGCGGCAACTCCAGGCCGAGTCATGTCGAAAGCACTCATGGCGACCTTGAATCCGGCTCCCGGGGCTCCCAGCACATTCTCGGCTGGAACACGGACGTCGTCGAAGGTGATGGTGCGGGTGTCCGAGCATCTCTGTCCCATGTTCTTTTCCTTCTTTCCGCGAGTGATTCCCGGGGTGTCTCCGTCGACGATGAAAGCGGTGAACGCCTTTCCGGCTGGAGTTTTCGGGTTCGGGTCAGAGCGGGCGAGCACGAAGAACCACTTGGCGTGTCCTCCTCCCGTGATCCAGGCCTTGGAGCCGTTAATGATGTACTCATCGCCCTTCTTCTCGCACTTGGTCTTGACTCCGTTCACATCTGATCCGGCTCCCGGCTCAGTGACGCAGTAAGAAGCAATGATGGGCTCGGCGGCGAGGGCTCCCAGGTACTTGCTCTTCTGAGCCTCAGTTCCAGCAATGTAGACAGGAGCAATGGCAAGAGACGGTCCCATGATTCCGAGTTGAAGCCCAGTGCATCCGTACGAAAGAGCCTCGACAATAAGAGCAGTCTCCAGCGTGCTCATTCCTGGACCACCGTACTTCTCCGGAATTTGTGGGTTCATGATTCCGAGCTCGTGAGCCTGCTTGACAATCTCCCACGGGAACTCTCCGCTCTCGTCGAACTTGGCCGCGTTCGGGACAAGCACGTCTTTCGAGAACTTGAGAGCCAGATTCTGAATTTCTCTCTGTTGATCGTTCAGATCTGAAAGAAGTTGGACTGCATGTTTCTGAGGATTGATTGCACTTACCAAAAGAGATTTGACGGGATTGGGTGGCAAGGACGCCGGTGGCAGAGCGAGTCAGTCCAATGGACGTGGCAGCAACACGAGAAAGCATTTCGATTAACCTTCAAAAATAGATTAGCAAAAATGATAATAAAAATGAACTGAGAAAGAGATATGAGCACGGGAATCAACCGTGGAAAGCAACAAGATAATAGAGGAAAGACACGGGATGAGATATTTTCTTTTCAAATCAAAAATTAAACCTTTTACATTTACAAAGTATACCAGTGTTTGTACAAAACTGTGATTTTCCCATTTGGCAGACGAGTGCCTAGTATCCTCCGTTCTGAGCGACCCGGGCGAGCAGCTGACGAGCAATGACCATGCGCTGAATCTGCGAGGTTCCCTCGTAGATTTGGAAGATCTTGGCATCACGCATCAGCTTCTCCGCCGGGTACTCCGTGTTGAAACCGGCTCCTCCGAACACTTGGACCGCGTTGGTGGCGGCGGAGTTGGCAGTGTCCGAGGCGAACAATTTGGCAATTGAAGCATAGTAGGATCCTGGGCGGCCCTTGTCAACCTGCAAACAAAACAATCCATGTTCTGGTTGGCTCGAGAATAATTGCAACCAATTTTAAAAATCGTCCTTCTGTACACTATTTCTGTGTGTAACTAAATCAAGTTTTCAAAAAGATGATGTGGTCAAGTTATTCATTTCTCTCCAGGACTGGGCAAAAGGTCGGCTTTTCAAAAGCCTGCCGAGGCCTAAACTTTTGGCCCACCCAATCGGGATGAAACATGGACCCAACATACTTTAAGCCGAGATCAAGAAGCTTGCAAAGTTTCGGTCCGATGGTATCATTGAAAGTGGGTCAAAAGTCCAGGCTGCGACTGTTTCTGTCCGGAGTTTTCTTACCTCATCGGCACTTTTGTAAGTCATCAGTCTCGCGAGCTCGGCGTTGATGGCCATCTCGGCAAGAAGGAAAGAGACTCCCTGGTGGTTAGCAATCTGCGTTCCGAACGCCTTTCTCTCCAGAGAATACTGCGTGGCAACGTCCAGGCATCGGTAGGCGACTCCAGTGGCCAGAGCGGCGACCGTCGGGCGGGTCTTGTCGAAGGTTCTCATGGCGACCTTGAATCCCTCTCCTGGGGCTCCGACAACGTTGGCGGCTGGCACGCGGACGTCTTCGAAAGTGATGCCACGGGTGTCCGAGCATCTCTGTCCCATGTTGATCTCCTTGCGTCCTCTGGTGATTCCCGGAGAATCTCCTTCGACGACGAAGGCGGTGAACGCCTTTCCGGCTGGGGTCTTCGGGTTCGGATCGGAGCGGGCAAGCACGAAGAACCTGCAAATTCAGTCGGGTTGCACTTTACCCTATTAGTTCATTCCTTGACAACAATAACCTGATCTCCTTATCACTCTCAAACTCTCAGTTCTGTCTCTCTCACCACACATCATCTCACAGCACTTTACTAGCGGTACAAAGTCCGCTCTCTCTTTTTCTCTCCCTTTCCTCTTTTCCACGACCAATTATTATCACGAATTTCCCGTCTTGTGTGTAGCCATTTGTTACAACAATGTGCGTCACCACGTGCGTCTCTGTCTCAAGCCAAAGTCCAAAGTCGAACTGACCAGTTGGCATGTCCGGCATTGGTAATCCACATTTTGGAGCCGTTGAGAATGTACTCGTCGCCCTTCTTCTCGCACTTGGTCTTGATTCCAGCCACATCGGATCCTGCTCCAGGTTCAGTGACGGCGTACGACTAAAAGAACAATGATGTTTAAAATCCCTTCATCTGCGAGTTACGCACCGCAACGAACGGAGTATCGATCATGCGTCCCAAGAATCGCTTCTTGATGTCATCGTTGGCGGCCAAGATAAGCGGTGTCAGAGCGAGGTCATTGGCCATGACGGCAGTGGCGATTCCCGAGCATCCGTAGGCCATCTCCTCACTGATGATGCAGTTGGAGACCATGTCGACTCCGAGTCCTCCGTACTCCACCGGAATGTCGGCGGTCAAGTATCCTTGGGCATGAGCCTTCTTGATGATCGGCCACGGGTACTCCATGGTTTTGTCGTACTCGCCGGCCACTGGGATCACCTCATCGGCGACAAACTTGCGGACATTGGCGCGGAATTCTGCCTGATCCTCGGTCAGCTCGAAGTTCATTCCAGTTGCCTCTGACAGCGTGCTCGTTGAGGTGCTGAACAGACGGGCGCATTTGGACAAGTTTCTCGAGAGCATTTTCTGAAAATCAATTTATTGTAATCGGGAGCGACGGATCGAATCGATAGCAAGTAAACAAGTAGACCGAAAATGTAGGTGGCGAAGCGAACGGACACACAACAGGCACAAGTGTATTAGTGAGTGTGCGTGTGAGGCGTCCGTCCGCTATCATCAATTGGAAAAATGTGTGTTGTGAAGAAGGTAGAGGCAGGAGGGTAGCCGTTGGCCCGGGGCGGAGACAACTTTTGTTGTTCGGCCTGCGGGCTGTGTCGTCTCGGATAAGAATGATAGTTGATAAGAATGGCAAAACGAAGCGCTCTTGTACGTCGCACGTTTTTCCTTCGCGAAATTACCGGCGAAGAGGGCAAAGGAGAAGGCTAGAAATAGGAAAGGCAAAGGAAGACGGGAGAGAGAACCGCACCGGACGATTGATGGAAAAAACGGAATGAATGAGAGGACTGTGAGTGCGCGGATGGCCCGTTGTCCGTCCGCAATGGTCCGTCATTTGTGGTACACTGTTACGCGTGGCAGGCGAGAGGGACGCAAAGCACACGAGACGCAGAGATAAGAATACAGGTAAGGGTCATCAAGCTACGCTGTAGTCACTGCGAAGATCAAAGTCCATCAGAACAATGCGGAATTGAGGGAAATGAGACTGCAAAAACAGAGGGTTACTGAAAATTGGAATTCTTGACAGAATTTTTAGATGCCCGCAAGAACACCTCGCCCAAGCCACAGCTGAATAGCAAATTTATCCCGTTCCTTGCTGGCCGTGGTGTTTTTCTCATATTCTCTTCTATTTTTATCCAAGAGGAACATCTTTGGCGTGCGTTCAGCTGAGAAAACAGGACATCCCATTCATCACATCGGACTCGGCCGTTGAGAGGAAAATGAAAACGCCACGCCTTCTGTTTCCTCTTTTTGCCTCCAATGGTTTCCCACCCAATCTCCCGCTGGCCACTACTGCAGTCCGTTTCACGTCTTAAACTTTTTCTGAAGACGGAAAGACATTTTCACGGAACAAATCGAATAACTTTTTTGTACGAAAAGTTAAATTTAAAATTATTTTTCTATGCGCAGAGTTCACTTTGCTATACATTTCGTCAGTTGATCACATTCCATGAAAAAATTTTCTAAAAAAGATAACAATTTTTCGTGTTCTTCCGTTGAGTTCTTCCGCTCAACTCTGCTCTTTACTCTTCCGCTCTTTGTAACTTCAAGCTGTTTGCGGTGCTTTTGTTAGTGATTTCGAAATATGCTCGCGGAATTAATAGACAGCTGAAATTATGTTGATTCCGGTCGCTTATCAGCTGTAAACAAGTTTTTTCTTTAAAATTGCTGAAAAGGCGGTGACTAACGTTTGTGTGGGCGCAATTTTTAGTCATAAAATTCATCTGAAAGTTTTAATTTGCCCCAATTACTTTCTTTTAAATATTCCAATTTTTCGTGAAGCTAAGTTTCTCCGCTAGAAGAAATTTAAATTTGAAAGTCGTGTCCGAGGTGTAGATTTACGAGCGCATCGAGGGCCGGGTCTCGACGGGAATTTTCCCTCTCCCTGTGTCTCTCCGCCGACAGCTAACACCGCATATCGCTACGTGGTTGCCGGTGTTCACTGCATTTTTCATCGACCATTTACGGACTGTTTTCACTGCGCTTTTCGCTCGCTTCTTCCTCAACTTTCGCTCTTCCGCTCAGCTTCTCATCTGCCGCTCCTCAACGGACCCAGGAAATCGATTCGAAGACGGAGGGGCACAATTGCGACACAAATGTTGCATTCTCATTCTTGCGCCAGTCGGCCGTTCTCTTATTGATTTTCCGTGTTCCGCGTGGAAGTCGGTGACATCTTTCGTTTAAACTGCTAGTTTTGAAGTTTCCAAAGTGGATTTTACCCCCAAAAATCTGTTTGTCAGTCTACGTTTTTGTCGTTTTTGTCTTATTCTCTCCATTTTCCGGTTCATTAGTTTTTAATTGCATTGCTTTTTCAGGACCAATGTCGGACTTCGGGAATCCGCTGAAGAAGTTCAAGCTCGTCTTTCTCGGGGAGCAGAGCGGTTAGTCAATATTTTGAACATTTTAGTCACGACGCCCGTCTGAAACGTTAATTTGAGCCCGGTCTTGAATAGTCTTCAAATATTATTTCACAATAATCGATTTGCAGTTGGAAAAACATCGCTTATCACTCGCTTCATGTACGACTCGTTCGATAACACGTATGCGGCAACGATTGGTATCGACTTCTTGAGTAAGACGATGTACTTGGAGGACAGAACCGTGCGTTGAAGCAATTTTCTGAATGATCGGGTAAATTGCGTGTTCAGGTCCGTCTCCAACTCTGGGATACCGCTGGACAGGAACGCTTCCGTTCTCTCATTCCGTCCTACATCCGTGACTCGACGGTGGCTGTCGTCGTCTACGATATCACTAGTGAGTAAGCTTTCTGTAATACAGATCGTTTTGACACATTTTCAGACTCCAACTCATTCCACCAGACTTCCAAGTGGATCGACGACGTAAGAACCGAGCGTGGAAGCGATGTGATCATCATGCTGGTTGGAAACAAGACCGATCTCTCCGACAAGAGGTTTGTCTCGCCCTTCCAAACGGAACCGGGTTAATTGAGGATTTTGCAGACAAGTTACCACCGACGAGGGTGAGAGAAAGGCCAAGGAGCTGAATGTGATGTTCATCGAGACGTCCGCAAAGGCCGGATACAACGTCAAGCAACTGTTCCGTCGCATCGCTGGAGCACTGCCCGGAATCATCAAGGACGATCCGGTGGAGCCACGTAAGCACTGACATCAGTCGGGTTGCACAATGAGTTCAATTTTCAGAAAATGTCGTCACTATGGACCCGATTCGTCAGCGGCAGATTGTGACCGACGAGGGATCGTGCTGGTGCTAAGGCGTCGGCGTCGACGCTCAACTTGTGAATCATTGTCAAAAAAGGAAAAAAAGGTTGTGATACTCCAATCACAACGCAACGCATAATTTATTGACCGCTCTACCATTGATTGGCTACTTCTGTCATTTCATCCATATATAATCCCCCTGTCGCGACACTTCTATTCCCTATTGCTATCGCCAGTAACTAACACTTTCTATCCCGAAAAGTAATATCGACTTTACTGTGTGGCACTTTCTAAACGTTTGCAGCTATTTTAATCAAGGTTTGAACGATTTTTTAAAAGTATTGAAGAAATGGATTACATTATATTTATTCTAATAAATTATTTCTGGCTTGTTCGCTTTGCTTTGTGTGTGAGTGTGGTACACTTTTGTGTCTCTTAATCAATTTTCACTTCCCTCTTTTGTATTCCGGCTCGTTTCGAATAAATCTTCTCTCCGCTTTTGGGCGCCGCTGCTCACGAGAAAACGGCTGACGAGGCGAAGAGGACAACGCAGTTTTAATCAAATATTGACTTTGTGCTTTTCGGTTAAGAATGAGGGGTCGTCACACTAGCCCGAAAAGCAACACTGATGAGATGGGAATAGAGAGCAGGAGGAGAAATTTCGAAGAATTTCATTAGCAAGGAGGACCAAATAGATATTGTGTTGAATCGAGGAAATTTGCAGTTTCTCTTTTCTCAACTATTGAGTGCCTGGTTAATTTGAGAGCTAATGGTAGACAGGTTGGAGAGATCATCCCAATTGAGAAGAACATCAGCAAGAGTGTCAAGTCCATTGGTCGCAGCCAATTTCATGCCAACGATTATGACCTGAAAATGAGAAAATACAACTGAAGTAAACCTGTTGAATTCGCACTTTTCCGTTAGCCTTCAACGTATTCGACTTGGCAAGTGACGCAGTAACTTCGGCAGTAGTTCTGAATAATGGAATAGTATTGCGAAATAGTTGGGAGACCGGAAAACTCACGCCCCGCTTGTGAAAATGACGGAATGCATCTTTCCGAACGTTTTCAAAGGTTGTGCACGAGTGACAGCAAGGTTGAAAGCGCTGAAAAACTGCCGATTATGCTTTAAAACGTTTATTTCAACTGACGACACGATAGTTGGTTGATCCTTGAAAGCAGTGAGACTCTGAACAATTCCGGCAAACTCGGCTTCGTCCTGCAGGTCTCCGAAACTGAAAAATGGTAATGAGACCTGTTCCTTTATTTGAAGAATAGCACTTTACTTGATTGGATCCAAGTTCTTGGCCAATGTATCGAATCCCATAACCGATGTTCTTTCAAAGTGAGTCCAGCCGGATATGAGGTCATTTTGAGCCAGTTTCTTTTGGTTTTCGAGCGGATCTCCGAAAGCTTCCAACAAAAGTAAAATGTTTGCAGTTTTTGGGTTGCAATCAGGACATGGATCTGGGATCGGAGTTGCTGAAAAAATCACGTTTTCTTCGAATGTTCTTAAGAAGCAGAAACTTGGTGAGGGAGAAGCCGGTGTCTGGCTGGTATCTACAGAAACGGATGTCACGACTGTTGATGTAAAAGTCACAACCGGAACAGATGTCGCGCCGCCGGTAGTAGGTGTGACCACTGGCGCTCTGGTAGTTGGGGAACAGATCAGACTGTTAACCTGAAACTTTTGCTACTCTTTTACAGTTCTATGTACTTTGCCTTCATACTTGATCGATGATGTCCGTGGTCATATTCTTGGCGTACACCACATTTCCGGAGAGCTGCTTCAGAATAGTCTGGTCGGCGCTTCCGATGGCCACCACAATCAAATTTCCTCCAATTTGGTCCACAAATTGAACTGCGCTTTGAACATCAGTGTTTTCACTAAAAACTGAGTGTCACGTGCAAAATGAAATGAGCAAACCTGGAATAAGTGACGATGAGAGTTGTCTGCGATCTTGCCTTCCGTCTATTATCCAAGTTTTGAGACAAATATTGAAGAGAAGCGGAAAGGCTTGGTGGCGAATTCGCGAAGTAGAAGGCATCGTAGGCCATCACTTCGTTGGCAAACGCTGAAGCGGTCTGATAGCCGAATGGATTCTCCACAATCTGACCACCTTCAGTCTGGAAATAGGTATGTGATTTGAAATATTGGAGCAAATGTTTTCAACCTACAGTAGCAAAAACGACAGCCTCCCCTTCCATGAGTTCGGGTGAAATGGGCCATGTCTTGATCAGCTTTGAAATTGTTCGGAGTTGCTGAAATAGGAATAATTTTTCTTAGAGAATAGGTATTTAGAGACAAACATTCTGGAATTCATCGGCACCGCCTACGTCATTGTTGTTGTCCAACAGAATCGTGACGTCTGTTTTGCATGCGTTATCCGGAACAGCAGTAGTTCTGAATGTTTCCTCAAGCTGACATGGAATATTTTTAACTTTCTCACATTGGTCTAGCAGTTGTGGGCGTTAGTGTTCCGAACATGTACTGAGTGAGCTGTTGAGCAATGTCAGTTGTCAAATTGAAATCGCCGACACCGAAGAAATTATTTTGATTAGTGGAGAGAAGTCCTAACTGTTTTCCCCCGGTCGTCGAGTTCAACGTGACCGTTATCAACTGTTTCGGAAGAGTGTTTATGATGTAGGCGTATTGAGTGGCCGTCTCGATATCGGTGAGATCCCTAAAATAGTGTTAGGGACGTCAATGAAACAGAGAAATCTTACTCGGAAGCAGAAATGAAAATGACGGTTTGATTGACCGGGCGAAGACCGTGAATGTCTCCGGCAGCACGAATTCCACTGAAATTAGTAAAATAAACAGTTTTCATTCGGGTGAATCATACTTTGTAATGCTCGAGTTGTATTTTCCAGAGTAAACTTGAGCAGAGATGACGTCGGTGACTTCTTTCTCATCAACCTCGTCGAATGCGAGAAGAGTGTTGAATTCTTTCTAAACATGCTATCAAATTTAGGATAATGAGATGAAATGAACTCACGTCGGCGTAAGTAGCAAATGCCACTTGAACGTCTTCTCTGTCGATGAGCCAGAGAGGTAAAAGGGTGTTCACGAGCCAAGACTTCACCTGAAAATCATTTATTTCATAAACTGACGCATGCTCTCGCACCGTATTGAAATTTTTTGAATTTATCATTGCTGTGGAGTCATCGAGCAAAATGATGACATCCTTACTGTACGGAGTCTTCACAAATGGAGTAGTAGTCGTGCGAACCGGCTCGGTCACTGGTGGAGTCACTGTGGTTGCGACAGAAACCGGTGGGACAGGGCTTCCAGTTCCAGTCGTAATTGGTCTTACGGAGCTTGTGCTTGCTGTGACGACAGGAACTGTTACAGTAGTCGCCGGTGAATTAGGATTAGAAGTGACTGTAGTTTGTCCTGGGGCAGTGATTGGATTGGAAGTGCGAGCAGAGGTAGTTGTTGTGAGAGTTGAGTCAGAAACGACAGAACAAATCATCTGATTGAGGGTGGTCGAGGTTTTGTCTGAAAAATATTTGTTAAAACAAGACATACATTAAAATCAGTCAAACCTGTTGCTGAGACAAGCACAAAACTAGTTGAATTCGCCACTTTTTGCTGAACATCACTCAAGGTTGGTTTGTTTGAGTCCGAATAGGACAATGCGTACATAACATCCGCCCATTGGCCAGCATTCGAAATTCCAAGACTTAAAGATGTACAGTGAACTTAATATATGGATTTACGCTTACATTGCGATAGGAATATCTGGCTGAGAATCAAAGTGAACACTTGCACTGGCACTTTGAGTTATTGTTTGTCTCATCTGAAATCGACACCATTTTAATCGTGCAAAAGACACAGCGAAACTTCCGCTACGAAAGTAAGTTTTTTGGTGTTTGGAATTGCGTGATAAGATGTGTCACCTAACTGCGATAAAACAACTGAAGAAACGACCGACCTGATCCGTAAGATTTTGCACACTTCCAGTGTAGTCTTGCACTACAGACGAGTACGGAAGGGATCTCGTTTGGACCGTCACGAACATGGTGTACCCGGCCACTTGAGAATTCACTGAAAAATAGTAGTTTCAAGCATAGTTGGCAAAATCCGAGCCAACAAACCGGCCCGGGGGGGGGGGGGCACGGCTATGACAAATTGTAGGGAAACGGTTCGAAAAAATACAAGAAGTCATATTTGAAGATTTTAATCCAGAATTTGGTTTTTCTGGAACATTTTTGTCTAGGACTCTTTTCCAAATATGGTCAGCCGAAAATAAACGAGCGCCAGGCCAGGCCGACGAAGGTGTACGATTTTGACTCGGCCCGGCCCGTTACAACTATGGGTTTATCATAATATAGGAATTACCTGGATTCGGACTGTTATTGTTCTTCGAGATTCCGATGCCGAGCATCACACTTCCAGCTATCAGCATTGCAATCGAAACCACTAACAGACTAACTGTGAACCATTTTGCCCGACTGTCCACATCTTCCAGCAAATACCTAAACACAAATGTTCTCTAGCAAAACTTTGCAGCTCCCTCACCATTGCACATGTCTCTTTGGTACTCCTGGCGAGACGTAAGAAGTATCGTCGACGCCTTCCCAAGACATTCAAACCGGAAATTGGGTCAATTTGCCAAAAAGCGATGGCAATTAGAAAGAAGACGAGAAAAATGTTCGTGTCACGTCGAAAAATTGTTACCTGACAGGCGGATTAAACTATTACGTTTATCATTTCTCTCGATGGGGATTGTGCAATTCGATTAGCGTGTCTTATCAGTGAGTATGGACGAAATTTGCCGATGCAAGGATGTTGAACCGAAATTGAAACAACACACCAATGTTTGGAATGAGCTAAAAATGGTGGGTGTTGTCGTCACTTTGCAGGAAATTGCGTTGATGTCGGAGGAGAGCACGCACTTGATCCGTCTGTTTTTTTTTTCTATTTCACAATCAGTTAGCATCACGTTCTTAAATGAAATTTCAGATAACTGATTCAATTCTAAAATCAGGATGAGACATTTGATTGGAACCCAAAAATTTATTCAAACTACACACAAATGCTGAAATAAATACGATGGTTTAAATGAAATATATCACAAATCGATGGCGCATCAGTTATTCTTGTTTTTCGGTGCCCACTGGTCCTTAGTTCCACGAAGGTAGAGCACATAGTTCATCAGCGTCGGCCACCAGTATCTGAGGAAAACGGCAAAGCGAGCATCCGCGTGCGCCATGATGTAGTCGGTTTTGCGGTCACGAATCGCGTTGGCAATCAGTTGGGCACAGTATTCCGGCGAGTAACCCTGAAAAGTCAAATGTCGATACTTCTTCTTCTTCTTCTTCTTCTTTTTGAGGCTAAACGGTTGAGAAGATAACGATCTCATTGTAGTGCCATCAAGAGGCACAGAATGACCTTTCCCTCCACGAAACTTTGTCTCATGCGGGGCATATTTCAAAAGAAAAACGTTCAGAGTGTAACAGAGTCTATTCAATTACCAAGGTGAGGCGCGCAGGGCCGTTTTGGTCATTCTTCCTCTCAAGTTTCCTAAGAATCATGTCGCTTCTTTTTTCGGTGGTTATTTGTTGTGCGCTGTTAGGTTACGGCGATGGTGAGTCAAACTGTCAGCGCTTTGTGCACATTTTTTTTATTTTCAGCGCAGTTCTTCTTCAATCAAGGCTTCAACAACTTCTTCAGTCCTCCCCAGCAGTTCCAACGACCATTCTTCAACCTTTTCCAACCACAAACCACTACAGCACCTACGGTAGATCCAGAATAGTTTTCTGCTCGCTCATTCTTCATCAAACTCAGACCACCACAACTGAATTCATCCCGGACCCGGACAAAGAGGTCGGCAACTTCCCGATGCCTAATCCAGCGAATTGGCCAGTTGGCCCCGACTGGAATGATCCCAGGAACAACAACGATCAGCAATTGGTAAGTGAAACCAGTTCTGAGATAGTCTCGTGGGTTTATTTGAAGGGCTGGGGAGGAAACGGTCAAGTCGGAGGAACCACTTCAACCAGAGCGCCGATCACCACGACTCTTGCGTCGACCACTACCGCACCCACAGTGACTCCATCGACCTCTCTTCCGGTACTTGTCACCAAGAAACCGATTCCAGGGCCGACCAAGAAGCAGCCGACCAAGAAAGAGTCAGTTGAAGGGTTTGGATGTGCCAAATCGATTTTCATAGGTTCATCGCCAAATGCACTGTCGTCCAAACCTAAGGCTCCAGTCAAAAAAACCAGCTCTAGCTCCAGTTTCAGAAAGGCAGTATCAAAAAGAAGCCATTGATACATCGTTTTTCCAGTTTTGTTATCGTGTAAATAAACCATTATTACCTTTTTCTGATTCTGGTCCTCAATGCCAGTCGCCTTGCCACTGGGGTCGATAGCTCTCGAGCCGAAGCCAGTGTTGATGTATCCGGCGGAAACGACCAACACGTGGAGGTTCTTGTGCTCGGCACGTAGCGAATCAAAGTATCCTTGAAGTGCGTGCTTGCTGGCTCCGTACGAGCTGCGATACGGCAGAGCCACCTTTCCTTGGACACTGCTCGTCACGACAATGCATCCTTTCGGGTCCAGCTTGGGCAGCAGAAGGTTGGTTACCTCGACGTGTCCGAAAAAGTTAGTCTCCATCACTTGTCTGAAACAATTGCCTGTGAAACTGGACATTGTTGTTGTGCTTTGTGGGTTACCGATGAAGGTCAATAGGTGTGTCGGCGCAAGATCCGCGGTTCGCCAGGCCGGCATTGTTGATGAGAATGTCGACCTTTGGGATTTCGGCCCATGGCGCCTGGTCTGGCTCGGTAATGTCGAAGTAGCTGGAAAGCATTCAGTTGATCAGCTCAACCGAATCTGCTTACTAGTAGGTAGGCTCATTTTGATTGAGCGGAAAGGTTTCCTTCAGTTCCTGGCAGATTTGCTTCAGTTTGTCCGTGCTTCTCGCCAGAAGAATCACCTTCGCACCGCGTTTGTACAATTCGAACGCCAAACTCTTGCCGAGGCCTGAAATTTGCTGGGAAAATGCTAAATTTATTGAGGCAAGGACGAACCCGAGCTGGCTCCGGTGATCACGACCACTTTATTCTTGACGTCCAACGCTGGCAGGTTGTGCGCTCCCGGAATGATTTTGTTGAGGAGTCTGAACGAGAAATATCTGAAAACCCGCTGCTTTTTATAAAACTCACTTATAAGCGACGTACAACGAGATGGGGACGACAAGAGCCGGCGCCCATTCCTTCAGCGCCTCTTGCAATTTTTCCGAGAACGACATTCTGGAAAATGATGGAAAATTTCTGATAAAAGGGAGAAGAAAAGCGGAGAAAAGAGAAGAAAAGGCATGATGCTACGTGATAAGAGCGAGAAAGGTACGATGTATCCAAAGGGAGAGAACGAACAGGAAGAGCGAGAGACGCAGGACGCAGGAAAAAAGAAGACTCTCTGTCGTGGCATTATTGTTAAACGTGGCTGTTTTTTGTTTGCTTTCAACAGACGAAAACGTCGCTCTCCAGGTTTTTCTGTGGTTTTCTGGAAAGAAATAGAAAGCTACACGACAGTTTTCACTAAAAAAGAAGGTTGAAAGAAGATCGGAACACGGGAAATGCGACGCGGCGAGTTTGCACGAATGCGCTTGAGAAACGAGGAAACATGCGAAACGCGATCAAACAAACACAGCAGGGTGTGCGTTCTCTGGATCAAATCAATGGATAACTGTCACACAAACAAATGACGGCTCGGTTCTCCGTTCGGGGTCGGCAGCGAGACCCGCGGTGTGCTGTGTGCGGCAGAGCAGTTTTGCATAGCATTGTTGGAAAAGGAGCGACAGGTGTTAGTTATATGGGTTAGAAGCAAGGGTGTGCGCAAAATTTCCCGAAAAAAAAAATTAAATAGAAGATTTTTCAAAATTTTACGAAGATGTTTTTTCGTTCGTTTTCAGAATAATGAATGTACAGGAAAAGAGCAAAGTCTCGAAGAAATTAATTGAAGACAAGTGCATATTCAAGAAAAGTGAGTTATAATTGGACATTTCCGGAAAATTAACCTTTCAGATTGATCTTTTTTCAACAATCTGATTTATCAATGAGCTTACTCGTATTCCGTCTACTCAGAAACTGCTAATTACGGATCAGGTCAACGACCAGAGAAATGCGTTGTCAGCTGGAACAAGGCTTCAAACATCTGCGTTTTCCAAGCTTCTTTTTTGGTCGCGTACAGCGTGAGCATGACTTTTCACACACGTTCCCTCCTATGATGGATAAATGTTTTATAACGAAGTAGTTAATGCACATCCGCCCGCATATCCAATGACTCAACTGCTTGGAAGTTTCAGAGTCCGTGCCGCTCCCTCTCTCTCTCTCTTTTTCTCTCCCAGATTCTCATCAGTTCTTTCTTCGCAGACCCCTGCCACTCATTCGCCGACATGCCTCTTCATCCTGTGAGTTCAGCTTCTCTTGTCACTTTGCCCTTTCCTCGACTTTTCTCTCCCAAAAATAGTGCACAGCTGGTGGTGTTGTTATTGAAGCAGCAGACGTTCGGGTGTTTATCGAAAGGCGCGTGGTGCTTCGGTACGGTTACTGTCAACACAGATTTCGCCTATATTGGTCACTTGCGATTCGTTTCTCAGCCCATACTGACGTCTTTTATTTTTGTGTTCGGGTTCCGTTTTTCCCCTCCTTTTCACTCTCCAACTCACTTCAGCTGGCTTCAATTCCTTCAAAATCTCATTCTCAGTGTTTCCCAAGCTTCTATTTCATTTTTTTCGCGAAGGATATGTGTCGAGTTTATAACAACGGGTCCAAAGTGATTTGACTTCGGCGAAAGGAAAGAGCGAGTGTAATTATGAGAATGTGGGAGAGTGAGGGTTGAGAATGAGCAGGATGAAGCCAACTCGACCAGAAACAATTTATGATGAACACTTCTTTGAGTGGCGGTTTTGAATAGGGTGAGGAGGAGGAGGGGATAGAGGAAGAATTCAATCCTGGAGAAAACCCATTCTCTTTCGTTTTCTATCACTCGACATTTCCATTTTGTCCGTGGTTGTGACGGAGAAATGAATGTTTTTGCTTCTGACATCACTCTTCTTTCCTTTTTCGTTGCTGCTCCGACTTCTTCCCATGTCCCTCTTTTTCATTTTGAGAATCATTTTCGTCCCTGACGTTGAGCTATTGTCCGTTTCTACTAGTGGCGAGCCGGTGAACCTACTTATTACAGTTGTTTACCGCAAAAGTCTTGTATATCTCCCAATTAATGAAATGTCTGGGCGAATGCGGAGACGACACGCCAGGGGATAGGGGAACAGGCATAACTCTGTCAAAACAAACGCGTGAGCTGCATTTTTAGGCGTCTGGCTAGCTAACAAGCCATTTTAGTCAATAATCTCTGAAAACAACAATGTTTTCCTGGTCCCCACTATTTTTCTGATCTTTACCCTGCCTCAAAGTTCATTTAACTGAAAGCCGCGTCTCGTGAAATCGTAATTTTTCTTCTTCCAATTCTGAATCTGAATCGGGATGAAGATAGATTAAGGACTACTCCAAGAAGATTGAAAATGAAATTGAGCTTTTCCTAGATCGGTCGTTCCGATAGGAAGACTCGTGAAGAGAAAAGGAAATGCGAGTATGGAATGGAAAGCTCAGCGGAACTGCGCAGGGGTCGTAAAATTAGGCGAACTGAGAAAGCCAATTGTGATTTTGGTGGGAGGGAAGAAGGAGAGAGAGAGAGAAAGATATGAGAAAGAGCCGAGTCGGAGTGCGCAGACGGAACGAACGGAGCCGAAACGCTCCCATGCGAACACATGTGAGAGCGCGGGAGCATGCGTGGCCATGTGCAACTCTTCTATCTTTTTCCTCTGTCTTTTCCACTTCTTGGTTTGACTCCGGAGCAAAAGGCAGCGAGAGAACGAGTCACCACTAGCACCGCCACCCGTGGCCACACAGAAAAAGGAGAAGGCCGTGAGTTGTGTGTCCCTTTTGCTCGTGCTCCTCCGAATGCTCGGCCCCCCCTTTACTCCGCCTTTTCTTCTCAGCGTCTCGGCGACTTTGGTATGTCAATCTCCTAGAATTTCGCAGTGTCTGAGAGGCGGCTCGGAACCTCTAGCTCGCACTCGTTTCTCCTGTTGTCTGCCCCCTATGGCGACTACTCGATTCTTCTTCACTTCAGTTATTACATCAACATGCAAATCGCCTCTTCCAAATTGTTAACGGTCCGTTCTTATCCAAACTTTTATTTCATTGTCCATCCATCTTCTTTCGTTTTTCTCAAATCCCCCGAGAATCGCCTTCTTGCCTACAGTATCCTGCGCGTGGGCACATCACCTTGTTTTCAAGTTTTGGTTTTTTGTTTTGGCTAAAAAACGTAATAGGAAAACTATAATGAGCAGAGAGCAAGTACGCAGTCAAAACATCTCGAATGGCTGACGAAAGCGAAACGATGCGATGCGATGTGTATTCAGATTTAGAACAAGAAAAAAAATGAGATGGAAATAGAAATACGAGCTGATTTTTGAGCCTTCTAACACCTGCTTGAAACTTCATTAGCACTCATTCACTTTGCCCACGCTCTCAGAATCTTTTGGTCATTCTTGGCTCAAAGTGTCGAGCCTAAAGCTCGTGCTCTTCTCTCCTTGGATTCTTTTCCAAGGACACCCGTTGAGAACTACGGAAACGACCCATTAATTGCAAATGGAGTGGAGGGCGGACGAGAGGGTCCGGAATTCCGGAAGACTCCGGGAATGTAGTGACGCAAAAGTTGCCTTCTGGTCTTCTGGACATCCAATCCATCTTTGCAGACGCCATCTTCGAGAAAAGTGTACACCCCCTCACTGAAAAATTGATGCCCGTCCGCATCCGCCTTACTCTATCCATCCCATCCTCATCCAGCTCGGCTCATCTCATCCGTTTCTCATTTTTTGCGTGGTTCTGGACCGTCTCTTGGGAGTACGGGGCCAAGTGTTCGACAAATCATTTTTCGAGGGGGGCGGTCTGACTGAAATGTACACATTTTCGTAGAAAATTATATAAAGTTGCTCTGCAGTAAGATGGGGACCTTTTTAAAGTTTGTTCAAGTGACGAATTGAAAGTTTTTCCATTTTGACTCTTCCTTTTTCGTTTGCTTCTTCAAGATTATGTGTTATTCCAGAAAAAATTAGAAAGGAAAGAGTAGTAACGGAAAAAATACGGCGCCATAACTCAATTACGTTGTTTACAATGCGAAAAAAGGAGGATAATGGAAGAGAGAATAAGCGTGCGAGAAATGAAATAGTGCACTCGTCTCGGAGCAAATTATATTTCCTGACTTGACATGATTCCAATCCACTCAGCTACACCAATAGTTTCAGACTTTTGTGCCCTTCTCCGACCTCTACAAAATCGCTATTTGCACACACGTACGCCACAAAGTTCAGAACAAACATGAAATTTGCGAAACCTCCCGAGAAGCTCTGTATGCACGAAAAACGAGTCTTTATGATTTCAAATAGAAAGCATCGGCACCACAGGCAGGTCAAAATGGGATTCTGAATCGGAGCCCGCTATTTTGACGGGTTTCCTTAATGCTTTTCCCTTCTAAAAAGTAAATATTTGTGGACGGTCAGTTCGTCATTGTCTATTGATTCAGGCGCCTTCTCAGATAATTTTTGCATAATAATAAATTCGCTCCGAGACTCGCCTGAAAGGCTGTAGTCAGTTACTAATTTCTAGTTAGGGACACCTGAAAAATAGCCCCGCCCACTTTGTGCTGCTCCACTCGTTTCCTTTCAATAGACTCGTTAGATATACACTTGTCTCACTCGCATGACCGGCCCGCGTCCCAAAGTTGATCAGAACTTGAGCCCACTCTCTCCTCCCATTTCTCAGTGCTCCCGACAGAGCGACCGACCGACCGACGGACGGCTGTCGTCGCATCTTCTTCTTCTTCTTCTTCTTCTTCTTCTTCGGACCGACGTCTCTACATCATTTTTCAGAGTGATTAGCGGGTTGTGGCATGTGCTGAAGCAGCAGGCGAGCGCACCGTAGGATGTCCGAGGTATGTAATTATAGCCGTCGGCACTTTCTCCCTCTTTCTCTCTCCCTCCCTTCACTTTTGAAAAAGACAGCTTAGAGAGTAGAGAGCTTCGATCTTTTCGACAAAATATTTGCAAGTTCACCAGGTCTTTTTGAACCTTCTTCTTTTTGCAGGATCGGGTTGTGGACGACGACAAACTGCAAATGTCGGATAACGATCCGTTGAACATCGAGAAAGCCAACGGGAACGGAGGAGTATGCGAGGAAGAGCCGGAAAGGCCCATATCCGGTAAGCCAATTACATTCTCTTTTCCTCTTTACTCCTGCTGACTCACTTTTGGAAAAATCTCATTTGACATTCCTTCCGTTCTAAATATAGCCATTCAATACGTAATGTTCCTTGAATCCTCGACCTTTCCCGGTTGGTAACTTGATCTCTTTTGGATGACATAAACAAACGTGAACGTCAAACTACAAGAAACGTTTCAGCTCTTGACAACCGTCAGGAAAAACTGAACTGTCTTCATGGGTTCCTCAGTCTTCGCCGTTTGTTTTATCTGGTCGGTTACTCAGTCGGACATTATCCATACGCTTACCTTGTCGTCGCGGTACGCTACAGTATCCTGATACACTATAAAAGATGTTCTTCCAGCTTTTGATCTCGATCAACTCTCTAGGAATGTATAAAATTGTACTCAAAGATCGCATTCGGGACGGGTACACGCCAACGAACGCACCTTCTAGATACGAAACTGATGTTCTTCGGTGGGAATTCCTTTTTGAACATCCACAGATTTACAGTAGCTATTTGTAGGGAGTTCTACAATATTTCCGGTGATCCTGCTATGACCATTATGATACTCATGCCTAAAAATGGAACATCCATGCATGCAAAAGAGAATCTTGACGAAGCGGAAAAGCTCTCCAAGTACGTCTTCCGTTCTTTATCTTCATCCGACCGGAAGTTTTAACCGATCATCTTTATCAGATTCTTCTTCAATGATTTCAACGCTACACGCGACGGCAAAGTGCTCCGATTTGCCCAACTTTGCGAACCGTACTGTCAGATCAACATGGTTTTCGAGCTTTATAAGGTCCGTTGAGCATATTCACATGAATACGTGATGAGAGGGGTTTTATTTTGCAGAACGCGTTTGATGACCAGTACAAGTTGTTTTCCACCGAGAAACGCGTTTTAACAAGCACCAACTTGTCGTATCCGCTTGCCACCATGAACGGATTTGACATTCATTTGGAGCGCAGTTTCTTTGGGGTCGAGTTTAATAAAAAGTCGGAGAGCGAAAATACGACGGAAATAGCTGAAGATCTGGCTCCACATCAAATCATCACAAATATGAAACATGTTGAGGTAGGGAGAAATTCAAGTTAACGGGCGAAAACTGGATGTTCAGGTGATTGTGTTTATTTTCCGTGGTGATCGAGATTCTGTGGAGAAGGAAAAAGATCTGAGCAAGTGGGAATTGGATGCCTATGACTGGAGTCTCAACGAGTACAAAAGTGACATTGTGGAAGTGCAGATTGTGGGAACAGATGTGCTGGACAACGAAATGATGAAGGATGGCCGGAGACTCATGCCTTTCTTTGCTGCAGGTTCGGTAACATGTATTGGTGAAAACTGAGATTTTTATTTTCAGGATTTGGTTTTGAGATCACGTTTGTGAGCGTATGCGTGATAATCACAGCAATCTATCACAATTGTCTGGACAGAGGAAAACTGTGGGCAACTTTCTCATCCTCCTTCTTTGTTCATCTTGGTGTTTTCAGATTGATCAGTCTGGGCGCAGTGCTATGTCCTATTTTGGCAATCACCTCCACGTATGGAATTGTATCGCTGCTCGGAATGCGCACGAACTCGTTCATGTTGGTCATGCCGTTTTTAGTAATGGGCATCGGTAAGTAATGGTCGCGTTGTACTCATAGCACATAATTGGATTTATAGGAGTTGACTCGTGCTTCCTGATGATCCATAGTTGGCAAAAAGAGCGACGAGCCCAAGCGAGCGGCACGGGAAATCGGCTTGGAATGGTTTATGAGTCCGTGGGCCCATCAATCACAATTACCTCGCTCACCGACTTCCTCTCGTTCGCCATCGGAGCACTCGCCCCGACGCCAGGTTAGACAGAATTTGTGACGTCAAAACAGCAAGGGGGTTATTTCTAGAAACTCGTCTTTTCTGCATCGCGTCGTCGATTGCTCTCGCTCTCACATTCATCCTTCAACTCGTGCTCTTCGGTCCTATCTTGGCAATCGCGACGAAATATGAGCACAAAACTACATCTACTAATAATAGCCAGTGGAGAAAATGGGTATTGAGATCATAATTAAACTGGGGGATGATGAACATTAAACGAGTTTTCAGCTGAAAGCCTGCTGGAAAAAGTGCATCAATGTGTATTGTAAAATTCTCTCAAATAAGTTGTTTGCTCTTTTGGTCATGTTCGGAACTGGATGGTATTGGTACTGCTCGATCTATGGACTGATGACCATGAAGACGAGACTCGATGCCGTCAAGATTCTGCCAAAGGACTCTCCGCTTCAACGCCCTAACCTGGTTCTGACTAACTTGGTGTGGGCCAACTACCATCCGGTCACAATCATTGTGAACTCGCCCATTGATCTTGAAAACAGGGCCCAGATGAACCGATTCTGGAATATGGTGGATCAGTTCGAGAAGATGCACAACTGCAAGGGCAGCGAGTCGACTCTTCTTTGGCTGCGCGACTACATCAAATACTTCTACCACGGAGAGCCATTTGACCTGTTCGCGTTCTTTGGATTGTCAACCCCTGAAGTCTATCCGGAGATTGACCCATTCACAGCTAATATTACAACTCAGAAACTGCCAGAATTTCTGAAATCACCATTTTTCAAGCACTGGGACAGCTTCATTCACTACCATTACGACCAGTACGTAACTTCAACTTTGATTTCTGTATTTAAACCCTCACTTTTCCAGGGGTGTCATCAAACTAGATCGCTTCATGATGAATGTGGCGTATGACAACACATCCTCTTGGGACACTCGTATTCAGTTGATGACAGATTGGAGAAAAGTTGCGCATAAGTGAGCAAAATCAACGCTATCTCGAATTTCAATCTGAATTTAGCTTCTCTGATTTGAACATCACCGTCTGGGAGCCCAATGGAATGTTTGTCGATCAGATGTTGAGTCTTGGCAAGACCGCTACGCAGGTAATAAGAGTTTGAAAGATCTTTGAGGAGTAAGGAAAGATGTTTCAGACGGCAGTGTGGACTTTGGTGTGCATGGCGGTTGTGTGTGCAATCTTCATTCCCAACCCGTGCAGCATCATCACTGCGACATTCTCTATCGCATCAATCACAACAGGTTTGTGCACAGCCAAATGTTACCTAAATAATACGTTGATTAGTTCATGCCCTTAACAATGCAATCATTATAGGCGTCATGGGATTCCTCTCCCTTTGGTCCTTCGACCTGGACCCAGTTGTCATGGCGGCTGTTTTGATGTCAATCGGACTGTCTGTTGACTTTATTGCTCACGTCGCGTACCATTTCCAGGTTAGAATCGTTTGGCAAACATCTCCGTTGATCCTCTGGCCAAACTTGTCTGTTTTCTTTTCCTTTACTGTATCTTTGCAGTTGGCACACCGGAAAGAGATTCGCAACGGAAGAATAAAGAAAATCCCGTTGAAAGGCTCGACGGAACGGTTGGAGCACACGCTGGGAGCAGTGGCGTGGCCCATGATCCAGGCGGGAGTGTCCACGATTTGCTGCATTCTGCCGTTGCTCTTCCGCGCGGTAAGTTAATCCCAGGAAGTGTTTGATCAGGTGACACACACAGTGTCTTCTAAGACTTCATTTCTAATTGACGCAACCCCATCTGACGTAACTTCCGGAGTAAACACCGAAGAAAGTCTTTTTCGGTCCGTTTCCCATCTTGAGACCTTTCGCACCCTTTTGTTTAACCAATCCTGCGCAACAAAGCCACTTGAGAGACAGAGTGTTCACAAGTTTCCTCCAACATTTCACACATTCAATTTCCTTTCTGCAGAGCTACTCACCATCTGTTTTCGTGGCCGCAATCTTCCTCGTCGTCACATTTGGAATGTTGCATGGCCTCTTGGTAAGAGAGCAGTTCTTTGTGTCCGCCCTCGTGGCCCGGGCGCAAATTTAATTAAAACCCCCCGAACATTCATGTTCTTCAGATTCTGCCCACTTTCCTGGCGGCTCTTCCGGAAAGTGTGACCACAGCCAATTGCTACCGCGTGTTCCTTTCGAGCTCATCCGAGCGAAGTTGCCGTTACGTGCCCCGCCGGGACAGCACCAACAGCATCGAGCTTCAGAAGATCGAGAGAAAAGACTCACTTCTATCCTAATTTCCCGTATAATTTCCCTCATTTTCCAAAACTTTTTGCTTAGTCGACCCTGTCCGGCTGAACTCACTAGTATCGTGTCGCTCAATCTTTAATTTCCCTTTCATTTCAACGCCATCCTCTTCTACTCTTCCTTTTTCTTCTTCTTTCTCTCCTTTTCTTCCCACACATCCCGATACACAATTTTCAATTCTGTGCGCCGCATCTGACTCTAGAAAAAGGAAATCTTCAAAAGAAATAACAATAACTACTTCCTTTCAATTCAAATGTAGTAGTTTTCGCTAAATTTCTCCACTTTTCTCCCCCTCCTATTTGTGTGCCAGCCAGTTCTTTGGACACTTGCTTTACCCCCATAAAAATCCCTTCTGTGATCTTATTTCTTTTCCAAATTCCGGTAGATTTACCCTCTCTTGTATGTTCCCAATTCCAATTCATTTTTTTGTTTCCTTCTCCCTCTTTTCCACTTTTTTCCTGTCCTTTTCTTGTCTGTCTCTATTGAAAGATTGGACAATGAAACTCTGTTAATAAAGTAAAGATACTTCTGGATGACGTACGTGGAAACACGTACATTCTCCTTTTTCTTTTCGTCTTTTTCCTTATTCTTCCATTTTCATTTTTGAAACTAGACGCAGCGCTTTACTTAAGACCTCTTAAAACATAAACACAATGGAGTGGCGGGGCGGACCCATCACCACCATATGCGTGTATGAATGAAGCATGTCGCCCTATAAATGTATTCTGGAAAGATTCATGTGAGACCTTTCTCGCTTATTGCATCTCCCTTTTTTCCAACAACTCTTTCCTACTTAATGACAAGTTCTAGTGCTCTAATTGCATATCAAATTGGCTCAATCTCGGCCAATTTTCGTTTTGCGTTTCTCTTTCACTTTCTTAAGCCCGGGTCCTTCCATAAAACGGCCGTTAGTACTTTCTCCGTATTCGGGAGACCTAAAAGCTTCTCTCTCTCTCTTTCTCCTGTGACCCAGACCTAAAAACTAAGTGCGCAATCCGTGTACCTGGCTGAGAGAGCAAATGTGATTAGTCACCACAACGTGCACCCCCGTCTAATTCAACTTGTCAGACATCGGAGAGAACTAATACACCAGTCAAATCGGAATCGGAAAAAAGGTTTCCATTTCCACTCCCGCTTCAATCTCCATTGCTTCTTTCTTCTCCACACTTTTCTCCCCATTCTCGAAAAGTTTCCGTGGCCGCCAGCATTATTGTCTCAGCTGTCTGCTTTTGGCGCCTCGAAAGTGACATCCGAGAGCGCGATAATATCTGCGGAGAATTGAGAATTCGGGTGATGGAAAAGTGAGCGAAATCGGTGCCAAACCGTAAAACTTTTATGCTTTTCGTTCTTTTCGCAGTAAAATTGCACTATTATCGAATCATTTTATAAGTTATTTTCCCGTCTCTTTCCCTACAAAATCTGAGTATTTCTGACTTTTTTTTCAATTTTCTAAACCAAAGAGTTCATTCCCCTTTTTCTTCTGATTTCTTCGCTACTACTCGTATTACATCACTTTTCAATCCCCATTTGCCGTCAAAACCAGAAGTTGTTCAAATTACTCCCGCTCCGACGACTTCCCAGTACACGTGTTTTATCATAGCTCATTCATTCGACCGTGATAACGGAATGATAGTATGTCTATCGATTACTGATTGGAAGAGAAATAGAGAGTGCTAACTCCCACGTATTATTCATCGGACAGGCCGGTCTGCTGGCCAGCACGCACACATTCCCGGAGAACGGTCCCTCTTCGTTGGTTGTTGGCCTCAACTTTGTGATTCATCAAATTCTCAAACATTCAATCATTCTCGACACCTGGATTTCTAGGCCACTTGATCCCTTCGCACTCTTCTCACTTTTCAATTTTGCCATCCTTTTCTCACCTCTCATGTAGGAAGTACTTGATTACTTTGTACTAAGTACCTGTCGATCGTACTGTTGTCTTACCCTGGGACCGCCCCCCTTCTCCCCCACGCATCTTCCTGTTTGCTCTGTTTGTCCTGACCGGATGAAAGATACGCGCGTTCAGTCCGTACCTTTCTTCTAATTCGCACCATAATCATTTTTATCACTTCTCTTTCTGCTATTGGTTCTGCTCGTGATCAACAAGGCTCCAATATCATATCATAGTACTAGTACCTGCGTCAAATATGTATACAATATTGAGATGGAGAACAAAAAGGCGGCAAGTAGCTGAGGGCCGAGAACAGAATAGATTTTTATGGTGTGGCGAGGGGCGCCAATATTCCCTCGATAACACCTCTCCGTTTCCCGGCCACTTCACTCTCGTCCCACCGCTACCACTTCTCGATTTCGTTTCCCTAGGTGGTCGGGGAGCTAAAGTTCTGTTGATCTACTCTACTACATAACTCGTCTCATTTTTACCCCCCGAGAGCGAGAGAAAGAGTGCGAGATGGCTGTTCAATAGAACCTTAAGAGTGGCGGGAAAGTAGATCTTGAGGGACAACATTCAATGCATAGAGCGCTGCTGAAAAGATGCGTGTGTGTGTGTAAATAAAAATGTTGGAATCAGCGAAAATACCTAGAATACCGTCAAAACAGTCAGTGACGTAACATCATTTAAATTTAAAAACGTGGCTTCGGTGTCGACCAGCGTCTGCGTTTCAAACCCAGGTGCATTCAGATCGACGACCACACATAATATTTTATGTTCCACTCTCCGTTTCGTCCCGTTTCGTCTCCTCATTACAATACAAACTGAGGCGTTCTCTTGCGCGCTCGCTTGTGCGCGACATCTCAAAACACAGTTCGTCCGCTTTCCTTTCCTGCACTGACCACAGTATTTTCATTTTCTCACTTGTACATGCTCAAACTTGTGTTTTTGTTTTCAAAAGTGAGTCATCAGTAGTCACCGGGCCGCCCAGCTACATGCGAATGTCCAGTCGCGGTGAGACCCGACCCGAGATGCGTCAGTGTGCGCCAAGTTTGAGAAGAGCGTTAGGGCGTAGTGATTAAGCGCACAGGCCCGCACAATGTTGTATGGTCGAACGAGCCGATAACAATATTTATATACCATATAAACACGCTGATCATTTACTCAACCGCCCCGGGGCCCCGCCGGCTCGCGCGCACCTTTACTCGTTTCCTTTCCCTCATTCTCCGTCCCACTTCGGGTCACTAGACGACTATTTGTTTTGTGGGGGCCTCCCCGATTGCTTGCTATGCACCTATTGTCTTGTTGATTACTAACAACTCACACTTTATTCTATCCATGTTCTCATTAAGTCCAAAAACGTCAGAACTTTTCAAATCTATCCACAAAATGCCGTTGTTCCCGAACCGCCAACGGACATTGTCTCAAAGTCTCCATTGTCCTTTCCTTTTTTCTTTCCACACAGCACTTTTTCCACAACTTCTTTTCTGATGACTCAGGTCTATATTTTATACATTTTTCCTTCCTCCCTCCCCCTTCTTTTTCCCGCATAAAATTTTTCTCTTTCTCGTCCACTCTTTCTCAATTCAACTGTAGTGTTTATGCAGAATTCCAAATTGAAAACCATCCGTGATGCTTCGTGTTCTCGTGGCTCTTTTGGGCCTTGCGGTGCTCTCCGAGTGCGGCAGATCCTCTTCGATGCCTGTGGACGACGACGCCTTCTTCGGAATCACCACCACTGATAACCGTGAGTCTGGGGGGAAGCGAGGTGGAAAATTGGTGGCCACGCTTGGGCTGATAGCACTTTTTGCCTATGTTTTTGCATTTCGAAAAACCTGAGTCATTGGTCACATTTTCAAATATTTTGAAGCAAATTTGACAGACGTACTCGAAAATTCCCATTTACCAATAAGAAATTGAAATTTGAGAAGCACTGCAAACAAGGTCAATTTTACCACGCAACGGACGATTTCATAACCACTTGAATTTGGGTTTTCGAACTCCAATAGTAGAATTGACAGACTTTTGTGAAAAGTTCACCGGAAATGTGACCGCAAAAAAAAGAGCGGACAGAAATAAGTGGCTTTTCAACACTTACTAACTACCCGAGGGCATGCTGACCAACCTTTTGTTTCCTTCCGTTACCCTCTTTTCATGCCACTCGGGCTTGACCTTCCGGCCGAAAATTTCAACAGGGACACTCACAATCATGTATTTTGCAGCGTCCTACACGTACCTGGACTACGCGCAATGCCAGACACTGTGCGAGGTTCCCTGCAAACGGACTGTTGTCGATTTCCACAACAAAAAGTACGATATGTACAACTGTGAGCGTCTGAAGGTTATCAAGGTACTTTGCATAACTTTTCTTAATGCATGTTTATCACTAATTGATTTGATTGTAGACCTCGTTCATCGACAACCTCAAGGGAGGATCCTTCCAAAACGCTCTGATTATCGTCGTCGCCGTCACGGTGTCCGCCATGATTCTCATCGTCTGCGTGTACTACTGCTGCTGCTCGAGAAAAGACGACGACAAGTACATCCGCGGGGACGAGTTCCGGTAAGCGATTTGAATCATTGGTACCGTAACGCAACCTCTGAAATAGTCCGTATTCCAGAGAGCTGGCCCATGACGAGAGAAAGGCGCTGAACAAGGGATCATCAGTGATCGAGGTCTAGACACCAAACACGGGCAACATCATTTTCCTTCTCCTCAAAAATGTCGCTTTAATTATACCTAGTATTCTTTCCCGTCATTGGTGTTCTCATCTCATGACAAATCCAAATCCACATCCAAATTTCTCTTTTCTATTTCTCCCATTTGTCATACGGTTCTTTCCCCTCATTTTTCTTCAAAACTCGAATAGCTTTCTTCTTTTTTCTTAAATTTTCCACATCGTGTATTCATATTCTCGATAGGTTTGAAATCTACGCAACTCTTAAAAAATTCTCAATTTTTTCTTGCAATTTCTTTTTGTCATCCGTTTTTCCCTAACTGGTTCGAACATCAATCGAATAAATCGTGTTCTCGAGAATTGCATGAGGTTATCAATCAATAGGTTACAGATAAGGTGCTCGGGGCGACTGTGCAGTTGATAACTGACTTCTTTCCTATTCTTTCTTTCTTTTCTTTTCTTTTTTCTTTTTCTTCTCTCACCCAAAGAATCTTTATAGTCGTGTCCATGCCGTGTCCAATTATAACGAAGCCCGAACTCATTTCTCAAATGACGTGTGGTCCTTTTAGAAAAAAAACTATTCCCAAGGTCGTACAACTTTTACGACTACCATTTTTGCTACAAGCTCTTAGCCGGGCGGCAGAACCGAAATTTTCAATGATTGAATCCAAAAGCAAGAGCACGCATTAAATTTTACGACTCGCCCACGGGGTCGCTGCGCAAGAACTGAAGCAAGAGCTGCATTTTCCATTTTTCTTCGACTCTCACTAATAAACGTCCCGCCCGGACGAATGGAGCTTGCAACCATTTCGCCATGATTTTCGACGACGACATCCTCTTCCCTAAAACCTCCGCGATGCGTAATGCTTCTTGCGATGGAACGGTGAATGTCATCGGTAAGCGGGCTTCGCGCAGTATGATATTTCAATTGGTAGTAGGCAAAAACCGGGCCAACGAGCCGGACCGAGATTAAGACAAAAATTGGCGGGCCCAGCTATGACAAATTATAGGAAAATGCTTCAGAAAGGTGGCAGAAAAGTAAATTTAAAGATGATTTTTGGTCAGGAATTGGGCTTTTTTGGAGCACTTCTTATTTAGGGAGCAAAGAATTGCTCTTTTCCGAATATGCTTTGCCGAAAGTAAGCGGTTTTGAGAAAAATGCTGATCAAAACTCATGCACTATAATTATCTGAAATTAACTTTGTCTAAGAAACGGCTTCTCTTTTTCTTCTTGCTCCCTTGAAGTGTACATATTTTCAAATATATCTATATATATATATCTAAACAGCCAGCAACTCTTATCACTTTGGCACTGTTGTAGAATCGTGGACCATTTGGAAAAATCGTGGACCGAAAAAAAAATCGGGGACCGAAGCGAGGGTTTCATGGACCCGAAATCAGTTTTTATTCCAGTTTTCATTTACGCTCATTATTTTTCTATTATTTTTCCAAAACGAAGACAAGTCAGAAAACGAATATTCATCTCCTTATGGGTCTATACGTGAAGTTCTAGCAGCAGCACAGGATCAACTCGTGAAAGGAACACAAAAATTCTGAAAAAAAATCAGGGTGGTACTATAAGAAATGGAGAACATTTTCCGACTTTGACATTCGGCAAAACATTTCTGGAAACTTCTTGAAAATTCGCAAAATTTTCGCTAAATGTGACACTGATCAAAATTACACCAGCTGGTTCCATTGGAGGATCATCGTCTCATAAAAGTCAAAATAGCGAAAATTTTGCGAATTTTGCCAAATCTCAAAGTCGGAAAATTTTCTCCATATCTTATAGTACCACCCTAATTTTTTCAGAATTTTCTAAAGCGGCAAAAAAAAGAAATTCCCTAGTTTGACTGGGTGCTGTTCAACACGCTGAGAATTTGTTAATCTGAGCAATACGAAAAACTACTGTAGATAGCTTTTCTACTGTGAATTTAACTGCTTTTTTGAATTTTTGAATACTTCTACTGAATTGGTTTCGAAATGTCCCGTAGCCGTTACTTCTGCTGGTGATGATGACTCTGATCTTCGAGGTGAATCACGATGAATGTTCCTTTCACGAGTTGATTCTGTGCTGCTGCTAGAACTTCTGTAGGGCCCATGTCGACAAGGTAATATTCCGCCAGTCCCCAATTCTTGTGAGGATGCAGTATTGCGAGAGGATTCAAGTGCACGAATAGACCAATAAGAAGATGAATATTCGTTTTCTGACTCGTCTTCGTTTTGGAAAAAATGGAAAAATAATGAGCGTAAATGAAAACTGGAATAAAAACTGATTTCGGGTCCACGATTTTCTCGGGCCCATGAAACCTTCGCTTCGGTCCACGATTTTTTTTTTGGGTCCACGATTTTTTTTTTCAGTCCACGATTTTTCCAAATGGTCCACGATTCGACAACAGTGTCATCACTTTCTTTTGAACACAACAGTAAATTGCTTCAGGGTTGAACATGGGGATATGTCTGTTCGTCACCGGGATCGTCGCCGCGGCCGCAATAATGGGTTGCGTGCTCCTTCTGATCTGCGTCAAACTCGCCACCGATCGTGACGAGGCCAAGACGAAAAAGGCATCCGCCAGAGGATACGCTGTGGAGTCTGCTGACACTGGAAAGACTCCGGCCGCCGCTCCAACATCATCCGATCGCAATGACGCCAGTCAGAAGAACACCGATGAAATCGCCGGTCTCACAACTGCGTAAATGATATTGTATTTTCACTGATTGCTATGCTTCTTCTTCTTCTTCTTCTATGCACTAAAAGTTCCGCTTGTAAACATGCATTCCTTTGGCTGCAAGAGTACCTTCAAGATCCTAAATGAACATTATTGAACAGTTTTCACGTATGACAACTCATTTTCTGCCCGTACTCTACTTTCTCTCATACTATGTCATCTTTTACGTCCGCGACGCAGGAATAAACATTTGAATTCCCGCCGATGGAACGCAGGTGTGCGTGTGCGTTATGAAGGCTTGCTGGCAGCATGCCAACCTTCTAGACCAGGCTATCGCATCGATTTTGGTGCGCGCCAATGCGCAGTGCACCTTTTTCATTCGCTGCACCGCGCACTCCTCGCTCTAATTCTGGTTAATGGCTGCGTAGCGACTCGCCTGTTTGGTCGATACGGAGTTTGAAAATTTTATTCATTTCCCCAGAAAATCCTGGAAAATTGTGCCGTTTACTCCGTGTCTGCCTCGCTTTCCGATCGATATCATGCCTGCCGCACTGCGCAACACTGTCTGGAAAACCGTTCTTCTAATCCATCCACCATGCCACCCTTCCTCCTGCGCTACTGCGTTTTTCTGCTGGTCTCACCACGGCAACGCGCACCCTCTAATTTGTCTCAGCTCTTCGCGGTCTCCATTTGTCCATGCATCATTGCCGCACTCTTCTCCCTCACTCGTATCGATTTTTGCACCTCTAATTATTTTTCCCCTTGTTTCAGCAGAATTTGACTTTTTTCCAGAAACCATGGCTATTTGGGAGTCTCTGCCAACGGAGATGGTCACGACGATCGCAAACTTTGCCGATTTTCGTTCGAAGTTTGTCATTTTTGAGCCCTAACAGTGCTGAAAACATATTTTCAGATTGGCTCTCGGTGCAACTACATTAGCAAACTATATGGCTGTGGAAAAATCGAAATTGGACATCGTGGAAGTGGATATATACATCTTTCAAGTCAGACATAAGTTGTCCATCAAGTTAGCCGACGGTAGCCGCTTTAAGATTCACGCGTGCAGTGTCGCATAGTGAGTTATTGGAAGACAATAAGATATGACGTACAATATTCATTTCAGCGGAACCGGAGTCTCTGGATACACGAAGTTGGTGGAATACCTGCATAGAGCACTGAAGCGCGGCTCGGGTCCTATTTCCAAGTTCATCTTCAAAGGCGAACCGGTTCGTTCCCTCCTTCATTGATCAATTCAGTTGGTAATCATTGACACATTCAGAACGGTGCGTACACTGAAATCTTCTCACACCCGCGCATCAAGTTTTGCTCGGAAGTCAGACTTCAGTGCAACGTCAGTGACACAGTTGTCAACAAGTGGCTCTGTCACTTCCCAGCGAACCAAATAAAAAAAATGCAACTGCTCATGCTTCGCGGAATGATTCCACTTTTTCCACAGGTACTAATTGCACTCTAATAGCAGACCAGCAACTATATTTTGCAGTTTTTCTACCTTCGATACCTCAAACTGTCGTTGTGTGACGTTGACCTCAAAGACTTTGTGAATTCTCCGATGCTCGAGTCCTTCTATATTACGGATTGCCGCGTCCGTAGCCTGTCACAGTTTTTCAAGTCATGGGCAAATGCTACCAACGGGGAAATGGAAAACCTGAAATTTTTCGTAATTGATTATTTCTCAAACTGGCATCTACTCAAGGAGGATCTACAGGAGTTCATTCGCGAGGTACCGGTTCTAACCAAGACCTGCGGCTACACCGAACGCTTCCTCATCCGCCGTCTCAAAGATAAGGCTGTGGCCGATTTGCTGTTCACCGCTAGTGCCAATAAGCTCAGATTCCAATTTGAGCCGAACAGATACGTCCCGATTCACTGTTGGTCGATGTATGAAAGGACCGATATTGTTCCGCTCTGGGGCGAGCAAAGACCTTTTTATATCCCGGAGGAGACGGAAGAATGGAATGAAAAAAATGAAGAATAAATAAACCTCCATCAAGGTGTTGAGCCAATGCCAACCCAGGCCGTTTGAACGATTGGGGGTCTGAATTAAAGGGGTAGTGTGTGTTTCTTTACAATCCAATAGAATATTCTTAAATGCCCTGAGTCGATCATTTCCCCAATCCTAATGACTAAAACTGTTCACATTTTTCACACAATCTACCGACCATTGGAACGATTTTTGATCCATGTCCAAGAGGATTTTGTTTTTCCGAGCGGAATTTGCGTTATCAACTTTTTTTAGTAAGGTACTAGCCCTTTAAATTCAGACCTCTGAAAGCCTGATTCGATCATTTTATTTTTTTTATCACTGAAAAATGTTGTTGTTAAAATACTGTTCACCTGATTTTTATTTTATTTTATTTTTGTTGGATCCTGACAGGGTTTCATGAAATTTTATAGTTATTCTAAGCAAGAAACCCGCAACTATTCGCATGAAGCTCATTGTTACCAGGAATATTTTTGTGTCGAAGTAAACTTTCGTTGTCAGTTTCAGTGTTTCATGTCCGTGAACAACGGCAAACTCGAATGGAAAACGTGTTTCCAGAGACTCTCCCAAAACAATCTGTCACAGGTTACATCGGATTAGCGGAAAAACAAACAAAAACTGATTAGGCCCCAGTAAAAACAAGCCTTCTGTACTTGATAAGTCAATTGAATCAAAGCGATGTTCAACCGCGAGACGGCCGGCAACGAGGCACTCCCAGTCACACCGTGAGAGCACGGTAAGCACTTTGTTTTTCTGCCGCTGAAGGGGGCAGGCACCCGTTGTGTTTGACTATGAAAAGTTTTGAATTGAATTTGATTTCGCTGAAAATAAAAACAGAGGCGTAAGTGTAGTGTACCATTTCCAATGTTATTCTGTCTGAGTTTTGCAGGTATTTTGTATTGCGAATCCATGTTTTCACCTGCCCATCTCTCAAAAAGAAGTGGGTAACACTCACTGCCACACGTTTTGTAACATAAGCGCCCACATGACAGACCTAGCAAGATTCCCACGATACTTTTGTGAACTGAATTGCTCGTTTTACACTTGCCGACTACCCATACATCTCGCTTAACATGAAGCCCATCACGCGTTTTCCGGAAACGTGCCCGCATATTTTCTCGTTACACATGTCTCTTTTCCCTTTTTTCCGCTTTGTTCCAATCCTCACTAAAAAAGGAAGCAGCAGGAGACGTTCGTGCGCAAATTTTCTGAAAACATCTCATTAAGCATGCAACTTTTGGATTTCTCGAAGAACCAAATTACTAGAAAAGCGTTGTTTTTCCACGAAATGATATTTTTCTGTGCTCATGACAAAATTGATGAACAACTGAACATCTGAACTGTCAAAAGCACCTGACATTCCTTTTTGTTTTCGTTTTCGTGTTCAATGTTCAAATTTGCCAAGATTTTTGAGCAGCACGAATTTAGTTGTCAATTTATAGTCTGAAAGCCTTAGTCAGATCTTCAGTTATGAGTGGGAAAAATACAAATCTATGGGGGAGGGGAGGGGAGGTCTTGAAAATAAGACGAAATAAAGCAGAGGCTGTGAGAAAAGTTCGGTGTGAGATCGTCACAATAGAATATAATTACCATTGAATGAATTAGCAGCAGATAAACCAGTGTCAACAACTCCCGAAAAAGCTTTCTCAGTCCGTGCTCATTTCTAGTTATGCTTACGTACTCAATCGCATGTAATTTATGATGGATTTCCGTGAATTTTCTATAGTTCTTCGCTAATTTCCTCAGTATTGCCGGAAATCGGTCGGGCCCGGGCCGGGTTCAACATTTTCAGATTTTTTTGAGCCGGTTACTTGACATTTTCGTAATCAAAACAGCTGCAAACCTTCAATTTTCAAAAAAAAATTCTTCTGAGAAACTGAGTCACGCCATCAGAAGTGTCAGATGTTTCACAAGACAGAAAATGTCACCTGAGTATGAGAGTTTGAGTGTTTTTGTGGTGTGTTCTGTGACATAACAGTAGGGCAGTCTCAGTTGAATGCACGTTGACGGCAATTCTGTAGATGGAAATGAAGCTGATGGTCAAAGATCTAGCACCGAACATCAATAGTTCAAAAACATGTCTAATTCCATATTTTCTGTCAATCTTATCTTCATTTCATTCCGAATTCATGAACGATTCATCCCTGTGTTCTACAAAAACAAAAATCTAGTCTTCTTTTCTTCACATCGACTTATCCGCCACGTGTTTGGCACATTCAATCCTGTTTGTTCGAATAATGACCGCAGTTCATTTTCTGTCTGCAATCCTAAAACATTGATTCAAGTGTGATGATTCTCATCCTAATTCCACCACTCAAATCTCGTCCGATTTCTTTTTTCCCTTAAAAGAGATGAGACTAAAGAGTGCCATAATCTTCATCTCTATTATAAAAATGATGCGACTGAATAATTAGTGATCACATATTAGTTGGATTAATCACGTTTTCTTGCATGATGAGTAAGATGAGCGGAGGCGAGCATGCCTAGAAGAAATGTTGACGAAGACGTCGTCGCGTACTCTCACTTTCTAACAATGTAATCGAATTGTCCAGAGTCTATTTGTCTTTTTGGAAACTTATTCCTCCGTTCTGTAATTGAACACCCCCGGAACAAGTCTGTCGGCCCTGAAATGTTATGCATTATTTTGTTCCCTTTTACGTTTTCCTTTTTGCTCCTTTTTTCATCTTTGGTGGCGTGTGCACTGACCAATCGAATTGTCGGGTTCGGTCGGCACAAAAAGTAAGAGTAGAAGCCAATTTATCGGATTAATCTCTCATGAAACATTTATTCGTCTCTTACATTGGCGCTGCTCGTATTTCTTTGAGTGTCCGACTTTTGGACTAACCGCTTTTCACATGGTTCTTTCCAATTCTACAAAAAAGTGAATAACAGATGTCGCGGGTATGTCACAAATGTTTCCTTTCCTTTTCATGAACGGGGTACAAGCACTTTTCATCATTTCAAAAAAAAGAGATGAAGTCTACAACCGGATCACTTTTCTCCTAAATTGCTCCAATTTCCTTCCTGGTTTCCTTATATACCAAGAACTTGAATTCGTCGCCACTTCAGATGGCGGAAGGAAGGAAAGAAATTGGATAGTGCAGAGTTGTTGAACCATGCCGACACTTATCGACCAAAACATTCATGTCGATATTCAGACTTACCAATATTCTACCAACTCGATTATCATAACTTGACACAAAGTCCTATCAACCAAAAAACAAGTGGGTAGATGGGAAACAGAAAGGCTTCCTCCCATATTCCTCAATTCATGAACTGAATAGAATAACGTCACAATTGACATTTCATAGATTTGTTTGTTTTTTTCGCGACGAACAACTTTCAATGCGGTTCTTAATCTTTTCGCTCACACGTTCATGACGCAAAGAAGATGGACAAAAAAGCGGGATGATTAGTTTTGCCACTCCACCTCCACAAAAAAATCAGTTTCGAGTTGAGAAGAAGCTCGCGCGCGCGCGTCTCTTTCAGCCGTCGGCAACTAGGTCTTCCGCTTTTCAGTCCTCCCACTTCCAGACATAACGAATTTTGTTCTGGTCTAACATCTTTTGCGAGAATCCCCCCTTCTTCTCATGTGTTCCTCTTCCTTCCCCGGCGGAGGACAATATGTTCGGTAAAGTGAGTTTGGGAAGTGAGTCGGTCGCGACCGCTCTCAAATCATCATCTCATTTTTATGCCGCTCGAAAATATTTCGTCTGTTTTGATGACTTCACTGTTTTCGTTCATTTGAATGAAAAGGAAAAGAAGAACGCCTCTCACATTTCAATGCAATACCCACCGTATCATTTCTCTCCATTTTGTGTCACTTGAAACTTGATCGAAACAAAGAGAAATTCTATTATCTAGAATGTAGAGGTAGCAAATCCATTTACCCTTTCCGACCGATCGCAGAACACTGAGTTCTATCACAAAAGATTGCGAGTCGGGGGCGCAATCTAATTCGTCATTCGGTATCCTGTCCGCAGGCACTTTTCTTTTTTCTACAGATCCTGAACCTTACTTACATTTGCCCTCATATTCCCCTCTTCTATTAGAGTATCGAGCAAGTTGAGCATCATTGCTCGCGAAGGGTGACGTGGGAGGCAAACTTCCGGTCAGGATCCGGTCGACCTACTCCTACTCATCTTTTCGCAAAGTATGGCCAGTAATTGGATGGTGGCTGAGACTATAATTGCTTCTGTGATGGAAAGGTTCTTGGACTTTTCCGCTTACGAAGATTCCAATTATGCAGCCCAAACATTTTGACCGGTGAAACCAGTGATTTCATGTGCTCTTTTGTGCGAAATCGCCAAACATCAATCAAAAATAAAAAAATTTACGAATACGTGATAAGTGCATGAATAATTAACTGGTTTGGTAGGCGTGAACGTAACAATTCTTGAGCAGCTTGTTGAATATGTAAACATGTGAAATTGTCATTATATATATACATGTTTCGCGGCGGAATGGGCTCAATCTGCTCGTTCCTTTTTGTATTCTTCACATTCTCACGTTTTCACGCATTTTGTAGCGGTATAGAATGCACGTTCAGACACTAACACTTCCGGTTGAGCTCCTCTAAAATACATTTATTTGGCTGTCAAAATCCGCTCGCGCCATCAGTTTCAGATGTTTTTGTGAAGTCTTTCTCCACATTTCTCCACATTTCGTGTGCAGTTTTGTGTGAAAATTATGCCCATTTTTGGTTCTTGGTCGTTGGGAACCCACAAATTTCCGTTCACCGTTCTTATCAAAAGATCGGAAGCCTGTGTGAGCTCGGGCAAAGTGCAGAGAAGCACCAAATTTCTTAGACACGCCCACAGAGATCTCATTAATTTCGGATCGCACTGAGAGTGTTCGCCCTGAGGCGGTTTCCTCAAAAAGGATTACGGTGGCCATGTTTCTTTCCCTTTTCTCAATGTCATTTGGACGACGCATCAGCTCACGGAGAGACTTTTTTGCTTTTCCATTATTTGATGGATGAACATATCCGATGAAGACTGATAACTTTTTTCACTTAAAATAGGTAATATCAGATGTCTACTGACTTTTTCCACTGATTCACCTGTTCTATTTCAAAAATCAAGTTGTCTGTCTTATTTTACATACTATCGGTTTCCACTAATTTCTGGTCTTTTCAGTGAAACATGCGACATATGAAAGGGATGTCCAATTAGTGCATAGCCAGAGATTCTATTCCATGTTTCTTATTAAATTATTTGTTTGCAAGCGATCCATCATCTCCGGCGAGCCTTTGGTCCGGGTCCGCCTCTGGGTGTAACAGTTTATCAATTTCTTATGCGATTCGTTTTTCATCCAGATTTGACTGATGTCTGAGAGCGGGAAATGAACATGTGGATGTGGATCTTCTGGTCCCAAAATAAACACTTATTTTTCCGAATGTTTGGTTCCCGAATGTCCAACTTCCCGCAATAATCATTTCAGATATTCCCCAGACACTTCCCCCTTGCTCTCACATTTCTTAAAACTCCGAGATGATAATCCGCCGGCGCTCGGAAAAATTTCCCTACACCGGGTGTACTATGACGTGCGATCATTGTTTTTTCAGCATGTGTCACTTAGAAAAAGTGCTAGATGCGACTGGCGTCTGGCCTAGACGTCACTTCCACTAACTTGTGGTACGTGAGAAACTGCTCAGGGCAAGTCTCTAATTAAAGAAAGCGTTGTCGTCAGACTTGATATGTGAATGGAGTGTACCATTTGGCGTGCCGCAAACACGAGGCTTTTCCTTTTTTTGTTCCGTTGCCAGTCGAATGCGTCAAACGTGTGTTCAGCCGTCTGAAAACGAATTTCGGCATGAATCATTCTGTTACCAGCACATTGTTTTTGGCGAGAAACCTCACGCGGCCCCCGTTTAACCTTTCCGCTCTTTGCCCTACCGCTTTTAGCTTAAAGGTTTCATCGGGTTCGTGAAAGAGGACAATTATCCTAGGTCTTACTTAATGGAATTCCAACTATGCTCTTGCGACGCGTTTTGCGTCCTATGAAAACAAAAATAACAGGAAGGAGAGCAAAATGTGTGCATTGTGCAACTTTTCAAGTTCCGGAAGACTTAATAAATTCTCCGTACACACGCACTTTTGCTTTCAACAAAGTTAACTTATTTTCCTCCCCCCTCCTTTTGCGGTCTCCAATATTATCCACCCTTTGTAGTCGTTACGAGACAGCCTTTGTGTACTAGCTGAATGAGGTTCATAATAATTCCAACAATTCATTCCATCTCTGATTCTTTTTCATTTATCCGCTCACTTCCAGATAATACGTCTGTTCTCTCGAGTCTCTTATTACGTTTGTCTGGCAAAAACTTAGAAGCTACAGTATCTTTTTCTGATCATTAGTAACCAAACATAGCTCTCGTGTTCACACATGCGTGATTGAGTCTTTCGACCAGAAAAGAAAAAGAGGCGGGCTCTGAAATGATCACGATGAGAGACATCGAAGGAAAAAAGTGAAACACTTTCTGCGATGCGACATTTCGAATGCATGCTCGGTTTGGTTTTCCCCACTTGCTTATTCATACATCATCGTTCAATCTTCATTGGTCCCGTCTCTCATTCTCGATTCCTTAGCACACTCATTCTTTTTTTAACAGTTCAACACACGAATTTTCCAGATCGGGATGAATGAAACGCTTTCCGAGGAGGAATTGGAAGTTATACGGTTTGAGGACATGCTGATCAGCTTTTCGGCGGTGCTGATGACGCTCCTCTCCGCGTTCGCGCTTATTTTCAACACCTATTTGTTGCTCGTGAGTGGGGACAAGGGCCTCATTATCTATGGGTAAAAGAAAGGGTGTTCAAACTGAACATAATAACAAGTTAGGTTTTCTATTTCTGACATTCTTGGGTACAGATCGAGTTCAAGTGCATTCTCTCTCAATGCATACACATCAAACTTATGGAGACTTTCAGTGCGCTCAATACCTTCGCGATCCTGTTAGCGTGAACCTTCGACTGTGTGTGCTCCTGTCGGCTTCTGATGCGTTGTGCTCTTTGTGCTACATCTTCACTTACCTCATCAACATCTTCTTCAGCCACTTTTCCAATTGCACATCGCTTCTTTTAGAGGTCAGTTCTCACGAGTCCTGAATCTTTTTGAAATCAGAGTTTTAGGTGATCAAATTGTCGACGTTCACCTCTTCCATTCTTATTCTCGGTCTACTAGCATGCAACCATTACATTGGAATCGTTCATCCGCTTCATCGTAATATTGTCACACCGAGAGCCCTCCGAATGACCGTACTCCTCTCTTGCATTTCCCCATTCACTGGCTACCTTTCAATTTTCATCCTTTTTCCGGGAGGTAAGTGTTTTTGCTCGCAGAAAGAACACAATTTTACTTTCAGGACTCCGTGCGCCAATTGCATTTGCATTCTTCGACAGCGATGGCTGTCAGGGAAATGCCATTTATCGTGAGCAGAATGATAGACAGGAATCATTGAGACAATTGGTTTGCAGGAAACAATTTCTTCCGAGCCTCGATCGTTGGCCCATTTATCGTTGTTATTATTGTCTTATCTTGCCTTTACTTCCACATCGGTGTTCATATGCGACGCATTTCTCTCGATCCATTGTTGAGAAACAACAATAACAAGAGAAACAATCGCAAACTTCTTATCACTATCCTTCTGCTCGCTGGTTCTGCCTGCGCTGGTAGGATGTTCAGAAAAAGGCTGGGTTAGAAATTGTCAATTTTTCAGGATGGCTTCCAACTACTTTAAACTTTCTGCTCCCGCTCGCTTTCAATGTACCGAGACGAGCTAGACTTTATCTAGGGTACTTGAAACATATTGACAGTATTTAGACTCAATAATCCTTCCCAGAATTTTGGCTCAGCTCTTACATGTAGCAAAGCTTCTGGCTGACGCATTCATTTATGCCCATCGCCTCATCGAGATCAAATATGCGATGTATGTGTTCAACAGAAAGTTCAGAATCACGATTTGCAGATTATTCCGCATACGTAAGATAAACATGAGATTTCAAAACGTTTTCTCTCTCGTTTTCAGGTGTAGATGAGAAAGAACAAGTTCCCACTGCGTTCACCCGTTACTTGAGCGAGACAAAGGAAAACCGATCGGTCAGATCAAAAAGAGTGAAGAGCGAATTCCAGAGTTTGGACAAGCAACGCAATGCTGAGCGTGCGGCAGCCAACAAAAACAAGAAGAATAACCGTGCTTCCGATGGCGGTAATAAGGTGAATAGAGAGCGTTGTCACGGTTTCTGCAACTTTTTTTCAGCTTCTGGTTGCTCAACATCAACCCCTCAAAGCGTGTAAATCGGTTCCGACAGTGGTGATGCAAGACGAAGTCGAGCCGAGCGGAAAATCGCGCTCGACCAACAACTCGGTGATTGTGAAGACGGTGCGACTCTCCAACGCCACAAGCTTCAACTATTACTAATTTTTTCGCCATTTAATATTATATATACACATATATATACATACATTCGTGTGAATGATTGAATGAATTTTTTGTCCGTCTTGCCACTTGAACCACCGGAAAATGCGTACGTAGCTGCAGAAACACCAAGTTCAGACCGGGTCACAAGGAGTAAGTAATGCGAGTAATAACAATAGAACGACGAAAAAAGGAAGAGGAATCGGAAAAAAGAGGAGAATGTGCCATTGAAAAAGTGTAAAGGCGCGTGCCAAATACACTTACCGAAACCTGTCCGCCCTCTGTCTGTCTGCTATAATTATAATTCCTAACAAAGTTTTCCGAAACGTTTCGTTTCTCCGTCTACGGCCATTCTTGTTACTGCCTACTGTTTCGAACCCGATCTTTTTCTTTCTCTTTTTCTTCCGTTACTAAACTACCAGATGGTAAAAAATCTCTCATGGATCGTTCTGTTCGCCCTTGTACTCTGCTCGATAGCTCGGAGGTCGTTGCTGCCGAAAATTGAGATTAGTATGCTTGTGGACGAACTGAGTTCTCAAGAAGCCAAAGAATTTCTCAAGCGGAACGGAAATACGACTATTAATGTTTCAAAGTCTCTGACTAAATCAGAAGGAGAATCAGATGACGTGACCAACTCCACGTCATCTGGACCAGAAGACTTTGAAGAAGCGACGACTGACCTCATCAGTTCCGTGGCTAAAGAAGAGCCTTCTTCTGATCCCGATGACTATGACGCTACCGTAACCACGACTATAAATCCCGATGACTTCAATGAACCGGAAGCAGTGACGTCACCGGCAAGGCCGATGTTATTGTCCGAATTTGCGAATCATCTCGCCAGCGGGATTCGCACAAGACCCGAAACAACAACACAGCCATTGCCCGACTTTCCAACTCCGAAGCCGACAGTGTTTACGGCACTTCCTGACGAGAATTTTCCGTTTATGATCACAGCAGCCAAGGTTCTTGACGATCACGTCAGAAAGGATTTGTTTTCACAGTGTTTTTCTTCAGGAATTCATACGTCGTTATTTGTCTCCGGAGCAATGGCGCAAGCTAAGAATTCTATTGAAGACGATCAAAGAAGTCGGAGGATCAAGGCAGGATATCCATCGAGCTGCCACGTCATTCATTTCAAAAGTACGTTGCCCACCAGATATCCCTATGTTTACCTGCGGCTTGAGGTGATTTCAAAAGCCGAGATGGCGGAGATCACAGAACGAAAGAACGAGCTGTTTCAAACATTCAACCGTCGATATTTCGACACAATTCGAGTAAACTGAAGAGAATACAATATTTTTATGTATTGATTAATTTCATCACATTCTAATAAATAAATAATCACATGTTGTTGTAATATCACAATGTACAAGTTTTTGTTCGGAATGAAAATGTGTATAGGTGGCATATATTGTGCAGGGCAATTGGATAACCGTAATATGAAAATCGGAAATTACAGACTTCAAAGTTTGACGACTAGGAACTAAAGAAATAAGGGAACATCACGTTTTTTACACAGTCTTTTTGACGGCTGGGTTTTCGAGTCGTTTCAGGAGGATGAGTGGAATGACCAGTAGGAAAGCGCCCATGATGTAGCAGGAAGTGGCGCCAAGAAGCCAGAAGACTGAAAAATGACATTTTCAGTAATAGTTCTGCCTGAAACACTCACATGTCGAAGAAACGACCGGTCCAATTGCTCTGGCCAAACATCCCAAACTGCGGAAGATTCCAGCAAGCACACCTTTCTCATTCTGCGGATGTACCACGTGTACGAGTGACGTCAGACTTGTCACAACAGTAGCAGAAGCTGCAAACAATGTTTTGTCAGCATCCTCTTTTTGCTCTATTTTTATCAATACCAATTGCATAAAAGAAAAGTCCCGCATAAAGAACCAATGGAGTTTGGGCAATTGCGACGAGAAAATACGCAGGGATGATGCAAGCAATTCCAAATTCGGCGACTTCCTTTTGTCTGGAAAATTGGATTATCCTGAGCTGAGTATTGTTCCATTCCGAGATCCATTCTCACTTCTCAATGGGAGCTTTCCGCACATATCTTCCTTGGATAGGGAGCATCAAGAGTCCGGTGAATAAGTAAAGTTTTCCTTGTTGCATACTAAAATGATAATGTTTTGTTTTTGTTGACAACTGATAAAAATTGATATGAAAGCATTTACCTATCGAAGTTGAAACGGAGATGAGTCAGGAACGGAAGAGTGAACTCGAGTCCAGAATACAAAAACAGGAAGAGGAAGTAGATCCAGCCGATATTTTGCATCTCACGCTTCTCTAAAACGTTTTTTTTTTGTAAATTCAGTTCATGGCTTTAACTAACTGTCTTGTGGGGCATTGACGGCAGAGAATTGGAAGAGATCACTGGGAGTGATGAGTTCTTTGCGCGTTTTTGTGATGTCATCCAAGCTTTTCTGAAAAACAAAACGTCAAACTCTTGTTTTTAAGTTTGAAACATACCTGCTCTTTGAGATCCAAGGTTTCCGGAAGGAAGAATAGGAACGCAAACTCGACAACCGTCAGAACAATCGAGAAAATTGCAGGAAAAGCGAATGGAGAATCCTAAACATGTGAAAAAGTGAAAAGGAGATGTGGCAATACAATTTGGGTTACCTGAGAAGCGATGGTGGAGAAGTAGGCTCCAATCATTGGTCCCACAAGAAAACCGATCGAGTAGGAAATTCCGATGAATGCCATTCCCTTTGGATGATCTTCGGGAGTATAGACATCTGACACAATTGCAGTAGCCACATTGATGTTTCCTTTGCTGAGTCCTCCAAGGATTCTGGCTAACACAAAGTAAGCAAATGTATCCGCTTTCAGCCAATTCTACAAAACACTGATTTTCTCAGATGCTATGAAACAAATAATGACTCACAATATAAGAGATCAGAGTTAGAATGCAACACAGGCTGATAATAGCTCTTCTTCCATAGATATCCGACAAAGATCCCAAAGTTGGTGAAGAAATGAACTGAAGAGCACTGAAGAGAGATCCGAGAAGACCTGCAAGGAAAGTAATTTTTACTTTTTAATTATATTTTAAATAAACCTCCAAAAAACACTTTGTCGTATCGCTCGCTGTGCGGAACTCCGATAGCTTCTTGGAAAGATTGAAGCCCTTTCACACTGATATCATACAACCAATCCTGGAATTCTCTATTTTTCTTCTAATCCCGTCCTGAAATACTCACCCTATGTCCTTCTTTTGAATAATAATTCAAAATTGTCGGAAATAACGGGAGAATTGACGTGAACGCGAGCATATTGCATATTAATGCGGGTATAAGCAGCTTCATCACTGCTTTCCGGTCAACCGGACCAATCGCCGTCATTTTCAGCTGAAAAATGAAGATGAAATGAATTGGGATGAATTTGATGAATGAGAGCGTAAAAATGGAGTAAAAGTGATGACCGGAATACCAGTTTTCTAGACTAAAAGTTTGTACATTTCCTGCTGAACAAATATGTTGACTCCACGACCTCCCTCCCACTCAAATGTCAGCAAAGAAATTGTCAAACAATGATGATTTGAACTAGAGCGCGGTGAAAATAAAGCCAACGTAGGAGTTTGTTTGTGTTCATATCAGTCCAAGAGCAATTCTCACCAAAAATGCGTCTGGCACGAGAGGGGATAGGGAAAAATGAGAAAAAATGGACGGCGGCTTATTGGAAGTTGGGAGCAAGTCGAAATTCTTTGGGAAATTTGATACATAAAATATTTTATAGTGAGAAACCGGGGCGAGGTGCGGAAACGCCGATAGTACAGCGGAACGTGCTGATTCAACCGTTTATCAGTAAATTTGGACTTTGAAAACTGGACGAAAACCTCAATTCTCATCATTTGTCGATGATCTTTCTAATGTAACGACACAATTCGCATTTCGGTGCATCAAAAAACCAGGAGAAGATGACTTTTCTCTGGCAGCGTGTGTGTGAGTGACACATTTTCACTGCGTTGAATCAACAGGGGTGGAATATGAATGAAGGTCTCTGTGAAGACGATCGGGCCGAGGAAGCGGACCGGTCCATGGGGTACAAAACACTGAACGGACTGGTGGAGAGGCGACACAAAAGACGCCTCGAAGTGCGCGGATTTCAAAGAGACGCACAGAAAATCGTCGGCCGAGGACACGAGGAAAGAGAGAGCGCGAGGAGGAAAACGATGGGCTGCCGACTGTCTGCGCATGCTTCTCCGATCATCAAATCGAGGCAAATGCGATGGATCGGAGGCTCGTTGTGTTCGTGTGTAGCCGATGATAAAAACTGGCTGGAACACTATTGTTCTGTCCTTTTCGCATGAGTACATTAAGTCGGTCTGGATAATAGCGCGAAAAAGTAATAGAATTAAACGACTTGTTTCTTTTCTCTTCTTTAAAATTACTGCAGATCCAATTGGAGTAATACATATTCCATTTACTTAAGGGTGTCGTGCATTACAAAATGAAGTGGTGGCCACTAATTTTGAAAAAATTTCTTAATTTCGTTTGAGTATCTTCGAGGCCAAAAACTTTCCCATTTCAGTACGTTTTAGAAAGGGTTTTATAGGATTTGTTGGGAAAAAACAGCAATTTAGATACCGACCACCTTGATTTGAACAAATATTTGCATGTTCTTGTTCGACGGTTGCGGAAATTGATTTCGGTACGCATTTTATAAACAGTTTTCACGACTTTAAAGATATTTATGCAAAGAGCACTGAGAACAACAAAAAAAAAGACGATTGTTGGGTAAAGACCGCGCGGTGTAACCGATTGAGAGCAGCGATAGAATGAGCGACCTTGACACCAAGCGGTCCAAGTATTATACAGCTACCCGGCCTGCCGAACACCTCCATAATACTCTTCACCGTCTACGCACTCTAACAAGAGCGACGGTTACCCTGATAGTAATATCATGAGTGTGCATAATTTATTTTTTGTGACAAACTCGTAGTAATCTCTGAAAAATTGATGACAGAGGGGAACAAAGAGTAGGAAATGAATGGGAGAAATTCTTGTGTTCACTTCTTTTTATATTAACAAAATGGAAAAGAGAGCAGTGACGAGGAGGTAGAAAATTGGAATGGAGGAGGCGGATGTGGATGCGGAAGTCTTTGTTTTTGCCGCCAACGCTTCAGAATTCGTCTCTATTATCGCTGAAACGAACGGAATGTCAATGAATATTATGGTGACAGCCGATGGTTACCATGAAGCGAAAACATAGGAAAACGAGGGATGAACCAAGGAATAGATAGAAGATGAAAATAATTGAAAGTTGGTTGAAATGTTGCGTGCTTATTGTTTTGCCGTGTGTCGGAACTGACTTGTTGTCTACTTCACTCGTCTGAAATCGGTCGAATCGAGAAACGGTTCATTCCACATACAAACATTCGGTTTTCAAGGCAAGAGGGAGCAACAAAAAACAAAGGACAAGAGGAGAACCGTGCGAGGAGAGGGCGGCATTCCAGGTGGTGATGAGATAGTGAAATCAGAACGGCATCGACATGCTCGACGGAACAAAGTTGAGAATTGAGAGGGGGACGATGAGCGACATGCACAAACCAACTCACGCACCGTTGTCAGGTACAGGCACTCGGTTAGTGAACCTGGAAAGAGGATTGGATAGGGCTGAAAGTGCTGGCGGCAGACGGACTACGGTGAAGAAGGGAAGATGCTTTTATGGTGAGGTAATGACTATTTGGACGGTGAACTTACAGGGCGTGAGCCTTCTCGAGCATCGGTCGCAGCTCTCCTTTTTCTTCAATGGCTTTCGTTTCGTCGTGACCTCCGACAAACTTTCCGCTGATGAACAGTTGTGGAACCGTAGTTCTTCCCGAGTACTTTTTGAGGATTTCCTGCAATTAGAAAGTCACACTTTTTTTCTCATCTGACTCTTTTACCTGCATTTCTTCCGTCTGGTTGGATCTGTCCAGTTCCACAATTTTCATGTCGTCAATCTCGTAGTTGGCCAGAATGGCCTTCAGCCGCTTACTCCACGGACAGTACGTCTTACTGTACACCATAACCTGAAAGATTCATAGGTTTCGTTTATCAAATTCCAAAGCTCGGAGGACTAACTTTATGTTGGATGATATCGTTAACGATATTTTCTTCCAAATCCTTCAACGTCTTCTCCTCCTTGGTTTTCGACAACTCGCCGGACACAATCTGCAAAGAGAGAGGACTTCCGTTGCGAGTACGTCACTAGACTTGACCGAGATCTAGACCAGCCGGCGCCCCTATCTGTTCTTGATAGATTATCAACATAATTTCTGGTGCACGCCGGATCAAACACGTTCTAAACCCCTACTTACAGCTGCCAACACCGCCAAAATCGTGAATATCCTGAGCATTTGTGATGATTCCTGAAAAAAACAAAGATTGGGAGAAAGAGGTTGAAGGAAGTGACGTTAACGCTAGGACTGTGACAATCGTAGAAATAAGCAAGGTCACTCAAGAATCGTATGGTAGAAAGAGATAATATCGAGAAAAGGATGAGAATAGTACAACCTGGTTATCTCTTTCCTCTCTCCCACCTACTCATATGACAAAGTTGGCCCAACTTGGTTTCGCTTTTATGTTGCCTAAAAAAAGTAGGCGGGATCGGTTTGAAACCGCCAGAAAATCGTGAGAATATCTTTGAATCTCAAGATTACGGTAGTAGCGAGTGGAGAAGGAGGAACCAAACTGTTTTGGAAGGAAACCACGGGGTGATTGGGTTGATAACAAAACAAGTCAGGTAAATGTTTCGGGATTGTTAGCCGCCGATTGTTTCGGCGAACGCCTCAGAGTCTGGCCATCAAGGCCGCATTCCAAACTCCTTTGATTGTAGCCGTTACAAGAAAGGAAACGTTATTTCTGACACGACTGATTAGAGGAATGAGAGGCAGATACGTTAACGGAGAACCTAATTTGATAGGACTGTGGTTCCACGATATCATGCACGACGTCAAGATGAACAAAAATCAGGTCGAAGTTCAGAAAATTAAAAATAAGTGAGAGAAAAGAAAACGACTGCATTTCTCTCGTTTGTTGTTCTGTTTGACGCCTGTTTCCACGACAAACGCTGCGAGTGACAACAGAGAAAAAAGAGGAAAAAAAGCGCTCAAAAATGATAAAATGATAACTCCCCCCCTACCCATCTTTTTCGACAGCAAAAATTTCCATTGTTTAACACTTGGCACGTTTCATATACGTTGCGTTTCGCGAACAATAGTACTCAAACAAAGCTGAAGAAGGGGGGACATTGTGGGGGAGAACATAAAAACATTTTCCTTTATGGTCATGATAATGTTTCTGAGATGGCATCGGCATTATGATGCATACAATCAAGTTGTACGCCCGAACATTTCGGAGAGAGAGAGAGGAAACAAGGGAGGAAGTGAGTGGACACCGACGGACTATTATAAGTGCCCCATTTTTTGGCACCTCCTGAACAAACATATTTATACTTTTATACGGGATGCGCGGAAGAAGAATGTTGAAATGATTTGTGGTGTTCAGGAAAACATCACGTTTTGAAAATAACCGATAGTCATGAGACAATAGCGAACCGTTCTCTTTCTCATATCTTTGGAATTTCTTCTATTTTTCTCAGCTGATCAGTTTGATACAAAACTCGATTTGTCACCGTGATTTTTGAACATTTCATCCCGAGAATCAAGTACAAGCGAACTTTAATCGGAAAAAGGGTAAAGGAAGACAAAGGATAGGGCCAGCAAAAAGAAATGTACTAATATGATGCATGGTGGCGACGAAGAAAGTTTGTACATATATGCGTAGTGGTAGTCCCCAAGTTTCATTAAAGTAGGCAGCGGAGGAATGTTTTATTTTCATTTTTTAGATGTACAGAAGCAATATTTGATGAAAACGGAAGAATATTCGAATTCGAATGAGGCCTTTTATTTTTCGTAAATGTTTGTGTAAACAGAAAAGGTTGCACAGTTTTGCACTACTATTCGGTCCTCCAGGAAGATTTTCTGGTCAGAAAGGTTTTATTCGGCACAAGCAGACGGGCTCCATGAGTGTGGATTCGCTTTTTTTCTGAGAATTGAAACCAATTTTGATTTTCAGTGAAAAACTTACTGTCTTATCGGCTGGAAGAGGAGTCTTGTTTGAAGAATTGTCAGTAACTACTTTCCCGACAGCAACTGTTCTCACAGTTTTGCACAAACTCATTTTGATATTGTAGTAGTCAATAGTTCTCGGAAAATAGAGCACACTGAACCAATCTTTGTCCTCATCCATTCTCATCAACAACGATTCTAAAGAGTCACTTTTTTAGAAATGCGATTGTGGAACACTAGCCATTTTCAAGCTTGATCATAAACTTGAAGACTCCCCTCTGAGGATTGCCAATCCAAACGGATGGCGGCTCGATTACGTAAGGCGTGTGAGGCAAGTTATCGCCCCTCTTATCACTTTTTTTCGATCTGGCAGGTTCTATAATCAATTTGAAGTCGCCCTCTCGCTTATTTTTCCCGTATATTGAAACCTGCAAAGTGAACTTCTATCAAAAGCGGAAAACCGAGTGTTTGACCCACTTCAAACGCAATGATCTCTCCTTTTTGTATGAACCGGCAGACCTGCACGTCATGAGTCATTTCGGAAGCAAATTCGCGTTCTAAACATGTTTTGTCATGACTTATTTTCAGAACTTGACAGTCGTTGCCTCTGTAGACCAAATGAACGTCTGAAACTTGTTAATTAGTCGCAAAACCCGCTGAAAATGTATATGTGAAATGAAAGAATGAAAGGTAGAAACCAACCGTTTTTGTTCTGCATCGTCGACGGCGCAAAAGATATTGATAGCGATGATAATTGGAGAGAATGATTCGTCTTTTTTTTCAAGAACCATACTTTCGCATTCTTCGAACAAAAGGACAGTATCAGAAGAGAAAAACAATTGCAACTTCGATCGATCCACGCGATTTTGGCAGGCAACTGATGCAATCGTTCCAAAAACACGAATCAACACCATATCTTTCATTGTTTTGAAACTTTGCAAACAATAATGCGCCTGTGTTTCTGGGAGTAAACATGTAGCTCATACATATTATCGAAAAAGTTATGCATGTGCAGTTATAAAAGTGACTGGATCAATTGCTGTTCTACTGGTAATTGTCACGGGAATTAAAGTATTGGGAGGTGGGGTTACTGAAAACTTACATTTGACAATACATATTTAGGAGGTTGAATTATACATTTGTGATGAATACATAAGTGGAAGTACAGCAACTATGCGGGGGGATTAATGATAATCGATTGGATTGAAATTAAAAAATAGCATTTCACAAAGAGAAAAAGAAAGAGAATTCTGATTCATATGTACATCTAAGGATACAATTTTCTAAGTGCGATGAACACAGCTGCAGCGGATCTCTCGTCCAACAGAGTGCAGTCGATCTTGCGGAAGTCTGCGTAGTTGTGAATCTGCTGCATGCACCATGACTGGAAAACATATATTTATCCACTGAAAACTGCTACGTTATTTACCTGAACATCATCATAACCAAAGTACTCGGCCATTCTAAATCTATCCGTCGGATTTTGCTTTCTAATATTCATGCTGATGGCGTCCATGGCCGCTTTGTGTTGCAAAAGACGGGCTACCACTGCAACTTCTTGGTTTTCCGGCAAGCACAGATCGATGAGAAGCAAGTTGTCGCATTGATACTCTTGTCGCTCCAGAATCATTTTCAGTGAACGTCCCGAGATTTCAGGCAGTGGAACGCGTCTTGCAAGACCTAACGGTTCGGGTTCAAACGGGTACTCTTCGATGATCTTTCTGAGAACTGTGGAGTGTTTACTGGTAACCTGCAAAAGAATAACGTTTTACTTGAACAAAGACACAAATCGCAAAACCTCATTATCCACAAGAATTTCCATTTGATCAGCACCGACCCCAACTTGGAAATAGGTGATTCCCGGCGGATGCGGTTCAAGACATTCTTCTATTTTGGAAAAACCTTCACTTTCAACAATAGTCATTTGAACTTCGAACTTGATTGGGCCCTGGTAATGCCTTTTCAAGACATCCTCGGTCAGTGCATGAATGACGAGGGAACGGCTGTTCCAGGAATACGTGTGGTTTGTAGAGTACTCCCAAAGTTTGGTGTTATCCGCCCGTTTGATGATGAAGGTGATCAAAGCGTTAATGTGCCAGAGAGTCGAGAGTCTGATTCTGTCCGCGTACTCAACGGTCAGTTTGATGGTGTTGTCACGTTCAACTTTAACGTCAAACTCGCTGAAAAGAAAACACATTCAGATTTTCAAGTATTTTTTTTTTAAATTCAGCTTACCTCTTTCTCAGAACTCGAGTATTTGAGAAGTATCTCGACGAAGTGTTCAATCTGCATGGAGCGTAACTCGGCGGACGCACTGGCCTTTCACTGAATTTGCAAATTTGACAAGGATCTGATGATTGGTGATGAACTCACTTGAACTGCTCGACTTGTTTCAGAACCACCAACGTCGGGGAGGATGAGAGTTCATAAGCAAAGACCAGATTTGAGTTAGTCCACTTCTCATCAATCAACTTTTGCAGTTCCGGTAGTTGCATAGAATTCTTTGGCGACCAGCATGATTGGATAGTTTTCAGAATGTCTGTTTCTATCTCTGGGACTATCTCCGGTTTCGGTCTGATAAAATATAGTTCCAACTGATCTTTGCTCTATGTATTTCAACTTACAATCTCTGCAGGAACTTTTCGTCCCATGAGTGGAACACTTGCAGCAACTGTCTGATATTCTTCGGGCCGAGATATTTAGCAAAATTGGACAAGGTTGAAATATCAGCTCGGTGACGCAATTTTCCCAACGTCACCTCCTATAAAATCCCACGGATTAAAGAATCCAATTCATGGTGATTAGAGCTCACGGTCACTTGATCCAAATTGAACTCTTCAGCGATGAGCAAGAATTCTAGAATAGTGAACGGCGCGCAGAGCAAAGAGTCCAGACACGGTCCCACAATCTTAATCTTCAACGAATCCGAGAGATTGTGAAGCGAAATGATTGCATCAGCTGATAACACACTGATTATTTTTCAAGTTATCATTATGCTACTCACATGTGAATCCGGTTTTGCACACCTCTTTCACGCGAACATAGTCCATGTACTCGAAAACGGAAGCGGTGAGCGTGGTGTGACACTTGCGGGACACGCGGTCAATCGGTCCCGGTTGTACGTGCTCGAGCTCGTCTTCCTGCATTTGCATCATCCCGTCTTTGAAAAAGACCGAAAACCAAGTTCTCGGTCTGATCTTGTCGTTTCGTTCGAAGACAACCTCCACAAAGATAGTGTGGGAGAAGAAGTAGAGGCATCTTTCAAACTTGATTGGCTTGATTAAGCTGTTATAACCCAGCGTAGAAGCCAGTTGGCCGATCGTCCTTTCGCCAGTTCTACGATTGGAAAGTGTGACTGTGATCATGCCGGCGATTGTTCGAAACGATTCTCTACCCAGATAGAACAAAAGGTTGTCCTCTTGCCACTCGACCACACTAAAAAGTTTACATGTTTTCACTTTCAGCCCTCACAGATTCCTCACAGGCAAAACTTCTCTACGGTCTGCACGGAAGCTGTTTGTCCGAGTTCCAGATCGAGATGAAACGTCATATCCAGATTCTCGCTGAGAAGTCCTTCCTCGAAATCGATCATCTCAGATTCCACGTGAACAATGTCTTCATCGAAAATGCAGATGTCACCTTCCTCGATGCCCTCGTAGACGCCGTGCTCATCCGGCAGAATGACGCGGATTTCTTCGGAAAAACCTTCCTCGTCCTCCTCCTCGAGCATCGCTAATTCCTCAGCATTCATTGTTATCCAAGGGGCTGAAAAAAAGTAATGTTTTGAGATAAACGGGCGAGATAGAATGTTGGCACGCGGGAAAGATCGATACATTTTCTTCGAGCGAGAATGAACAGAAATTGAAGCGGCTTGAGAAGAAAATGAATGCGCTGTGCCGGCAAGCGGCCGGACTCGCCTGCCTACTTTTTCTCTAACGAATATGCAAAAACGGAATGCGATGCACACACACACACATACACACACACGCGCACTCCTCACGTCAGGAATAAGAAGGGAGAAAGGAGGCTCACAAGCAATGCTCTTTCCGCCGAATCCCTCCATTTTGAGCGTTGGCCGGCAGGCAGTTCCGTCACGCCTCGCTTCAATAAAATTGGCGCCACACTGACTACCCAAACGGGAAAATTTTCCTCTTTGATTCTATTAAAACGTTGTTAAAGATGGATGAAGGGTAGCATATCCTACATCTGCCTGAACGGAAGGAAGCGCGAGACGGCAAAAGAGCGGTGAAGGGAAAAAACAGAACGAAATTGGCGTAGCCGTCTCACATGGGACGCGGTGTTGAATCGATACGAAAAAGCTATACGCGTACGCGCCAAGATGTTTTTTTTTGCTCTCTCCATGAAAGAACGCATCGAAAAGAAGAAAGAGGCGAATGGGAAAATGACACGAGGGATTGTTTGTTGTTGGAATCACGAGACCTGCAGGCCAGAACGACACTCCACGAATATGCGCCAACATTGTTTATTGTAAACTGACTGCGATAATCAATACGGGTCAGAAAAAAGGAGAACGCGGAACGTAGGTGGGGGGGGGGGGTCACGAGTGGCTGTAACCTTGGAGACCGACACCTCTAATTGTACCGCATGGCGAACACGAATAGGGAGTGTTATTGGCTTCGACTTCTGGGATTATATACAAAGTCTCTGAAGAGAAATTCTGATGAATAGAAGACTTTATTATGGGAGGGGGAGAAAATGATTGTGAGAAGAGAAGAACCCAGGAAAATTATATAGAAGGTATGATAAACGTCAGAGAAACTTTACACCGATAGAGAATTGGCAGTTCTCGGCGAAACACAAAAAATGATAAAAACAGACAGCCACACACTTATATCAGTTCGTGTTAGCAACACTCAATCACGAGACGACAATTTTGGCTCTGTGGTAGACAAGAAGTGAATCAAGTAGAACCGGCTCGTCGACCAGGTCATCCAGTTCGACGTCCACAAGAACATCCGGCCATTTCGGGAATAGTGGCTCGCGGAGAGAGACGCTTTTGACGTATTCGCAGAAGAAGACGTCAATCCAGATTTCTTTGGCGTCATTTTGAACGTAATAAAACGGGAAGAAATCGGTTTCGCCCGGAAGACGAAGCTGCACTGAGCCTGAATGAGAAATTTTCGGATGTTTCTTTGGGTTTGTCTTATGCGTACCATTTCTGTAAATAAGTCCAAATCGCATTGATCTTTTGTAGTCGTCATCCCTGAGACGACTAATCCAGGATGTTGTCGGGTCCACGGAAAACGGATTTTGAGAGGTAATATTCCTAGCTTTCTTGTCCAGAAGTTCTGCAGGAGTCACAGAGACGATGCACTGACCATCAGCCAGAGGAAGCTCGTGGAATGTAACCTGATATTTCAGTTTTGCCTCAAAAAATTTGCATTCCCAAATGTATACCTTAATTTCGACATTGTCCCCGACGAACATAGGCCGGGAGAAACGAAGATGACAGAAGGTAGTGCTCTGATTTTCCCGCTGGAAGTCTGTCCCTATTTTCCCGAACACGTCAGAGTGTTTCGGAGCCAGACATTGGAATAAGATCTTGCCTGCAAAAAGTTGAGAAACTTTTAAATTCATGTGGAGAATACGGACCACGTGACTGCTCCATTTATGCTAAATCGATTGATAATCGAAAGGAAGGAATCACAAGAAGGAAACGGTGATAAACTGGAAGGAATACGGGGAGAGCGGGAGCGCAGGGAACGGAAAATTATAGCCGTTTATGATGGTTGTCGTCGCTCGCAATGTTTCCTTGCGGTCTCTTGGAAATTTGCATATTCCCGTACAAAGAGAGTGGTATCTTTTAAAGCGCCATCCTTTTTCAGAAGTGTACATAAAGTCAGCGTGTTGCCCTGGAGACCGGCATCTCCAGAAGATATCTTTTTTGGGAGAGCAGACATTGGGGTAAAGCGCATAAAATATATTTTATTGGAAACTGGATTAATTCAGCCGGAACGAGTTGATTATGAAAGGTTACAAAGAAAAAATCAAGTAGACCATAGATAAAAGCTACAAAAGTTGAAGACACATGTAATTCAAGGGGAGACAAGGTGAAGGACCAGTTTGGCGTTTTCGAATCAGTATGCGTTTTTATCATTGCGCTCCTCACCACTCATTTTGTGGTTCTGTGACTCAACATGGGGCATTTATGGACAGAAAATTACTAACTCATCACAGTGATGATAAAAAAAAAAGTTTGTGAATTTTGCATGCAAATGTAGAAGGAAGTGGTATTTTCTAGGGGAAAAAGACAAGAATCTTGCTAATCATTGAATTTATGAAAAGTTCTTCACGATTTGTATGTTTTGATGACATCCTGAACGGGAGCGCGGCAGATCGGGCACGTTCCCTTGGTGTTCAGAAGGCGGTTCCCACAGTCGTAGCACATGCACATGTGTCCGCACGTGTACAGTACGGAGTTGACAGGGGCGTCCATACAGATCTGAAATTTACATTTTATTCTCGAACTGACCCAAAAACGGGCAGCAGCTTTTTTTTTTCTTTGGCGTTTTCGAATCAGGTTCGCTCGACTATATCAAACTTTGAACAAGTTATTTGCAGAATTTTCTCTCTTCCAAAGTTTCCTCAAATTTTTTTAGAAAAACGACTTACAGTGCACTCGTCTTCCTCAGCAGATCCTTCGTCGTTGTCCTTCTGCTTCTTGAACGTCTTCGGCAGTGGTGGAGGGCTGAATGCCGGCGGAGGCGTTGATTTGTTCGGTCTAGCGGGCAAACGGACAGACGGAGCGGCGGAGGAAGAGGTCGACGGGAGATTTGTCTGGAATCGATTCATTAACACACAGTTATCAGCGGCCAATTTCTTTACCCGTGGAGCCACTGGTGGAGGGGTCACTGGAACGAAAGCGCCAATGAGTTCATCGATGGCCTGTCTGGCTGGAATTGACGAGGTGCTGGAAGAGCCTTCGGTAGAGTCACGGACTGAAAATAAATATTGTTAGTCACTCGCCTCACTTTCTAATAACTTACTATTCACTCTCAACGGACTTTGTGGAATCGGCGGTGGGTTTCTGGCCGGCAATGCCGGGGCGAGAGTCGTATCCGATCCGGAAGCAATACGAGCCGGACGTCTTGGAATCGATAGTGGCTGATCATTTCTAGTGCGTTCTCTGTCTCTGGCCGCTGGAGAATGAGATCTGGAGACGGCGACACATCCGAGCATTTTGATGGCGAGCGTGGATCCGTAGACATCAAAGTACATATAGAGCTCTAACGAGTTGTCGACGTGAAGACACGTGCGCGCGCCCTTGTCGTCGACTTCAAACTTGACTTCTCCGGAATCCGTGATCCAGAACGACAAAAGGCTGTTGGCTTTTGGCTGCAGAGCAATGTCCTTGATGCCCACCCAATACTGCGGCATTTCGACCAAATCGGACGAGTCATCCGGAAGTTCGGCGGTCCGAATCGTGAGCGGATCGCAGCATGTCACTCCAAATGCCAGTCCTCCTTCGTAGAGCCGTTGCACCTGATTTACCTGCAAATTTTTTTCAATCAACAGATAAGTCGGCAGTCAGCTGCTCACCATAATCATCACTTTCTCATTGTTTTTGATCGGTCTCTCTGTGAAAACGTAGCCTTGCGAGTATTCCGCCTGATCACGTGTGGCAATGTTACGGAACGGGTTCAACGTGATATGACGACCTTTGACAGCATGAAAGCGGAGTGGGCAGATGCCTGAAATAAGTTTCTGAATGAGATCAAACCATCTGAATGACGTCATGGAAAAGACTGTACCCATTTCATCGGTCATCATGAAACAATCTCCGCTCAGAATCTTGCAGTCTTTTCGCCAAAGAGACTGAATGATTCACAACGAAATGAATCACTCCCTCGAAAACGTCTTATCCTAATTTCCACCTCAACCACAAAATGGGTATTGACCTACCTGAGTCATCGGTTCTAGACGCCAGTGCGCTTTCTGAGGACGTCGGCGGCGGCGGCGTGACGACTGTGACAGGACGTGGCGGAGCTGGAAGCGTCGGAGGCGGCGGGGCACTTCTTCTCGGTCGGAAGTCGGCAGCATCTAAAGAATTGTGACGTCATTTACGGAAAAAGTTTGATGATAACACTCACAGAGTCTCAATTTCTGTTCTAGTGCACTCATTGTCTATTGAATGTTCAGTGATAAGCACACGCACTATGTTGTACAGATCAAGTCAATTTGGCAGCAGCAAAAAAAAGATGAATCAATGTGAATGCACTGTCTGCCGAGTACACGTACTCAGCCGATTGTTTACGAACACAGAGAGACCGAACCGTATGGGAAACAAAAAGACAAAAGTTTTGTTTGTACAAGTAGATGCCTCAACTTGATAATTCAGTTTTGGGAGGCTACAACTGTACGACGCAGAAATAGATGGATTTTTAGAACAAATCGTAAAGGAAGTGAAAGTGGTATGCGAAAGAGGGATTTAGAGAGGAAAGAGGGCCGAATGTTTGGCTTCGAAATGAATCATGCGTACAAACAGGCGGCCATCCGCAGAAACCGGTCCCCACTATCGGCCTTCGCATGGACAACCGTGCTCATTGGCAGTGGTCAACATGCTCAATCTTTTGAGAAAATGATGTCATTGCTTTGTTTTAAAGATGTTTTCTTTTGCAAACTGAAAACTCACCCATAATTTCCACAGCGACGGAATTTCCATATATGTCGAGTATAAGCCACATCGGTCGGTGCACATTGATTCCAGTCAGAAACATACCCTGCAAAAAACGTTCATTTTTGCCTATAAGTTAGTTAAGTTACAAACCTTCTGAGATCCATTGATACCATAGAACAGTTCTCCGGCTCCGTTGACATAAAAGTGCAGAATGTTGCCTTCGTTCGAGTATCTTTCTGGCAGCGCCTTCGCCCAATATCCGTCTTTTGTGGTGAGATCCGGGCAGGCAAAAGTTGGTACTGGAACATCGCGATATGTGTCTGGATCGTCGTTGGTCACTCCGAATCTGAGCACTCCTGACCAATTCGTCGCCACTTCGCACAAACGGAGACAAATGTTCTCATCGATATCGATCGGTCTGAAAAAAACATGTTTTTTTTTAGAACTTCTACAATTTAATGGAAGTGTTACCTGTTTGAAAAGGCAAGTCCTTTGCAGAAGCTCTCACGACGCTTCGCCAATTTGCCATCTGAACATTTTCCATTGCTTTTTTTCCAAATTTCTAGAAACTCACTTTTCATGATGACCACATTGGCTCCGTGAATGTAATGGAATTGCAGCGATGGTCTGGATCCGGACGAAGCTTGATTGATCATGTCTCTTGTTTCGTCGTCGATTTGTACATTTCCAAAGGTGCTAACCATATCTGCAAAAGAAATGAATGTTTTATGCAAGATGACGGCTGATTAGGTGCGGAATTTGACCAAAAAATCTGTATTATATTACTCCGGATATTGAAATACTTAATTTCTGCAGTTTTTGCTCAAAAGAAAACTATTCCCGTGTGAAAAAGATTTAAAATTTTGCCGGTGGCCTAGAAAACGCAATGCCGTGAGACTTCGGCCATCGGAGGTGTGTCATGCGAGTTCCCCTCGGAACGATGGTGGCAAAGGTGGGTTGAAAAGGTTGGTTTCCACATGTGAAAATCTATCCGTCTTTCTCCACTTTCTCCATTTCACTCCAACAACCTTGCTGCTGCTGCTGTTGCCGCATCCCTCTCTTTTTCCTACTCAAGGAGATTTTCGAACGTTTTGCTCCCCCGTCATTACACTGTGAATTTGGGTCGGCTCGGAAGTGAAGTGACGTGCCGTTTCCAACAGGGTTTTGGGTAAAACTAAAGACAGGTGTTTTGTGTTTTGTTAAGGCAGAGACATGTGAGTAGTAAGTGCACGGGAAGAACTAATCACGAATCACCCGCGAGGAGACAGCTGATTTGTGAAAAAGGATTGAAAAACACACGAGCACGATGAACTTTGGGAGCAGAGCGAAGATTCTTTGATGATGATATGTCACGAGCAAAGTGAATGGGTGCACACAATTTTTATGTGAGAGGTACCTCTGACTTGTCGATGATATCTGGTGAATCTGTCGCAGAGCTCATCGATGGAATTGCAATTCGAGTAGGATCCGACGAAAGGGGATAAACGTGAAGAGCTGGGTCTTGAATACGAAGATGGCGGGGTGTACCGGGACAGACTACGATCCGGGGAGACCCGGTCTTCCGAGTAAGCCCTTTGGAACTCGGCCAGTTGCACCATTGACGCTGGCGAAATGAGCGAAGGGAATGGGTGTTGAAATAATAATAACAATAATAACAGCGGCTAGCCTTGTGCTGGTTGCCAGATGTCTTCTAATGTTTTTCAAGTCGAAATGAACAATGAGCCGCAGGATAAAGAGAGAGAGAGAGACGGACGGAAGGGAAGTCGAGTCGTTTGGTCTCGTGAATGGTCACCTCAAAAGTCACAGGACTTTGGTGCTGACTGGGGACAGGAGGATAAGGGGCTGGGCTCGTCGCCAGTCGCAAACGAGAAAAATAAAGGCTGGGGAGGCAAAGCTCATCGTCCGTCAGTCACGTCATTGACTCTCTTACCAATCGAGAGAGAGAGAGAGAGAGAAAGCCGGCTCTTCCTCCCTCACTCAAGGTGGTTGTTTAGAGAGCTTCAGAAGAGGATTGGATCCGTAAATAGGAAGGACCTGGATCACAACAAATTTCTGGTTTAAAGAGAGGGAATTGGAGAGACTCTATTGACATTATCCCTCAATTGTTTTGTTTTGACCAATCAACAAATGATCTGTTCATCTTTCTTTTCACCTGACAATGAGTGTTTTGTTTACAAAATACATTCACAAAATAGGATGGAACCGGCGGAGATTGTTATTAGCTTGAGAAATTTTGAAAAGTTGGAAAAGAGGGGATCACCTTTATAACTTCTAGAATGCTCGTTTCCCATGACCGCTCCACCACGAAGACACCCCTGAATAAGTAAAAATATTAGTGAAACATAAGCTATAAAAGTACGGAAAGATGACTAATACAAACGTAAACCACAGAAAAGTCGGTACTAAGGAACGGGCCACGGCACATGTGTTCTTTACTCGATTCTCGACAATCAAAAGTGAATAAAATGCGGCGAAACGATTCAAATCGAGTCGATCGACACCTTCCGTGCGGTTTATGGCATCTGTGGAGGAGAGTAATGAAAGAGAGGGAGAGAGAGAGAGAGAAGAGGACAAAGACCCTTGTTTCAATAGGCATCTGTTGCGCTGTGTCGATGACTAGGTAGAAATATGAAAACAGTTGACGAGTGAGCAAGACGAACACGGAATTCTTCTGTTGTTTGCGTTCCGAGCCTGACTCACAACTCTTTTTGGAGATATTTGCGTAACTTTTTGCATCAAAATAGTACACACTTTTTGTGTACTTTACCGAAATTTTTCTTATCAGTCTGACAATCTACTTTCACTTATAGGGAGGTTGAGTAGAGAAAGTAACAAAAACTAGAGGCGTCATGCCACAGGCGAAAGGTTGAAAAACAAAAGCAAGAAAGGTGAGAATAATGACAATAACAGACGTTTCTGCGAGTAGAACAGCTCACAGGAGGCTGGTCGGTAGAGCGCGCTTGCAACATTTCCCGGCGGTCAGTCATTAGCTTTCACAGCGAGTGCGCAGTGGGCACACAAGGGCTTAGCCCAGTACTAATGAATTGATGAAAAGGGAGAAAATTTAATGAGAATAGATGGAAGTGAAACAAAGAGTGGTTCTTTTCAGTCAGTGGAAAAAATAACAGGAAAGGCGGAGAACGTGACAGAGAGGAGTGAACAACGGTAAAAGATCATTGAGTGAGGGAAGAAGGGAGGCAAGGTGGAAGGCCATCCGTCCGACGCGCGAATATCGATCGATTCAAGTGGCAAGGCGGACAATTCTAGTAACCGCTGTTTCAAACACGTCTTCTCACTTTTGTGAAACAAAAAAAATACGCGTCGGCTATTACACTGGGCAGAAGAATTAATGAATGAAACAAGGGTCGATGAGACGGAGGCGGAGGAGGGAACGTCAGAATAAGCGATGTGTGTTATGTGGTCGACAATTGGCATCCGTCTTGGCTGCTTAGTTTTTCGCATTCTCCTTCTCCTTCTCGCGCTTAGGCTTAGAAAACAAAACACACATGCTTATTATTATTTTGATATCTGCTACAAATAGTGACTAGTTGCCACTAGGAAAGTGATAACATCATATTGAGAAATGATAAGGAAGGAGAGAATGTCTGTGTTTGGCAGAGGGGCGACCGAAACAAAAAAGCTTTAAAATTTCAAATTCGTGCGTGCAGTCGTCCGACAAAACGAGGACTTGTCACATTTTCGAGAAGCCGCCGCGATTGCCCATGAAGGAAGCATACACTCAGAGAGGTGCCGAGTTTCAAAGTAAAGTTTCCGCATGTTTATTTGACATCTTTTCATAGTGAGAGATAGAAGAGCTAGGGAAGAACACACAACGCTTCGGAGACACTGCATGTTTGAGCTCCCGGACAATCGGCGTCAGCGGTGCACGGCGAGCCTTTTGTGTAAATTAGTTGGTTGAGGTAGTTGCCGCTGGAAAAAAATAACATGCGTGGGCGTTAAGAAAACTGACACTAACGCGGGTCCGTATTGGCAAACAGTGTAGCTGAATGTTGGGCAATGAGACACGTAGCATCCAAGTTCAGTCGATCCTTCCCAGGCCATCTGTTAATTTACTTTTTTACAATGATTTCTGCGCGTAAACTTTGAGAAAAAAACCTGCGTATAATGTCCTACACCCCTTGCAAACACATCACTGGTAAGAATATTGTCGGATCCCACTCCATAGTCCTTCAACTCTGACCACCAAGCATTGGAAGCCTGAAACACGTCGGCGGTGGAATATTACTGTAGTTTGCTAACATCTTCTCCGGACTGAATCTTATTGTAATTCAAAATGGAAATCTTATAGAGGTTCTCTCCAAGTCCCGGCCTCAGCGTACTATCCGAGTGAGCATAGACACATCCGGAACCCCAGCTTTTGGCAGACAACTCCACATCGCAGTTGTAGCGCTGCAATTGGATAAAAACGTTAACATGTGTTTTCATGTTTTCAATTTCTCTCCAGGGACCGACCATTTTTGTCATTTGTTTGGCGGTTGGTGCAAACGCTCCTGCAGAGATTCCATCAGGCTCAAGTCCCTTGGCGACTCTCGACCGCAGCTTGTTATGAGTGTCCAAGAACGACATTCTGGCCTGGTCGGACATGTCCGTCACTCCTGGACACATCGTGAACGTCTCAACTACTGGCGCTGGTGCTGGCTGGTAACAGAGTCCGGATTTGCATTCAGAGTTTGTGTATGTGGTGCAATCCGAGTCACTTGCGCAGGCAGTTCCTTTTTCGTAGATAATGGAGTTGGTGATGTAACCGCTGAATCATTTAAACATCTGGAAAGGAATCGGAATAACAAACAAACGAACATTTTGTTATAGAAACAGGTGACTGAGAACGTGGTTCCACATTGCGCGTATGCGCAAGCAAACGCCGTCGCTTTTCCGTTTGCCATCTGGAAAACGACGCTTTTTACTTTTCATCGGGCAGTTTCCGAGAGAACCAACATTTGCCCAACTGAAAAGCGCGCTGTTTGTGTATTTGTTGTCAGGGTCCGTGAGTCCCGCAGTTCGGATAGGCTCCCACCAGGAGTTTACAGCAGTGGCCGCTGTTGCGACTGGATCTGGGAACGAAGACGCACTGAAGGTCATCATGTTCTGTCCCCAAGTGGAATCATAAGTCTGCCAAGAGCTGGGACACGCATTTGCCCACTCCTGAGCTTTTGCTTCCATTTCACAGTCCCATCTCTGAAACGCTCAAATACAATTTCTAAAAGTGTCACCAATCAACCAGCTCATAAATATTCTTTCCGGCTGGTAGAAGTCCACACTTGTTGGGCTCCAATCCTTGAGCAACGCTCCGTCTCGCGTCGTTGTGAGCATCAAAGAACATCTTTCGTGCCTGGTCACTGATCCCTGTGTTCGAGCATGCGAATGCTGTAAAGATTTGCTCAATGAATTTCCGGTGTCGAGTGACTCACTTTGTGCATCGGTGCTTTTCAGAATGGAGAGAACGAATACTGCCGCCAGGAACGCCATCTCTGAACAACTGAAAAGTAATCCTGGCCAAAATGATTGATATATAAAGGGCATTTATCCGGCGGCAGGTCACATAATATTCCGACCAAACACTATTCAAGATCAACCGTAAACTTCACCTTTTTTCGGCACGCCTCCACCGACAAATCGTGTGCAATTAAGTTCAAATGATCGGTTTCCGTACGTGCATTCCATCAGTTAATCTCGATTTAAAACGGATTTCCGACACATTTCTGCACGTGACAGTCTCCGGTGCATTGGAAATTCTATAAACAAACTATGTTCAGAAGTAGAAGTAGCCATTTACGCCCGATTTTTAGTTTTTCGATCCCTATTTCAACCAAGCCGGATTATTACCCGAGAATGACCCTCGATTTAAACTTCACAACTCATCACTTGCGGCTCATTCCGACCCGCTGAATATTGAAGTAGTCTAAAGAGAAATATGAAATCCGTCGTGATATTTTTGACGTTCGTTTGTACCACTGCTCTGGCTGGAACTTGGACGAGCTGGGGAGCATGGGCTGATGTGTGCACGGTACGTCTCTAGTACCAGCAAAATAGATATAGAATACTTTCAGAATTGCCCAGGATCCACTTATCGTGGACGCACCCGCGTTTGTGTCATCGGGGCGGATATGAGTGGATGCAGTGGATCGCGTACTGAAAAAACAGTATGCAACTGTCCATTGGACTCAGTATGGGGAGAATGGGAGGACTGGACTGTTTGCGATAAGGACTGCGGTTACTGTGGCACACAGACTCGCACCAGAGAATGTGAGGTCATTGATGGATGCCCTGCAGCCAATTGCACGTGAGTTGAAGCCAACGTTTCAGTCTGCTTTGGGAAATTTGCCTTTTTCAATTTATTTTAACAGAGGTGACAACAGTGAATCGAGAGCATGCAGTACTACCGACGGAGTCTGTCTCGCTCCAAGCGTTTCGTGCTGCGCAGGATACAAGAAGAAGGTCGACATTCCATCCAAACGTTTCTATTGTGGTCTCTAAAAAATTGTATACTGATGAAAATGAGAGAACTATGGGGGACAATCATGATTCAGAAAAGTGCGTGAAAGTGGTTTATTGGACGTGTTTGATGTTCTCTGAAAAAACCGCAAGATGTGCAGGCTGAAACTTTTGGGACATTTGAAAACTTTATTAAATTCTGGATTGAAAACGTTGTTATCTCTAAAAACTTTGGAAGTGAACACTTTCAGAGCTTCCCAAGCCTGCCCCCGAGCCGAGAAAAACAAAATAAGAGTTGGCGGCTCACAAAAAAAATAGGAAGGATAAGTGGGCGAAACAATGGCAAGACCGTAGAAATAGAGATGTACGAGCTACGGAGCAAAAGCTTTTGAAGTTTTTGAGTAAGAATGGAAGCACCAACTTATATTTGATGCGGCAGAGAATGAATATTTGGCGAGCACCTGAAACAAATTTTTGATGGTATTGTTTGAACTTGAATGTGAAAGCTTACTACAAAAACTGAAAAGATTTTATACAACTAAAAACAACCAATTCCATTTTACCAGAGAAACAGCAAAGGTAGCGGTGATTTGTTTTTCGTAAAACTAAACTGAACTGTCACTTTATTCGCACACAGGAGAATGTGATGAGAACAAACTCCAATGTTTAAATAAACAAAGGATTTTGATGTCATGAATAATCTGAAATCGGAAGCGTTAGGATTCTGTTAATACGCAGATTAATCTTTGCAATAGGTCGGATACATAAAGTGAAAATGAAGTGTGATGATCCATTGTTTGCAATTTAGCCGGCCCATCAACTATGAAGTTTTTCATTGCTTTTTCTGTGATTTGTGTGATAATCATTCAATGCACGGCTGCCAGCATGGTTTCGAATGAGTAAAGATACATTTTTCTGACGTCTTGGTAACAGTTTTGTTTGAGAATCCTTGCTCAACGTATGAAAAGAGCCGATTGTGTCTCAACCTATGGAGATTGGACGGAATGGACCACTTGTGACTCCAACTGTGGATATTGTGGAACTCAGGCACGGACCAGAGTTTGTGCGGCTATTTCCGGATGCCCCGATGTCATTTGCACGTGAGTTATCCCAGAAAAAATGTAAGGAAGAATCAATTTCAGTGGTGATACATCCGAATCTCAAGCGTGCAGTACTTCCGACGTCATCTGCTTGGCGCCAAGTGCATCCTGCTGCCCATCCACTTACAAGAAAACAGTCGATATTCCGAACCGTCGTTTTTATTGTGCACTTGTATAAAAGTTCTGGATCGAAAACTATTAAAGCTAAACACTAAACCCTATTGTGGAGCATCAGAGTGATCTTTTATGGTTCAACTAGAAAACGAGAATAAAGCAAAAAGTGTCCTCAAAACCGGACATAAACTTCTTGAAAAACCACCTTTTATGGGATTTTCATAGAATAAAATGTTGAAATAGTGCTGGAAAGGACGTTTGTTGGCACTCTGAAAGACCAGGTTCAAAATACAAAAAGTTGTTTGAAGTTCCATTTTGACCCGCGTCCCAGTTTATTTAAAAGCGCTCGATGACTTTTCAAAATTCAGTTTCGATATCAAACTTTTTCGAATTTCGAAACTCAGTCAGTTTTAATTGTTTCTACTTACAGATCATGAAAGTCCTGATCATTTTTTCTGCTGTAGTAACCGTCTACTTCCACAGTGATGCGTCTCCAACTTCCCTGGTAGAGTAAGTTCAGAGACACATTCAGTAGAAAGATTATACGGTTTAGCCTCCTGAATCCTCGAGTGAAACGGGCGGACTGTAGCTCAACCTACGGAGCATGGTCGGAATGGACAGATTGTAGTATGAATTGCGGTTATTGCGGAAAACAAAACCGGTCAAGAGACTGCAATGCAGTGGATGGATGCGATGATCCAATCTGCACGTGAGTTCGATTTGCTTTGTTGGTAAATCAGTGAAACGTTGAATTCCAGTGGAGACGCGATTGAAATCCAAAGCTGTGGAACCAACAACTCGATCTGCTACTATCCGACAGTTTCGTGCTGCGATAGCAATTACAAAAAGACTCTGGACCTGCCTGGAAAACGTTTTTACTGCGGTCTCAAGAATCTCACAGATTCTACAGATTCTACAACCACTGATTCTACTTCTACCGCCTCAACAACTTCCACAACAACCGAAACTTGATGTTCATAAAGCATTTTATTGAAAATCAATCAAACAATACATACAAAAAACAGTTAAGAGCACTAATCAAACCCGTGTTATCCAAATGAAGTGTGTGTGATGTGATTCAGAGAATAATTTAAGTAGATTTGACAAAAGTCATAGTCTAGAGAGAGTGGAGGTGGTTGGGAAGTTGAGCAATTCGTTCAGATGAGTCTTTCTTGTGGAGGCAGTTTTATGACAGTTGGCATCTGGAAGAACAGAAAGTTGAGCAGAAAAGTTTTAAAAAAAGTAAAGATGTTACCGTCATTCGATTCTGGCTGAATTCATGAGAACTCGGGCTGTAGTGCCCGTGCATGGCGTTGTTTCCACGAATAACAAAGAAAAGGAGCAAACATCCGAGGATGGCAAACACGACGACGATGGCGACGATTGGTCCGAATAAATAGCCAATGTTCGACATTGCCGATTCTTTGATCTGAAAATGAAACCATACGTGTTTTCTTCAGCGTTACAGTGAAACAATAGCAAGTAATAAACAAAAGAGACCGTAGGAGCAGGCGGGAAGAAGAGAAAGAGAAAAAAAGAACTTGGTAAGAATACATGGCAATCAATTGTGACAGCTCCTTCTCTCTTCTTCTTTTCCCATCTCCCCCATCATATGTATAAACAAATAAAAGAAGAAGTAAGCGTTTGTATCCGTCTTCTCCTTTTTCTTCTTTTATGAGCGTATGATGAGAAGAGAAAAATATGTGGGAGTATTGGGAGTGAAATGAAAATTAAATAATATGAAATGAAATGAAATGAAATGAAGTGAAATGAATTCCCTCACTCTTTGAGAACATGTCGGTCCAGTATAGCCTCGATCGCATGCGCATTCATATTTTGCCACCTCTCGGTTCTTGTCAATCTGTAAACAGGAAGAAATAAAAATAACTTAATTAAAAAGCGAAAACTCACATGAACCACAGGATTCACGCATTTCCCGTGTACACAAGTTACACTGGAAATGTTATTGGACGTGATCTGCGCTGTGCACGGATTCTTCAAGGAACAACGGGGGCCAATAAATCCTGGAAAAAATTTTGGTTTTGACATCATTCCAAGTATAAGTAGAAGTTCATACCGTTTTTGCAGGCGCATTTGTAGCCTCCAAGTGTGTTGGAGCATTCTCCATTGATGCAGTTGTTTGGATTCTCGCATTCATTAACATCTACTGTGCAATTCCTTCCTTCATATCCAGTCCCATCACAGATGCACTCATAATCGTTGACTTTGTCCCGACATTTTGCTCCATTGCTGCAGTATCCACGGGCACATTCGTCAATGTTTATCTCACAGTCCGCTCCTTCAAATCCAAGGGCACATGTGCACTTGTAGCCGGTCAGCTTGCTTTCACAGGAAGCTCCGTTCATACAAGGTCCCCGTTTACAGTAGTCGATGCGTTTATCACACGCATCGCCCTCGTATCCGATATTGCAGCTGCACGTGTGCCGTTCCGCCGACAGTTGAATGCATTCTCCGTTGACACAGTTTGCTTTCAAACAACTTCCTTCGATTTCACACCGAGTGCCCATATAAAACTTTTGGCATTCGCATTTGAACGAGTTGTCTTCGGAAGTGGCACAGACACCGTCATTGTTGCACGGGAAGTCCAGACACGTGTTGGATTGATATTGGCAATGAGATCCGCGCCAGTTCTTCTCACAAGAACATACTGTGTTGTTCCAGACCGCGGAGCACGATCCTCTCGAACTACACGTGTTGCTAGAACACTGATTCAACAGTTTTTCGCAGAATCGTCCCGTATAACCAAGTTCGCATTGACAGGCTGGCCCGCTGACGGTCATTACGCAGTGTCCGCGGTTGCAATCATAGTGGTTACACTCATTCACATCACGCTGCTCACACAGTTCGCCAGAGTAACCATCCATACAGTTACACTCGAAAGAAGTCTGAAAATCTTTGGAATATTTAAAATTCTCCCAAACTATCTACTCACGTCTGTTTTCTGCATACATTGTCCAAAGTTCTGGCATGGAGAGTCCTTGCAACTCGTCGTCCATGTCACATTACAGTAATCTCCCATCCATGGTCTATCACATTTGCATGAGATTTTCCCGTTTTCTGCAGATTTCACGCACTCTCCTCCATTATGACACTGAACGCCTTCGCATTCATCGTCAGCGTGTTCGCATCGGTCGCCATGGAATCCATCGTTGCAAACACATTTCGCCTCATTGATTCCATCCAGACAGTATCCAGATTTTCCACAATCCATGTACTTGCAGTCATTGATATTTTCCTCACAGTTATCCCCAGTGAAACCGGGCAAGCATGTGCACTTCCGTTTGTTCCAAATATCAGCACACGATGCTCCATTCAGGCAGGTCGAGTAAAGGCCGCACTGGTCGGAAGAGATGCAGCCAGTTCCAACTGACTGTTTTTCAGTCATTGACCACGTTTCTGAGTCAGATGGGATCTTGGATTTAGTGAATGAGAGAGTTGGATAGTCTCCGAGTTGAAAGTCATCTAAGCATGCAAAGATTGCATCGCCATTCTGTTCTCCAATGACCAAAGTTGCGTCGACAGTGCTTTCAGATGGGAAGAGTTCCGTTGTCGAAACTGAAATAGATTACTATTACTACTTTTGATTGAAAATGTGAACGTACTGTAGTTTTTCCCGTCGATAATTACTTTGAACGGGTGCAAATTGATTCTGTGCCACTTCCCGTCGGAAATCACTTGCTCAAACTTTTGATTCGCTTTGTTAATGAGGACGAGACGACGCTTAAAAAGGAATACAGACAGACTTGATTTTCCGACGGTCTGAAAACAAACAATAATGATAAAAATTGAAGATTGACGAACCAAAGAGAAAATATGGCCATTCTGAGAATGAGTTCTCATAGAGAAAGTAACAGTTGGAAGCTTCAAAGAAGTTTTCGGATAAATTTTGTGAATTAGTTTACTGCCGTTTGAAACGGTAACTGGGAATATGCAGTAGTGCCCATTGTCCGCATTTTCACATCTTGAGCCACTTGAGCACTTCGCGTCTTTGCAGTAATCGATTTTATCGCATAACTTTCCAGTGGAACCGTCAGAGCATTGGCAAGTAAATGCATTGAATGTTTCCGTGCACTCTCCGTGTTTGCAGGGATTATTATTGCAAACTGGGTCCGACACAGCGCCCTGAAACCACCATGCTCAAAAAATATTTGCAATGACCGTTAACGTACCTCTATAACATTTTGAGTCTTCTCCATTTTCCCAATTTTATCAATTGTGAGTGAAGTTGGATGAATAATCACCGATTTCTGATTAATCTGAATGTCCTGCAGGTATCCCTTGTAGAACTCGGAGTCAGATCCAACAACATTCGAGGCACCGATCACAATGTCATCCACGTAGAATTCTTGTGACATGCGCGAGATAATTGGTTCCGCACACTCCGTCAAACCATCGATAATGATCTGAACGTTGAATTTTGAGGGACACATTTGTTTCACGCTACACACCTGTCGTTTGTTTCTGTCAATGAAAACGTTGACATGATGCTCTTCGTTGTCGTCCACCCGATTCTTGCTGGTGAACTCAATCTCGCGTCGTCCGCCAGTACGGTATCTCACTGAATTATTCATTATTCATTAAAGATGATCCTTTTGATGGACTCTTACCTGAAATGAGACCGCCGGCAATTTTCACTACGAGATAATTGGTCAGAACATCTGCGGCTTGCTTTTCGCCCATGTAAAATAACACGGCATCCGGCTTTCGGGAACGCATTAGAAAACTCAGGTCGATCTCGTTGCGTAGCAGGTGGTTTTCCGGTTCGCTTGTGCTGCATAATTATGCGGTTTTGCTTTCTTTTCCTTTTTAAGGGTGACTAACCTCAAATGCACAATTGACGGTTGATCCAAATGACCGAAAGTGGTTTTGGGCAGGTAGTAGGCACAGTTTGGCTTGAGATATGGAGGCTTGCACTTGCAACTGGAACTCTCCCAGTGGTCAACACACAAACCTTAAACTATTATATGAAACTTAGAGGTTAAAAATTGTAGCCCACCATCATTTTGGCAATATGCTCTCGAACACTGTTCACTTCTGGTGCAGCCTTTTCGAATATCAATTGCTCGCTTGCTATCTGTGAAGATGATTAGTTCTCCATCCACGCGGACGTCGGCCATGCAACCAACAAAGAAATTAGAGCCGGAAACCTGAAAAAAGCACAATCAACAATGTTTCCAAATCAGTATAGTTTTACCTTTCCGAATCTGGTCAAAAACACGTCAAGCTGACCGGAAACCTTCTTGCTCACAAGTTTGAAGCCATTCTCGGTCAAAACGTCAATTTGAACTTCCTGAAAATGGCCTTAGCTAACAAAATTTGACAACTAAACAAACGTCTCGCTCTCCTTTGACTAGAATCGTGTACCAGTGCGCGTCGTTCACTTTCATCGGAAGAAGCTGGGTCATGTAATGCCCAGTAGCATTGAACACGAGATATCCAGACACCATTTGAATGGAGAGAATCTTCTCGCCCAAAATGTTTTCACTGCTTGCCAAATGTGTGTTTTCGACGGTGGTTCGGAAGGAAAATTCGAGTTCATACGTTATTTTGTCAAAGGAGGATGTGCTGAAACAAAACTTTTACGTTGCCAGAATGTTTCGTAATAAAATTACCCTAGGGAGAATTTTGAACTTTGATGAATGTACAAGCTTGACGCGGAGAATGTTGCTGACGTGACCATTTCACACTTCTGACCAAAGTGACCAATTTCACATCCACATTGAGCAGTGATATTGTTGTTTTCGTTAATTTGACTGCAAGTCTGTCCAGTTGGACAGTCGACTTTTGCGCATTTCTGAAAAATTTAAAAATAAGGCGATTGTCTCAGTGTTTCAAAAACTTACATCGTGCTTCTGATCACATTTTTGTCCAAAGTAACCGTCTTGGCAGATGCAAATTGGTCCGGACTCTGCGTCGAGGCAGTTTGAAGAGCTCACACAGTCTTCACACGTGATGTCCTGCAAATTCGATCAGTTCTTTAAAGACATTTTCCAAAACATTTACACTTTGTGTCAGCTGCTGAATTCGGGTGGTAGCGAGATCGGGGAAGGATCCCAAAGTTGGTGATGGAGTTGATAGCACCTCAACAGTTTCACAATGAACTCCAACAAATCCAACTGTGCAATGACAGAAGTATTGGCCATCTGCGTCTTGACAGGTACCTCCGTTATGACACGGATTTATTGTGCAACCGGATTTGGGCTCACAGAACGGTGGTTCGAATCCGTCACGACATTGACAGAATGGATCACCTTCCGCATCGAGTTTGCAAGATCCTGGATAATGAGCGGGATGAAAATCAGTATCAGACTTCTGACTAGTACCTCCGTTTTGGCAGCGTATGTCCGTGCAAGTTGGATGTGAACGGTATGAAGTGCTGGTTTCACAAGTGGCTCCACTGAACCCTTCCGGACAATCACAACTAGTCGTTGTCAACGAGAAGATGCATTTTCCGCCGTTTTTGCAATCAGTTCCATTCACCAGACATTCCACAGGTTCTCCACAGTACACTCCAGTCCAGTGAGGCAAACAGAAGCAGGTGAACAGATTCTGTCCGTCGTCAACGCAGTGACCTCCATTAAGACAAGGCTCGAGATCGCATGGACGAGCTTTCAACTCTTTACAGTCATGACCCTACAATTAAGAAAGGATTTGAGGATGGCCCCCGGCGGATTATCAGGTTAGAACGTACCATAAAGCCCGAAGGACATTCGCATTGCGTGGTGCCGTTTATGACTGAGCAAACATGAGCCGGGTTCTCGCATGTGCACGTATTTGCGTCGTTAACCTATACTTAATGATTGAGAATTGCCGTATTTCGTGGAAATTTGACGTACCTTTGTAGGAATCTCACACTGCTCTCCCTCGAAACCAATCGGACAGAAACACGAAAAAATGAATCCATCAGTTGTACAAGTTCCACCATTTCGACAGTGATCTGATGTACACTGCTTAGGTTTCACCGTGGTTTCTTGAGCTTCACAATACTTTCCTAAAAAAATGACGGTAAAATAAGAACGGAGAAGAAACTTCGCACCAAAAAAGCCATCCGCGCAGTTGCAGATATAACTTCCAACCAAATTCTTGCAAGTTGCACCATTTTGACAGAAGTGTTCTTTGCACTCATCCTCGTCGGTTTCACAGTGATCTCCAACATATCCAGGTACACAGGCACATTTGACATCACCCTGAAGCATGTCAAATACACTGCTAATTACTAACTAAGTGGTTCCGCTTACATTCTCCGCAAGACAAGTGCCGTTATTTTTACAAGTGTGTGTTGCGCAAGATGGCAATGTGATTGTGCCGTTCTCGCCGCTCTGACAAGAATATGATCCGTCGGCTCCTTTGGTGCACCTACAAGTTTGTTGTCTTTACTAATGCCGTCATAGGTCATGTATACCTTTGATCACTCTCGCACTGTGGGGAACAGTTTTGAGCGTCCGCCACAAGAATATCACATAACGAACCCATCCATCCTTCGAAGCACTGACAAGTCTCTTCACTGAATGTGCCCTTCAGACAAGTCCCGTGCAGACAATGCAAAGAACAATTATCCTGACAAAGCAAACCGCTAAACCCTTGCGGACATTCGCACTGGAACATCCGGGTCTCATCGTTCACCGTGCACGTTCCGCCATTAAGACAAGTGTTCCTACTACACGCTCGGTCACAGAGTCCTGAAAGAGTTTATAATTGACAGGTTGCGGTGACTTGGGTACACATCCATCTTAATGATAATGATGTATCGTTTTTGTGATATTCTTCTTTTTGAGAGCGGAAGTTTGCTAAAGAAGAAGAAAAAGACATCACTTATCATATTTCTTCCCACCTAGCCCAAAAATGAGATGAAATACTCACCTTGCCTGACGAGAATACAAAGTATGAAAAATGTAGAATGTAAAAAGTTCATGAGTAGAAGAAGATCATCCGAATTGGCAGCGGCAGTGGCAGCTAGTCGAGTTGTTTGGAGAAAAAGGTCGTTTGCCGCTTGATTGTCTGTACGGCCGCGCGATGATGGACCTAGAGAGCCAGGTGTATTGTCGGATAATAAGCAGGTAATTAGAACGGAAGAAGTGGGCGGAAAGCGGAAAGGTGGTTTGGCAGCAACGACGAACGGGGGAACAATCACGGAAGAGAGTGGGCGAGCGGGACAACGGCAATCCTGCGAGGGTCAACTAGCTGTTGGCGGTGAGCGGCAACGCGCACACGCGTTGATGCGGATTTGGGTGAGGTGGTCTAGCCGAGCGCGGCTGGATATGGATATACAGACAATTTTCCAACGACCAGTTTGCTGGCCCCCACCCGCATACAACACACGAATTTGCCCTCAGCCGAGAAAAAAAAGGACACAGTATGTTTGTCCTGTTATGCGGAAAATGTGGATGGCTATGCATGCAGTGAATAGTGAATATCCGAAAAAAAAAAGAGTTTAGTAGTTCCGCCCGTGATGGGAAAATTGAGGAGCGAGCCGACTTGACAAATGACCGTGACCAAGCGGAGGAACGAACGTGCAATTGAAAGTTGGAGAATTATAAATTTAATGGAAGAAAAACGGAAGAGAAGATGGAATTTGGAAGGTTTTCACTTATGAACTCATCAAAAACTAGCGTATTCATAGATTAAATGAAAAAATATATGTGCGCATAAAGTAGTAGTCAGTTGCCGCGCGACTGACTCTCTACTTATGGTATTATCTGGAGACCGCAGAAAAAAGAGAGAGCATGATAATACGCACAACTAGACACCTTCTACATATATCTACCACCTTTTTTGAGCATTGCCGCGCGGTCATAAATGTCAGTAAACAGAAAAAAAGACAAAACAAAGCGACGTATGCGCAAGAGAAGGGCATAAGGTCATGGAAAACGGAGCAAATGGTATTGATAACAGTGTACACAAGAGTGCTGAAAAGACGGGCGAACAATTGCGGTTGGGAGACACTTAATGGACTGCGAAAAACAAAAGAAAGGTGCGTGGACGACCGGAATATGGTGCATTCGGGGAGGAACATGTGTATTTGTTTCGAGGTGTTTCCGGTTTTGGCGCTGACCACGCAGTGAGAGAGTTTGACAGCGATCCGAGTCACTCAAAAATCTTCACTTTCTGTGGGAAATTGTTCCGGAAGCCAGTTAATAATGTTATAGCCACGCGAGGCCTTTTTTCGGTAAGTGGCCGGAAAGTGTCGCGGTCTCAGTCTCAGCCTTCTATGACCGAAAAAAAATGAGTGCGATCTACATATGACTTAATATTCTTTTAGAAAGAAGTAGGAAATTCACAAAAAGAGACATAGAAAGAAGGGAAACAACAAATGAATGTAAGTAGCCGTCTCCTGCGATGGTCTCAAGAGTTAGTATCGATATGAGTAAGCAATAGTAAAGAGCGAATCACGTTAGACGGTTTTGGACGGAAGGGAACGCTCCTCATCATCGTAGATGCTGCTCCAAAAGCACAGAAACAACACTTGAGTTGGATATGACTTTGTTTGGGCAAGCGCCTGCGGTGGGTCTCTATCTTTCGAGACTTCCTGCGGGCTCCCAGAGCACTCCCTTCCATCAGGGCGACGAAACAGAGAGAACCCACTTAAAGAGCCGCTGTCCAGCCAACTTCTTGAGTTCGCGCGACGCGGCCAAAACGTTTGTACTGTAGCACAGACGAGCGGCGGGGGCATACAAAAGCGGGCCCGCAAGTGGATGCTTTTTGAAATGGTCACTCCGGGAGGAGAGTTGTTTCGAAATTGTTAGCACGTTCTCGTCTTACGCACTCGCCGACAGACCGGCCCGATGACCGTCTCGAGACCTCATCCTCAGCAAGTTGTGTTGTGTTTTCCTTTTAATTAACTACGTTTACCGTTTGCTCTAATTTCGTCGGCTGCCCAGACACACTCACGCCCGCCCTCCCACATTCTGACCAGCTTCTTCACACTGTTTATTTGCGCAAGTGCGTTAATGAACTGGAACTTAACGTTGAATAAGTGGGGGCAATCAGACCACCTACTCAGAAAAGGCAACTTCGCGGTAATCTGAAACCATTGTTTGCCAGAAGGGGAGCCCCTGTTTCAAGTATCATAAGATCATTTTTAGAAATATTTCATTAGAGTGTGAATTGTTCGGTTCCAATTAACTGTTCGATTCATCAAGTGGAGACAGGAATCTATTTGGAAGTACAAACAAAGTGCTGCGGAAGACTTCAAACGTGACTTCCGACGACCTGCTAACCTGTGAAAACATTGACAGTCCTAATTGAAGTGTGTGATGTTCAGTCTCTTAGAACATCACGAATAACCGGGGAGGCTTCTAATTCGGAAAAAATGTTCGGCCCCGAGGGAATTTTCCCTCAATATCACACCTGAAATTGTTTTGGCAAAATATTTTCATGTACAATGTTTATCTTCACACTTCCGATTTTCAAAAGTTAGTTGGCGCCACACCTTCTCTGCAAAATGTTGTTTGTGTGTACATATTCGGAGAGAACATGTTCGAGGCGACGAAAAGATGATGATGATGATGATGATACTGCTTCCTCTCCTATCATGTACGTCTTCAAAGAGCGAGCCATTCATCAAAAGAAACCTTCATCTGCGAATCTCGTTCTATCGTAATCATACATCGGAAGAAGAGGGTGACGACAAGAAACAGAGAACGGAGAGGGAGAAGAAGAGGAAGAAAAGAAAAGATTTTTGTTGAGCGTTTGATCGCACTGCGCCGCGCGACTTCTATTTTCGTAAAAGAGATGATAACACCGCATCACTTTCTTTCGTTGGCGGACCGTCTTCATCTTCTCATCTCTTCTTTAGAAGATGCAATGTAAAGGATTACTGTAGCCCGTGTAGTGTTTAATGTCATTGTTTCACTTGTGTTGTTCCACATCAGCAAAGAGACCTTATTACAAGTCATCAGTTGAAACCAAGACAATTCCATGCTCAAAAACAAGTACAGATTGATGAATCTTTCATTAAGAAATTGTTTCAATTATGCATTGGTACACAGTACTGATTGTTCACAATTTACAGTGTAAATTTTCAGAAAAAGCACGGTAAAGAGGTGATGGGTGTAGAGAAGCAGATTTAATCAGTTATCCAGCGTTACTGTCCTTCCAATCCGCTGCGATAACTGATTAATCAGTTATCTAGCTATTTTAAAAGCTTTCAGAATGTACACGATTCAAGATATCGAGATCTTAAATAGCTTAGCGAATCGAAAGGAGGCGTAAGAGAGAGAGAGAGAGAGGGAGAAACTTAAATAATTGCACTAGGGTGCGAGCTCAGGATGGGGGGGGGGGTTGTGAAAAGAGAGAGAAAGGGAGTTAGAAAATGGGTTCGTCCCACCTAGGCAAAAACATTGCATGTCTTAACAAAGCTATGTACAATTATCAACAAGGCTTAGTACTGCACCGGGGTAAACATGGTGCACTTGGAGTACCAGCGCTGGCAGGTCTCAGCCATGGCGGCAGAGGATGGTGGGTTGCACATCTGGTGGACCTTTGGATGGGTGTGAGCGCACTTGCATTCGTCGGTGCAGTGGGTGGCGGTGCATTCCGGAGTGCAGGTGGCGACGATGGCGGTGGTGAGCCGAGTAGTCTGTGGTTGAGTTCTCGTGCTGACGTGAGCTGGCTTGCGATCATCGGCGATTGGCAAATCGAGGCTGGCGAAATCGGATCCTCTTGGGAGAACTGGTGGCATCACGAGAGGAGCTCCGAGGTCTGGAAGCTCGACGAGTCCGGCCTTTCCGACAGCGCAGTGCTTTTCGTAAGCTGGGCAGAACTTGGCGACCTTTCCGAAGAGAGAACGCTCGATTGGTCCGGCATCATCTCCACAGAATCGGTTGTAGTGCTCGAGATGCTTGAGGCAATAGAACTCGGAGATTTGTTCATTGCGGCGGATTCGGGCAGGGCTGGCTGAAAAGAGAAGAGTATGAGTAAAGGTTAAATGAAGGAATACTAGAGTTAATACAAAAAAAAATGTTTTTTGTTGCTATGCTCAATATGTATAAAGTGCTCACCTTGTACCAAGACAATAACGATAGCGAGAGCGACGACGGTAATAAAATTCATGTTTGGAAGCGGAGTTTTTTTGAGATTCAATTGCTTGATCTCGCAGAAGTCGAAACTGCGTGCCGATACTCTGAAATCGACGACTTATATGTGTTCGAGCGAGACCCCGCCCCGAATAGATTGGACAGGGCCTGTGGCGTCGAAAGCGCCGCCCCGCAGGAACTTTGAAGATTGCCTCGCGGACAGAAGAGAAGGACGATTGTCAGTTCTAAAAATACCATCAACTACAGAAGGGATTTGAGTATCGAGGGAGACTAGAGGGACGTTGAAATAGCGCCAACGATTGGGAGGGTTCCGTGATTTTCGGCAAATGATGGATGAGATCTCTAATGGTCGCCGTGTGGTTAGAGTGAAGGAGAAGCCAGCGCCGCACACAGTTTTCTGAAGATTGTGGCCAAAGAAGATATGGATATGTCTTCGGGGCCGACGTCCTGTGTTTCGCTCTTCAGCTACGCCGTTATCATGTACCCGAAAATCGTGCGGAAACAAACATCTCCGTGGTTCGCGAAGACTCAAATGACGACTCGTGACGGTGCGGACCGATGATGAGACGAAAATAATGTACTCACGACAGCTTTTCACAGTCTATTTTTATCTCAGACAGCCCGTATCACTACTATCTTCTCATAAGTGCGTCATGTGGAACACACAAAACTACCACCGTAATCTTGACGCTGGTCATCGCTGTCACGTTAGCCGCACACCGAAGCCGTCTGATTCTTTGATGTTTATTGTTCTTGAAGCTGGCCCTACGGAAGTGAAACAAACTGACCGTAACAGTACGCTAGCGGTCAAAGCTTCAACCTGTGTAACAAAAGGCTTTCAGAACTGATAGGACCATGAAGACAATAAGAAAACTTGAACTAGCAGTCATTCGACGAATGTGAACCCCAAATTCTAGGAACCATACCAAATTCCTCGTGTGCCTTTTGTGATTTCGTAGTTCGTATTGCTTTCTTTCAAGTTCAACGTCACTTTTATGCTTTGACAGAAGAGAGAGAGGGAGAGAGGGAGAGAGAAAAGATTCTTTGATGTAACACTTCGGCAGATAGTTTGTGTCTTGTAGAACATCGTAAATTTTGACCAGGATTCTCACGGGATCTCTAAAGATATCCCTATCATTCCCAAGTTCGACCTTCAGTCTTTCCTCAGCTTCAAACTACCGCTTCCGCACATCTCGAACACTTTCAATCTCACTATCCAAACAATATTCTCATTTGTTTTCATCCTGTCTTCAACCATCCGGCTATCGTAATCCCCTCCGATACTCTTTTCATCATTCAGGTTCTCTTCACATCTACCTTCCGGATTTAGCGGTCTACCTTGAAACACAAGAAAAATGATATTTTCCATTCGAAAAAGAACTATTTTCACCTGACACTTTCTCGGAATCTCTGACCAAAACATGCCCTCGGGTTCCTGCCATCCATCAAGACATTTCTAGAAAAAGTTCGAGTGATGGATGGAGGCCGGAGAACGGCCTCCCACACTTTTCTTCCGTATCTCCCCCTGACTTTTAATGGTCGTCGAGTCTAAATTTGGAATACGAAATTTGAACTTTGGAGGCAAAAACGGCACGAGATACTGTCGAAATGTTTCCTGTTTCTTTTTTTCCAGATAAGACCTTCTGGAGTCATAACGCAAACACCTGAAAGCTGGGAATGGAAGCGTGAGAAAGCCCTGCACGAACTTTGTCTTCTCAGGGTGCGGCGGCCTTTTCACGTTGTCGTTAGTGTAAAGCTAACAGAATGACGGTGAATGAACAGTCATGGCTCATGAGAATGTGTTGCGGGTCGCTGTTTTTCAGCGTGTTTGGTTAACATGGTCGTGATTTGAATGAACATCTTTGAAAGTTGAGACCTCCACAACAACTCAAAATGTCGGGGAAAACATATTTTCAAATCAGTATATCTCATAGAACACAACCGATTGATATTGATAAACCTTGAAGGTTACGGTAGTTCGGAAGATCTTCTCTTTTCTGATTGGCGAGAAAATAACCAGTAAAACTGGAACAATACTTGTTCACATAGTTTGGTTATCAAATTCCTTCTAGAACATCTGAAAGTTCTAGAATCAGTCTAGAAGTGTCAAAATTTCGGCAAAAAACCGGTTGCAGTCCGTCACGTTACAGTGTGAAAAATGCTGTCCCCAGCTGAACCTATGTTTTCCGCGTCAGCTTCTACTGCTTGCCTTCTTTGAAGAACATCGTCCAACTAACAAAAGAGGAACTGCAGTACAAACCAACACGTGTTCTTGTTTTTCGCCAACACCTTTGTGGCTTCTCATCGATGATTTTTTGATCTTCGTCGTGTGTGGCAGACTGATATGAATATACATTTCATGATAAAGAAAGTGAGAGAAACCGTTCAATCATGTGGCCGCGTACTCATGTCGACAATCTTTTTGAGGAATGAAAGATGAGTAGATCTTATGAAAATCACATTTTTTTAGTTTCTAAGGGGCAATCGGTTTTGATCTTCTCTTTGGTGTCTCTAATCGAATCAACCTTTTTTCGTCGGAAGTGATTGACCAGTAACTTTTGAAAGTCATTCCGAGGAATCCCCTGAACATATTGCCAATTTTAGCAAAACGGAGATACCATCTTGTTAAGGCAATTAAAAACGTAAAAAGTCAGAACAACTCTCGAAGGAATTTGTCGCACGTGGACGCTTAGCGAACGTCATTTCATTTATACTCTCATAGATCACCTGAGACGGTTCCAAACGACGCTCTTGACAAGAATGTGTTTGGTCCATCAGAAAGAGATGACCAGATCGGCGAAATTGAGATTTGATATTTATGAAGACACAAGGAAGTTCATGTCTTTTGATTTTTGCGATAAGGACATATTGTTTTCAGGGCATGTTTTCTTATTTTCATTATAAAACCATTCTAGCACGAAAGTAGACAACTTGAGAGAACGATCAGAAGACGAAGACTACTGTAGCAGTTTGTATTGTGTTGTGAAGGGGAAGTATCATGTGACAAACACGCTAATACGCTTCACATAATCTCTATTGTCTTTTCCCTCAACAAGGTCTTGAGGTTGAAGCTATTAAAAGGACATCTTCAAAAATAGAACGAGGTCTAGACCGGATATTCGACATGTTCAAGTCAAAGCTATCTGAAACGACTTTTTGTAATCGGCTGTTTGACACCTTCAGTGATTGGCAGCTTGCAGAACTTTAGCTGTCAATCACTGACGTTTCCTTCCGTGGCGACTTTTAGAGATGTGATGCAATGTAACAGATGATAAGTTGATTTGATCTCGATAGTCGCAATTATCTGTGTACAACATGGATTGTTCTTCAAAAATCTTTTGCAAGTCTTTTTGCACGCATCATTCAGACACTTTGGAAATTAGGGCGTTATCATCATTGTTTCGCAAAAATATTTGTGATAAGATGGAGATGAAGGATGTGATGATCGCCTAGGAACGAAAGAAGTAGCGGCAGCAATCTTTGAAAACCAGCCAGACCCCTTTATCAGCGTCTCTCCTCGTGAGTTCCTGATTCGCATGTCATCTTTCTCTCAAAAGCAAAAGTGATTTTCGAAAGTCAGGCAGTTTGCAGCTGCAGAAACCAACCAACACACCACACCCCGCGATTCTTTAAAAATTATTATCGCTGAACACCATCTCTAAACAGTTTTTGTGTGTTTTCCTCAACAGCAGACATGACTTTTGAAGATAACGGCGGACAGAAGAGACATCAACTTTCGAAAGTTGCATCTTTTCATCAGATTAGATTCGGACTCTCGTTAATCAAAACCGATTCTGCAAACCAGAGTTGACTGAGGCGATGACTTTCTAAAATAGAGAAGAAATCGGAGATGGTGACGCAGATGGTCACTAGGCTGAACGGTTGGATCGTGGTGTTTGATTCAGAGGGCGAAGAAGGAAGAGTCGGTGATGAGGAATTTGAAAGCGATCATTCAACTCGTGTTGTTTGATGCACCATGCACTCGGGTCGCAGAACGTCAGAGCACTTTGCAGTCAGCTAGTGAGATATGTGAGACCGGCCTGGCGGAGCATCCTGCTCCAACGGCTTTTACACTGGAGTGTCCACACCTCGGGGCGTCGGTCGTAATTCCACATCACATCTGCGCGTGCCGACCATTTAATTTTTCAGCGTGTTTTGCTCCATGAGCATCTCTTTCTTTTGCCCAATCTCTTCTTCTTTCCCCATGCCCGTTGGGTGATCAAAGTCTGTGGAAATCAAAAATAAAGAAGGGAAGAATGAAAATAGCCAGACAGCAACCCGGACGGCCTCAGACTGGGCCGTCGGACAAAGATGAATGCGAATCTGTGTCCCCTCGCGCGATGGTGCGCGGGGTGACATTTCCGAAGAAGACGGCAAAATACGGCGATCGGTGGATTACGGTAGCCTAATGATTGGGCCGAGTACCTTGTGACTTTTAGAGATAGTGGTTTGTGAGCGATAACCTCGGTTTAACGGCGATGTTGAAGAGGAACTGATGATCAGGAAGAGAGAAATGAATGTGAAAAAGATTGGTTTGTACCGCAGTTGAATTGATAAAAGTAACTATTTTTACTTGTGACAAGTGCACCGAAACAATTTTCAAAGAATTTAAAACCTGAAACAAAAAGCAAGTTTATAGATTTGATCCGATTTAAAGACACTGTGCCAAATTGAAACATTTAAAATTACTCTCTTTCAGCTGACTCCTGCTCTGATCCACATGAAGAAATTTTCAGAAAGGGATAGAAGTGAAAGTGAGTGCGTCCCAACCCAATAACTGGATAATGGGCTCGTTAATTGTTTTTGCGAGGCAGCTTCCATCTCATCCCTCTGATCTCTCATTGTGCTCTTCGCAAAAGCTCAAACTCTCCTGTGCATGTCCTCAAGATCCTCTTCTTTTTCTCATTCTTCTTCTACTTGAGTTGCTTCTAGTTTTTGTTCCACTCGAATTCTAATGAAACCGTCATTATTCGGTTTTTTCATTCTTCTCAAAGCGGTCACAGATGGAGTCACACAATTCACCGAACAATATCAAGGTATGGCTGACTTTTTAGAACGTTTTCCTCGGAAAAAACTGTGAGGGGTTTTATACAGGTTCTTCGAGCAGATTGACTAAACACCTGTTAGACAAGCATCATAAGTAAGAAATTAGAACTTGCGTGCAAATTCAGCGTGTATGTAACATTTAGATGCTCACCCCCCGATGGCCGAGTGGATATTTCGCATAACATCGAGCTAGTTCACATCATTAATATTAATGAGCTCAACCAAAACATGCAAGTGCTCGTATACATTGTTCAGGTAACTCTGAACTTTGAACTCATTATCCCAAATTGACTATTATCCAGCAATGGATAGACACTTCCCTTTCCTGGAAGACTGAAGAATTCCGTGGTATCCGGAGTACTTGGCTTCCGGAGCATTCCATCTGGGTTCCCGACATCATCGTGTTCAACACGTGAGCGTCTACAAAGATTCTTGCAAAGTTTTAATCATATGTAGATTGGAACATAAGAAGCTTCTGGACGCCGTGCGATCCCCAATCAAAGTTTCGTTTACTGGAGAAGTGACGTATGCCTATCCAGCCATTTACACAGTCCTTTGTCAAATTGGTGAGATTTTGAAGCTAGATGTCTGATCCTGTAGGATTAAGAATGTCACAAATAGTCCGGTTCTCGATTTTCTAATGGGTTAGTGAAAAATGAGGGCTCTTTACGTTCCATTATCTCTTCAGTTTTCGTTTGCGGGAAACCTCATCAATTATCCCAGAATAACGACATGAATCCGCTTTCTTTCAACTAGTGAAATAATGGGTTTCTCAAGATAAGCTCATAAATTTTCCAGGAATCGCCAACTTTCCGTTTGATGATCAAGTGTGCAAGATACGGGTGAGTTTGTGATCATGAGGGACAAATGAACTTTACCAACATTTTCAGTTTGCGTCCTGGGCATATGACGAGGACAAAATTCTACTCAACGCGTCTCATAAACCATTGCTCAAAAATTATGCGCCCAACGAAGAATGGGCTCTGCAGGTCAGCTGATGGAATTCCATTAACATTAATTGGTCCCCGATGTGCCCTATCAAACTGATGCAACCCTTGACTTCGTTTTCGAAAAGTGTCATTCTTTGTCAGCACACATGTTGATTCTGATTCTGCAAATAGTGCAGTTTTCGACATCTGCCAAATGTAAACGAAAGCTTTCGTTTGGCTAGGATTTAATTAAATCTAGAAATCCAAAAGACTGAAAAATCATCGAGCAAGCTGGATTATTTGCAGGACGTGGACATGGCACGGAAAGAGTACGAACACGAGGAAACCGTCGTCAGCGAGATCATCTACTACATAAAAGTGGCTCGCAAACCGTTCTACTACCTCATCAGTCTTGTCGTTCCCAGTTACATTATCAGTGCGCTGTCCATCGCCGGCCTGTTTGCGAGATTCTCAACAAGACATGAACGACAGGTCAGAAAAATAGATATTGTGTGAATGCTCATGAACTAACTCGTAAAGTTTATGCAAGAATGGAGCTTTTACTCAAAACGTTACAGAATGGAAGAGTATATAAAGCCGAATTCAAAAGTTTAGAACGTCAGGCACAGGTAACAGGAGCTGGCGTTCTGGAAACATAACACAGAACCTTAAAGTTTTCTACCGCTTTCTCACACTCTTAATTATCTGCCACAACGAGTTATAACCACGGATTTTCAAAATTTTTTAAGAACATTAGCAGTAATTTCATTTTCAGGAACGATTCACGCTCGGAGTGACTGCGATTCTCAGTATGGCTGTTCTATCGCTTGTTGTGACTGAAAAAGTGCCACACAGTTCCGAAAGCGTTCCACTTTTGAGTAAATCAGTCCCTTTGTGGTCAAAACACTTTTTAAATTCCAGTTGTCTACATGCACTTCATCATTATAATGGTGACCATCGCCACAATTTTGACATCCACTGTGATGAGAGTGCATGCCAAGGTGATTTTCGTCCGTGTAATGCACCAATGATTCATTTTTCTGCAGGGTTTCCGCACTCATTTCATAAGTCCCCCGAATTGGATTAGAAAGGCCTTATTCATTGCTCGTAAGCACGCAGCTTTCTTCCAACAACATGTGAGAGTCAAACCTTTCATTTTTCCGAGACGGATATTTGATTGGCCGGCGAATGTATAATTTTATTTCAGGGAAAGGTGTACATGGACATTCACACGACTGCTGAGCAATGGGGAGAGGTACTGAGAAGCAGGAGAGCTCTGAGAAGAAAAAAACGAGCACGTTTTAGGTCTCGCGAAGAATGGATTATCTGCTGGCGTCTGTTTTCATAGTCATTATAAGCACGCCAACTCTTTACTTATTCTACATGTGTTATCAAATGGACCACGAGACGGCCGAGCGAATTCTTCTGGAAAACGCCAAGCGTCGCGATCAATTATATTATTAATTCTTCGCCCGTGTATAGCTCGCTCCCGCTCGCTCTCTCTTTCTCCGGTTTGGTCATTATCCTCGCAGCTTTATCTCCTTTCGTGGGATGGATTATATATTATACATATATGACTTCGTCCTCTTTTCGTATTTATTATATACACATGATGACAAGTGGAAGTTTAATCATATTTTGTCTGTTGGAAGAGAAGAAAAAAGTGCTCCTCTTGTCCCTCTCCTAGTTTTTTGTTCATTTCTCGTCGTATAATAAAAAGTTTCCGCTTTCTTTCTCTCCTTCATTTTGTCATTTTTCAATTGTTCTGAAAGCCTTCATACTCGCATTGTTTATCAGGCATCCTTCCCTCTCGTCTTGCTCTTTTTCATTTCATTTCACTTCTTCATCTCATTTCTGCTTCAGTCACCGAGGAGGCAGCAAAAAACCAATTTCCCGTCCTCGCTTCCCTTTTTGGCAAAATGGTCATGCAAATCTCTGTGAGTGCATGCTCTCCTCCTCTTCCCCCTTTTCCCCCTCTTCCTCTCCTTCTTCTCTCATCGTCGTCTTCTTTGGCAACGAGGCAGTGCGCTGGCGGGGGGTGAGTGCCTTGCCAGCGAGCGAGCGAATGTCCTTCCACCCATCTCATCGCCGTCCGTCACGTAGAAGAGAGACGCACAGACACACACAGAAAACGACTGCGACCGTAGGCGAGGCTCGCTGCGAGACCGGCCGCGTAGAGAACACACAAAACGTACTACGCGCAGACGAACCACTAACTTTTTTGCTGAGGTCCTGTCCTGCTCTCTTCTCATCTCTTCTAGACATCTTATCCGCGTTCCGATTCTCGAATCTACAATGAGCTATATGGACCAGGTAATATTTTCAAAATCGATTTTTTCGCTCACTGTAGTCCGTCCATACCGTATATTCTAGGCTCGAAACTTCTAGCAAGCTCCATTTATTTTGTGTTCACTGTCATCTCTCAGAAAAGTCGAAGATATTGTGTTTCAATACGAATTTTGTTCGCTTCATGATGCCTTTGTTCGCTATTGCTTCCATGGTCATTGTCGCACTTAATCGGAGTCATACTGCCTATTCTATACCTCTTTTTTGAACTGACACCACTTTTGCATCCGTTGATGTAAACCCCAGAGAATATGACATCGGCTTCAAAGATCCGTTTTCAGCGCGTATCTTCATCGACGCACCCATCGTCGAAGAGGGACTACGAAGGATTCTCTGACGAATCTGATCAATGTAAGCAATTTTGTGTTAATTTATAGAATGTTCATGTTAGTATTCTGAGCGCAGAGTGCGTGTAGAGGTCTTTTTCCAAGTGCTAATTTGCCTCGTATTTCAGACGACGAGGCACCGCCAAAACGCTCCAGAGATCCATCTCTTCACGAGAGTCATAGTCCTCCACACGATCGTTTTCAAATGGACAACTATCCGATTCATGCTGGCAAGGTGTACTTCCCGATTCCGGAAAATTGTGTTGGACTTGGTGAGTGTGCTTGCTTGTTGATGGGCGCGTACTTTTGTATTTCAGTCATTGGTCGTAATGGTTGCGAGATTCACGCCATATCACAAGAGTCTGGATGTCGTGTGCAAGTGCTGACTGAGAAGACACCAAGTGGCTTCCGTATGGTTGAAATTGATGGTACCGTGGAGAACATCGACCGCGCCAAGGTGTTAATTAATGAAGTGATTAACAAGAGCGGGCATCGGCAACCACATGGTCAGCGGAATCAGCATCCGTACCACATGATGGCAGACAATCAACAATCCCATCAACAACCATCCTATCAACAGGTTCCTCAACATCATCAACAACAACATCAACGGAACAACCCGCATTTCCAGTCAAACGCGCAGAATAGGGTGACCGTCGATATTCCGATTCCCGCAGAAAAGTGTGGATCCATCATTGGTAAAAATGGTGAAAACATGAAAAGACTGAGAGTGAGTGCAGTTGAACATTCGTGAATTTTCTCACTCGGTGTGTTTCAGGCGACGTCCAACTGTCATATTCAGTTGATTCAAGAGAACAGCATTGCAAACACAACAAAGCCGCTGAGAATTATAGGAGATCCGAAGCAAGTGGAGCAAGCGAGACAGATGGTGCTCACCATTCTTAATAATACTGAAGATTACGCCGGAGGGGCGCAGCTTGCTGGCAACGGCGCTAATACTACAATAAACCTGCACGTCAAGGTTCCTCGATCTTCCGTTGGAGCCATCATGGGCGTGCAAGGAAAAAACATTAGGAAGTTATCGGAGGAGTCTGGCACAAAAATTCAATTCTTGCTGGATAACGATCCACTACTAATGGAGAGAACTATAGCTATTGTCGGACATCGCAACAAGGTGTATGTTGCGGCTCAACTCATCAAGGATATTGTGGAAACAAACAACGATCATGATCCGGCTTCTCAGATTTCGGTTGGTTCAATTCTCGACCTGCAGTGACATCAGTCACCGTCCGACTTTCAGCTCTTCTACATGTCCATTCCGGCTTCAAAATGCGGTCTCGTGATTGGAAAAGGAGGCGAGACGATCAAGCAGATCAACACTGAGTCAGGCGCTCATTGTGAGCTGTCGCGAGAGCACAGTATTAATGTCTCAGAGAAGACGTTTGTGATTAGAGGCACTGAGTACCAAGTGGAGCATGCTAAGCATCTTATTTGCCAAAAAGTTGGGGACATTCCCCCGGGCACTCCGTTCAATCCCTACGGAATTCAACAGCAACAGCAGCATCAACCTCAACAGCAGTATGCTCCTCAACAGAACATGCACATGTGGGATGGTTAGTTCATTCGAAATCCGCTGATTTAGTACAAACATATCTGTTTCAGGTGCTCAACTTGTTCAAGGACAACAACCACAAATGCAACATCAAGCACTTCTTCCACCCCATGTTCAACGCCAAAATCAACCCGGTTACCAGCCGCAGCAATCGAGTGATTGGCAATCTCGGGCTAGGCAGGCATTGTCTCAGTACACGCCTGCTCAAATGCCGGTCGTCCAGCAACTCTATCAGCAACAGCAGATGCAGGCACACCAGCAGCTGCAAGCCCAGCAGGTCCAGCAGCAGCAACAGCCGCAACCAGTGCAACCGGCGCCCGGGCCGTCTCTCTATGCTCAACAATATCCAGCTAAAGCTCGCACGCCGCATCCGCCAGCTCCGGTCACTCATTCTGCGACGTCACAGCCGCAGATGGCGGCTCAAACACCGGCATCGGCTCAAGCTCCGGTCGCCCAGACAACGCAACAAGCCGCCGACTCGACGCAGCACGCCGGAGCCAGCGATGCCGACTACTCTGAGCAATGGCTGCAATACTACATGTGAGTTGAATGCGCTTTGTGTCGTGTCGTGTTGAGTCGAGTTTGTCAAGTATTGTGGTGGTTTCAGTAAAATGGGCGACACCGAGAATGAGAATGCGGTGCGCGCGAGAATCGCTCAGATTCAAGAGGAGAAGTCGCGCAAGCAGCAAGCGGACGGCCAACGCGGACAAAGTGCGGCTGCTGATGATTTCGATTCTCGGCTAGGCGCCGCTCAACGCCAACAACAGTATTAGGGATTTGACAGAACGGTTTGGATCTGGATCTCCACGCAGAAGAAGAGAATGTGATCGTTTGCAGGTGAATTTCCAGGCAGCAGTGAATTATCTTTAAACGACTTTGCCGGGTAGCCCACAATTCGTCGTCACTCCAGCTTTTCGTCGTTGTTCTCATTTTGCTCCCACTCTTAAACATTTTTTAAATGAACTTTTCAATTCAGTCGGTGATTCTTGTGTTTAGTTTTACTTTTATATCCGTTGATCTTATCCGGTTTACTAACAATATTTCTTTCCATTTTTAACCGTTAACCGTTGCCACATTCTCTCTCTCTCTCTCTCTCTCTCGTCTGGGCTGTTGCAAATGCGCTCCGCCGCACAGCTATCTCGCCACATCACTTTCTGAAAATAAACACGTTTTGAGGGCGTTTTGGGTTCAGAACGACCTTGTGTTTGTTTCTTGTTCGTTTCTAATCTTCTTTCTCTGACTTCCAATTCTCTTAATTTATGGCGTCCATTTCGAATTACTTCCGACATACTGCCAGATAAGTGCACACGCAATTGCGCTCTCTCACACTTGATCTCTATACGGTCGTCGCCTGCAATCTTCAAACCGTTTTCTTCCGTAGACAGATTAGCGTGCCGAGAAGCAACTTTCGGCGCCACACTGGTTATCGGTGTTGCCTTTTTGATAATTTACGATGTACTACAATGAACAATCAGATTATATTCAGACCGTTCAACGAACAATGCCGCCGATGCGACGCAAGAGAGGAAGGGGAATGGCTACCTTGTGGTCGAAGCCGAATAAGCAGACAAGACGACAGTGTGCAAACGAAGCACTGGCGAAGAAACTGAAGACGGAGACTGTCCAAGTTCCTCTCGCGAATGGAAAAAGTGGTGTTAAAAAAAAACGAGCAACTGATGCTCAGTCGCCACGATCTCGGGCACCTCCGTCTGATACCACGTTGTCTGCTAGATCTGAACACACGGCTACGGTATCGCCAGCAATCAAGCGACACCGTTTGCAGCAGAACAATGGTATAGACAAATCATTGATGCTGTAAACAAAGATTGCAATTCAGGGGCAATAGCATCAGTCAAAAACGCTTCAAACGCAGCGGAAGTTGCCAGAGTGTCGTCGTCAGCGTCATCGTCTTCAAGACGAAACAAAGGACAAGACGCAATATATGGCTACGTGGATGCGGTTGTTTCGACCCTTCTGTCCGTCGGAAAGATCATCGGCCCGCTCAGTAATCTCTCACTCGTTATGGACAAGAAAGATGAGACGCAGCAGCCCGGACCTTCGAGCTTGTCAGCAGTTCAGTCCGTGATTCCAATGTCAGAAATACTGACTGAGAAGACGGTAGCACTCAGGCAGCGGAAACTTTCGATCGATCTAGGGAACACCAATCTCGGTGAGTTTGCTGTAGAATTTAGAAAGTTCATTCACGATTCTTTATTTCAGCTGACCTCAAACTGGATAACATAATGGATGAAATCAACAAGAAGTTTATGTGCCGAATCGAACTATTTGAGCATCGTCCCAGCGAGAATGCGCTGATTCTTCTGATGGTCGCCGCCGAGGTTGGAGACTCGCACAATTGACTCCAAATAGCCTTTTTTCCAGACATGCGCCGACGAAGCGACAACATATCTGACAAATGCCATTATTGATGCAGAAATGGAACTCTACATTAAATCAGGCAAATTTGCGGAGAATACCAACGGAAGTGCTCCTGGACCGTCCACATCTTCGTGAAGTTAACCAACAAACAGTCTGATTCAAAGGCATATCGAAAACTACCCGATTCCGCTTTATTATCTGCGCATTTCATTCTCTGACGTGAATTTTGTATATTATTTCCTCTTCCGGTTTCTCAAATTTCCGGTTCGAGAATTTCCGCGTATTGGGTTGGGCACCAACTTACACTTCTCAAATGTTCTCTCGCGTCTTCAACTTACTATTTATTTTTTTTACATCATATCGCACATTTCATGTATCAAAAAAAAACGGATTGAACTTGAGTGCTCTTCTTTTCTATCTTTATCCGCTACAATGGTTCTAAAGCCATGTGACTCTATCTATTATTCGTTAATCTTATTCTTGTGCGCCGTTTTCATCAATTCTTTCTCAATCCATATGACCACATCGAGCTGTTTCCCACGTTCACATGTGGAAAACATCATTCCGTGCTATGGCTTTTTCGTTTCCATCCATCTATACATTTCTTTTGTTGCCATGTACATGGTGACGCATCTTTTCTTGCCGATGGGATGGACGCAAACTTTTATCATTTCAAACTTGTAGTCTATACATACAACATGAACACCTCCGACATCCCCTTGCTCACTGTCGTTCCATTGACACAAGAGCACGAGTATGCAATGTACAACAGCCACAGTAAGTTGATAGGTTATTGTATCCTGTGCAATGCTGTTTGTTTTCAGCACTCATCAGAATCATCGATGTTCCGAGAATCGTTTTCAATCACCGTAAGAGCTGACTGAGCACGGTCACCTAACTGAAACTCTCGGTTTTCAGTTCCGACCACATTTGATTCGTGGCTGAGAGACATTGAGTTCTGTGCACGGGCAACAGTGAGAACGCTGGAAAAGCCATATCCGGACATTGTTCGGTTCGAAATCTGTGGATCAGTGGTGAGTCGGAATTTTCAGAAAACATACCTGATTATGCCGTTTATAGGATCAAATCGAGCCTGTTTTCTACGGAGTCCGGCGGATTGCTCATCACATCACCAGCGTCTTGTTTCCAACGTACATTGCGCCACCTGAAAACAATCCAACTTTTCCAAATGTAAACCAGAGAAAGGCATAGAAGCATGTGAACCAATTTTGCTTTTTTTTTAGGTACCTGATATCCAGTCTCTGATCATCGATAGCTGTGTAATTAAACGTATCGAAGATTGCGTTATCCGGCGGCGAATATGTGAGCAACTTCTTCTCTAGCCTTGAAAAATAGATTTTGTCGTTTCAGACAACTACTACGAGCCGGGCACTGCCGATTACACTCATTTCTCGTCTACATTCGTCCGCTATTTTGATATCTACAAGCGTATGATCACAGTCCTCCAGAAGATCCAACCAGAAGGCGATAAGACCTGGATGAACACGATTATGCGCTGTCTGGAGGGTCTCCACAAAGACCTGGCAAATAGAGTGTCAACCGGAAAGACCCTGGTCTGTGAGACCTCCACCAGCCGGCTTCTGACTGTCATCATCAATGCCGAGCAGTTCGTTCCGAAATTTGAGAACAGCTATAGCTACCTTCTTGCTCACGAAGTGAATGTGATGAAGAAGAAGGAGTCGCTAACAGCGATTCAAGCCAATCACTCTGCGGCGCCAACGGATATCGCCACCGCTCAATCCTCGTTCGAAGCAGCTACGGCACAACTGGTTCGCGCCAAAGAAGAGCACGAACCATACGATACCTCGTTCTTCACGACCATCCGTTCGCTGATCTTTCTGTTGGTACCACCGTACTACACTGCCAATTGATCCGCAAACTTTCACACATTAACTCCCAGTTAGGAGACTTTAGTCGTCTTCATTGTAGTTCGGTGAATTCTCCTGGTTAATTCATTCCTTCTCACCACACCCGCCGTGTGTTTCTTTGCCCTCAACCGATTTTATTTCCCTTCTCGCTTTTCTTACCACTCTCCGATTGCTTTCCTTTCCGATGACTCCCATTTGATTCCTACTCCAGAATAAACTATTTACTCAACTTTTATTAATGTACCCTTAAATCCCGTGGAAGTCGGTGCGATATACTTGTTTCTTCTCTTGTTGCTTTATTTCTGTTCAGTTATCTCCTCACTTTCACCATTTCCTATTTTTGGTTAATTAGTTTGGTTGCGAACACCTTCCGTGTGTACAGCAACTAAGTTAGTCATGTGCCCTTGCAATTCTTTCTCACAATTCCATTCCAATCTCTCAATCAATCTATCAGATAGGCGTGGTCTGGGTGGACCATTTTGCTAACTTTCACAGATTATTTCAATAGAATTTTCTCCCCCTTTATTCGTTCACTTCTCGTGTCGACGATACGAGTCACTCTATTATTGTTGTACCCACTATGTATATTCATTTACAGACTCACTCAGGAATGTCAAACGGAGATACTCAAGATTCACTCTCTCCTCATATTGAAGAGATGTTCCGGAAAATTGAAGTAATCAATAGTCTCCGACTGTAAAAGGTTCTATTTTCGAGTTCTAGGCACAAACTGAGGCGGCCAACAGACTTCGTACTCAGAGAAACCCTGGTTGGGTCTTCGGAACCACTCGCGACTACTCTAAGACACACCAGCCACCTCAACAACCTCAGCGGCCAATCCGTATGTTTGATGAATTCTAAGCAAAAAATTTAAAATTCAATTTAGAACCAGACGACAGTTTGGCGAGACCGGCGGCTGAGAGGTTGCTAAACTGCTACTATGAAGCATTCGACGTCGTGAAGGGCATGTTCACTCTCTGGAAGAAAGTTCAACCTCGCGGCGATCGGAATTGGCTTCTCTCCAAACTGGTGAGGTCGTTGGAGGAGAAAAAGACGATGATCGACGCCATGTTCTCTACGGAGACTCTATACGACGGAATCGTCGATCTGGATCAGCTCACAGCAGCTACAAACGTGGCGTCAGTAGCAACTACCGTGGTCAAGGAGAAGTACGAAGCAGTCTACGCTGCACAGGCGCTTGTGGATCAAGAGGACGTCAACCTCATAGACTACATCGACAACGGCAGTGCGACGGAGACCGATGGCGATCGGATGATGCAGTCGTTTTTGGATGCCCAAAGCGAGTACGCCACTGCCGAGAGAGATTTTCAGACCGCCATGAAAAAGCTCGTGTCAAGCATGGATCTGATCAAAAGAGCATCCATTGCGGCTAAGAAACAAGCGAAGATCTCGCAGCAGCAAGTCGAGCAGATGCCAACTTCGCGAAGATCCCAACGCGTCACTAAGCCATCAGCTAAACTGCGTGATCCTAACTTCTTTGTCTAGAAATTCTATGTTCCGACCAGCCGATTCACGTCATATTACTAGCTTTCTTCACTATCTTCTTGCTTATATATTATATATATATATGTCTTCTTTGTTAGCAACAACGGCCGTAGACTCAACAATTGAGGATCGCCAAATTGGACGAGTCCACGGCAACGACTTTCGCTGCCAGCAAAACAGCGACTTCTAGTATCACCGCTTACTTCATTCATTTATTTATCATATTTTCTTTTTAACGCTTGACCCGAGTTCAGTTCACCTATTCTACTACCAACACCTGGTTTTAACAAATTCCGATGCTTTTGTCTGTGTTCCAACTTTCTTTTCCAGCACACCTTAACCACTCACTGTATATCTTGTCATGTTGTCGGAACAGTATGTTCCCCCGCTGAATAAATCATTCAAAATGTCTCTTATCTAGTCTGTCTGATTATTTTTGGTCAGTAATGCCTGTTTAATATCAAACGCCAGTTTTTTCTTTCTTCTCTCTTCTTCTGGTTAATATTCTCGTCTGCCCCTTTCTTATCGAACTCACTGGGCTGCTTCGTCTTTCCTCTGTGTCTCGGATTCTCCTTCGCTTCTTCTTACTCTGTGCGTGCAGCGAGGACAACGCCCTCTCATTACACTATTGAACCTCTCGCCGTCTCCGTTCTCATTCTCTGCTATTGATCGCTGCCCTTCTCCTGTCCTGCCCTCTCTCGCCGCCGCGGGTCTCGCACTCTCTCGTCTCACCTCTCTTCTCTTTTTTGCTCTCTCGCGTTTTTCTCACTCATTGGTTCGAAAACGCTACTTGCATTTTTCTAGGTTATTCCTCTCGCGATGTTTAGAAAAGAGTCACTGCAAGGGTATCCAGCCCGGCTCCTCGATGCAAACGGCTTGCCAACCATACACACGACTACGTTCTTCGCGAATGGTGAGTTACAGTTGAAATTGTCGGAAGATAAAAAAAGGGGTTTGCAGGACATCGGCTGAACTGCGAAGTGCCAAAAGTTCTGTTCGATCAACGGCCACCCGGATTCCCTGATTTTTTGAGGGACGTGGAGTCAAAAACTGGAACCAGAATCACATTCCTAGGAAACCAATCGCGGTACTCTTCTACCATTCAATTCGCAGGATCGGCGGTATTCAAACAAGATAAACTTCAAACAATAGAATCATTTTTCAGAAAGCACTACCCGCAGCGCTAGAAATGGTCGAAGAAATCTTCAAGATAATAAAGGATGATATGTGTCCAGAGCCTGCTGAAGATAGCAGCGGTGATTCGAGAGACGCCGAAGAGATGGAAGATGAATCAATTGAATCGACCACTGAAGAAAAAGAATCAGATTCCTCTACCGAACTAGCATCGGAAATTGAAACTCCAGTTGTTGAGCTGTTGCCGCCTGTTCGAACTAGTCTCCCCACTACTGCGGACTGCCTGGCTGCTTTGGACCGGTGCACTCCGAGAACCTCTCAACAGCCGAATGTTGCTGTTGAAGGTTCCAGTTCTTCGAGTAACGTCGTGGCTACGCCGCTTGCTCCATTCGACTTCAACGATCCTGCAAACTCCACTTTTTTGGCACAAATGTTCGGCTTGGGGCTTCGACAAATGGCCACTTATTCTGCGATCATCAACGGACAAGCTCCCCCATCTGTCGAATCCGCTGCTATACCGGATCTGGAAGCTTTTAGAACTCCAGAGGGCAATGCCAGTTTGGTACATCTCATCTCAATCGGAATTGCAACAATCCAGGAACTGTTCGCTCAGTATGAACCGCCGAGAACGGTTCCGGTTACCAATGCCACTGGCAGTGCAACCCTTCCTTCTTTTCATCCTGCCAAATTTCAAAGTGAGTTCTTCAGCTGACTGCATCCTTCGATACCATTTATTTTGTTTTTTCAGACCGCCCGTTCCCATCTCATCATCCACGTGCTGACTTGCCATTGGCCTTGAAGCGCAACTTTCTCACACGTGGATATCCGGCAAACAGCGAGGAAGAGCCTTTTCCTGTACTCTATGCACGTGGTGTGCAGCTCTTCGGTAGAATGGCTACTTACCGTGCGGAGCTTGAGCCGAAGAGGGATGTGAAGCAACTCTTCCGAGCCCTCGATTTGTACAAGTTGAAGGAGGAGGAAATGATTGAGCAAATTGTGCATGGTGTTCACTCGTACACGCACAACTCCACGGAGCTACTAAAGAAGATAGTCACCGAGACGGAAGTGTTCATGGCGGATGTTGAAGCTCGTTTTGTGGTTCTGCGAACGACGAGCAACATGCTGCGAAATTCAACAACGGAAGTGATTCAGCTAGCCTGGGAAGAATACGACTTGATGTTCACAGAGTTTCTTCGCACCGAGTCCAAGTTTCACAAAACAATGGTTGATTTGATCGCTGTCATCGATATTGACGTCGTTATGCCAGTGGATGTGAAGAACGCGAACCCGAACGAAAGTGTCCAGAGCGTTCTGAAACGTCAATTAAAGATCAAGAGAAGCGACCGTGCTCCTTATCGCAGAAGAAAGACTAAGAACCATGAGAAATCTCCATTTGAGTAACGCATCGAATTCCACTTGTTATCTTTTGGCTTGATTTGATCTCTTCTTCCGGTTTAGTTTTCTTTTTCCTACCGTACTTTTATCATTGTCAACCCTTCGTGGTTGTGAATTGTATTTGAGAAGCCCGAAGTGCTCTATTTACATTTGGCCGTCTCCATGATCAAGTAGCCAATAAATCTGACTAATATTTTGATTCCTCCGTTTTATAAAACATGTACCGTGCTGTCCGCTTTACGAAGTGATTCACATTATAGAAAATTGCAAAACATCTTCAGTCAGCCAGCAAGCGGAGCTACCAGTCACTTCAGTCGTGCAGCGATGTTTCATCCTGTCCCTTCTCTCGTCTTTCTCACTATTCTTGCCTTTCATGGAATTTCTGCATTTGTTCTCAACAATCGGACGGGAAACGCAAATGAAACGATGGTCCGCTATGAGAGAGCACCGGAAACAGTCAAGCTAACGTACGAGCTCGCCCCATATCACTCGGATTTTTATGGAAAAACGGTGAGTAAGTTTTGTGAAAAGTATCTAGCCAGCTTTTGAGAATAGAACATGTTTCTTCAAATGTTTTAAAGATATTTGACAAAAAATCTGTTGCGAACCAGACTTTTTTGACTTTTTCGCTACGAAATCATTTTAGTTGGCGTTATTTTGAACAAATTGCCTGAGATTTGTATTGTTCTTTTTTTGAGAAACAAACTCTGTCATGAGATCATTCGATTAGAATAGTATCCAAAAAACATTTATTAGAACTGCAATGAAAGGGACCATATATTATTTTATCGATGTTCTAGTAGAGAGGTCTCGGCCCGCTGCTCGGTCGGCTAGGCAGGGCACGAACTTAGTCTAAAACTTTTTGATATGTACTACAAATAATCTATAAAAGTGGCGAAGCAATACATATGATTCATAGGATCCAATTGGAATATTCTTTTTCGCAAAGAAATTCCTCAACTTATAAACTCTTTCTTCCAGGTTGCACCAGTCACACCACGACCACACGTCCTCCCACCGCCGCACGACGAGAAACAATGCAGCTCCAACCTGTGTGTATTCGACTGGGCCCCAGAATGTAAGTGATCCACAACTTTGGTCGAAACGTTTAGAATCTTTCAGCAATTGGACCGTTCATAGTCGCTGGCATGTTCATGGTCTTCGCTGTCTTCGCCTTCCTCACCCTCTGCTGCTGCTTTTTCCGCATATTCTTCTAATGTTATCTAAAAATGTTGTTGATCTCGAGAGTGGTTAATAAAATTCAAGATCAAATACTATTGCAAGCCGTGACTATTTGTTTAGACATTGTTCTTTGAGCTAAAACTGAACGGAAGTGGCTGTTGAGTCTGCAAAAATAGGATCGAGTAAGGGAATCAGCAAAATCAACAAATGAAGGAGGAGCAGGGGGGGGGGGACTTGCAAAAGTCCTGGCAAAGGAAATGGCTTTTCATGTGTTACACTGCAAACTGCATGTTAGTTCAGCTGATAGTAAAAAAAAATGTCGGAAACTTGTTATATTAAACCGACAAGAGAGCTCTGCCTTTTGACCATTCGGCATTTGAACGTTGTTTGTAACTTTTCTCTCCATTACTTTTCCATTTAAATTTTATACATATTTCGATGATTTTAGGGTCCCCTAAAATGCTTTTAAAAGCATTGTGCACTTTGACGGCATTACTGACGTTCATTGCCGTTGAAGCTGACATTTTAAGCGATGAAAGCTACAGAATATTCCGAGACATTTCTGTAATCAAAAAAGTACAGGGTGGGGAATAAATATAGCGCCGAATTCAAAATGTCGTAAAAAACTCAAATCGCAAGATTTTTTTCTGTAAATCTACTAAAAGCGCTATTAAACAATAACAAAAAGAATGGCATTAGCAGTTTTTGCCGATTGCACCTTTCTCTTCGTTGGCAGCCGTCAGTCTCCTCGGATACGAGTCAGCGGCGGCACGGGGGTAGTTGACGTAAAGATCGTGTCATGGCTTCCGTAGTTCAACTTTCCGGACTCCCTATTTTGGTTAATTGTGAATGGATACATACTAGGCAAACCACCCAAACTCGGAGAAGTCCATAGAAATCATATCCGACTTAAAATCTACTCGTTCGTCTTAAGTGATAAAACTTGCGAAATTGGCTTTGCGTCACTGTTAGGTGGTTTTGGCTCGATGAGCAGGTGTACCGTCTTGCTGGGAGACCCTATCTTGTTTTCCTTAATCAACTAGATCCAAGACAGTTCCTTCGACCCGAGAATCTTACTGGAGTAGCATTTACGGTTGATTTTCGCTCCAATCTCAGTGCTGTTTTGCCATTGGCGGAAATTCTCCAAAGAACGATTACTGAAGCCGGATAAAAATTCTTAAAAATTATTTTTTCATTCCCACGGACAGTCTCAATGTCCCCTGAGATGATCTTGTTGTTGTGATCATCACTGTCGATACCAGCAGCGTGTAGCCACTCATCTCCGATCAGAGTCTGCAGGCGCGTGCCTTGCCGCGTGCCGCCAACGGGACTTCCGGCTTTTTTGAAGCGAAAGTCCTTGTTATGGAACGATTCTTTTGAATACAATAAGGAATCATATTTAGTTCCTGTCTGGCAATAGCTTACATAGATTTTAAGCTCATACGGAACTCTGACGACATTTTCCACGTGCTTCTCTCCGAGTTTTTACGATTTTTGCTCTAACCGATATGACCATCTTGGGAGTTGTCACTGGGATCGGGGGACCACTTCTCAACTTGTCTTCCAATGTTCCGAGGTGTCAGAAACATCGGGAAGTCATATTAACAAACAATCTTACTACGCCGAGCTTCCTAACTATTTTGGACGATCGCATTCCTATCCTTGTGAACCCCATAATTACGGACCTAGGCGATGACGGAGCCACCATTTCTCTCAATATTAAAAGAATTGTCTGCAACTTAGACAAATGGTCAAAAATGAAGTGATGAATGGAAAAAATAACATGAGCGGTCATCCCATTAGTTCTGTAGGCGCCAGCGCTCACGCGAAGTTTGGACGCTATATTTATTCCCCACCCTGTAACTTTCTTCATAAAGTCTGACAAACAATTTTAATCACACAGAGACTTGCGGAGCGGCCATTCAGAAACATTACAACAACTGCTTCGCCAACGTACTACGAAGACACCTACAACATTTCCAGAAGAATAAAAGTATCAGCATCAGAGAACATTGCAGCGAAAAATCTAACTTTTAGCGACAAGCTTGTGCTTCCAGTTGTACTTCACTTGTTAAAGCAACAACTCCAGAATATGACGGACTAATTGCGACAGAAAACTTTTACATAACATACAGTACAGATGCATCAGGATGTCCAATTGCCGATATTACTTGCGTTGGAGGAGATTTAGCTACGCTGGACTACACAAGCGCCAGCGGGGACATAATTACTGTAAGTGCTGAATAACAAAACAGTTTTGAGTATTTTTTTTTAGCTTGGTGAAGGAGGAGATGACTATAACATTCTTGAAGCTCAACTGAAATGTTTTGCATTTGGATGGGCGGCATCGACGGCAACTGAAATAATCGATGCCAACACTTTGAACTGCGATGGTGAGAAAAAAAAGATGTTTACTAATAAAAAATGAACGATACAGTTCTGACCGACATACCAGTAACGACTTCTACATCAACCACGTTTTCAACCACAACCACCATTCCAACAACCACTACTACTGAAGCCACAAGCACGACAACGGTTCCAACGACCACCACCACTATCCCAACCTCGACCACCACGGAAGCTTCTTCTACCACTACTGTCCCAACCTCAACAACAACCGAGGCCACATCTACGACTACTGTCCCAACCTCAACAACGACGGAAGCCACGTCTACGACAACTGTCCCAACCTCAACAACGACGGAAGCCACGTCTACGACAACTGAGGCCACATCTACGACTACTGTCCCAACCTCAACAACTACGGACGCCACGTCTACGACAACCGAGGCCACGTCTACGACAACCGAGGCCACGTCTACGACAACGGAGGCCACATCTACGACTACTGTCCCAACCTCAACAACGACGGAAGCCACGTCTACGACTACTGTCCCAACCTCAACAACGACGGAAGCCACGTCTACGACAACCGAGGCCACATCTACGACTACTGTCCCAACCTCAACAACGACGGAAGCCACGTCTACGACAACCGAGGCCACGTCTACGACAACCGAGGCCACGTCTACGACAACCGAGGCCACGTCTACGACTACTGTCCCAACCTCGACCACCACTGAAGCTACTTCTACCACTACTGTTCCAACCTCAACAACGACGGAAGCCACGTCTACGACAACCGAGGCCACATCTACGACTACTGTCCCAACCTCAACAACGACGGAAGCCACGTCTACGACAACCGAGGCCACGTCTACGACAACCGAGGCCACGTCTACGACAACCGAGGCCACGTCTACGACAACCGAGGCCACGTCTACGTCTACTGTCCCAACCTCGACCACCACTGAAGCTACTTCTACCACTACTGTTCCAACCTCAACAACGACGGAAGCCACGTCTACGACTACTGTCCCAACCTCGACCACCACTGCAGCTACTTCTACCACTACTGTCCCAACCTCAACAACGACGGAAGCCACGTCTACAACAACAGAAGCCACATCTACGACTACTGTCCCAACCTCAACCACCACGGAAGCCACGTCTACGACAACCGAGGCCACATCTACGACTACTATCCCAACCTCAACAACGACGGAAGCCACGTCTACGACTACTGTCCCAACCTCAACAACGACGGAAGCCACGTCTACGACAACCGAGGCCACATCTACGACAACCGAGGCCACGTCTACGTCTACTGTCCCAACCTCGACCACCACTGAAGCTACTTCTACCACTACTGTTCCAACCTCAACAACGACGGAAGCCACGTCTACGACTACTGTCCCAACCTCGACCACCACTGCAGCTACTTCTACCACTACTGTCCCAACCTCAACAACGACGGAAGCCACGTCTACAACAACAGAAGCCACATCTACGACTACTGTCCCAACCTCAACCACCACGGAAGCCACGTCTACGACAACCGAGGCCACATCTACGACTACTATCCCAACCTCAACAACGACGGAAGCCACGTCTACGACTACTGTCCCAACCTCAACAACGACGGAAGCCACGTCTACGACAACCGAGGCCACATCTACGACAACCGAGGCCACGTCTACGACAACCGAGGCCACGTCTACGACAACCGAGGCCACGTCTACGACTACTGTCCCAACCTCGACCACCACGGAAGCCACGTCTACGATAACCGAGGCCACATCTACGACTACTGTCCCAACCTCAACAACGACGGAAGCCACGTCTACGACAACCGAGGCCACGTCTACGACAACCGAGGCCACGTCTACGACAACCGAGGCCACGTCTACGACTACTGTCCCAACCTCGACCACCACTGAAGCTACTTCTACCACTACTGTCCCAACCTCAACAACGACGGAAGCCACGTCTACGACTACTGTCCCAACCTCAACAACGACGGAAGCCACGTCTACGACTACTGTCCCAACCTCGACCACCACTGCAGCTACTTCTACGACTACTGTCCCAACCTCAACAACTACGGACGCCACGTCTACGACTACTGTCCCAACCTCAACCACCACGGAAGCCACGTCTACGACAACCGAGGCCACATCTACGACTACTGTCCCAACCTCAACAACGACGGAAGCCACGTCTACGACAACCGAGGCCACGTCTACGACAACCGAGGCCACGTCTACGACAACCGAGGCCACGTCTACGACTACTGTCCCAACCTCGACCACCACTGAAGCTACTTCTACCACTACTGTTCCAACCTCAACAACGACGGACGCCACGTCTACGACTACTGTCCCAACCTCAACAACGACGGAAGCCACGTCTACGACTACTGTCCCAACCTCGACCACCACTGCAGCTACTTCTACGACTACTGTCCCAACCTCAACAACGACGGAAGCCACGTCTACAACAACAGAAGCCACATCTACGACTACTGTCCCAACCTCGACCACCACGGACGCCACGTCTACGACAACCGAGGCCACATCTACGACTACTGTCCCAACCTCAACAACGACGGAAGCCACGTCTACGACAACCGAGGCCACGTCTACGACAACCGAGGCCACGTCTACGACAACCGAGGCCACGTCTACGACTA